TAACTTAGTTCTTTATAGAATATTCTTAATATTCTTAATATTCTTAATATTCTTAATTCTAAATTCTCTTAATATTATTAATATTAATTAGTTATTATTTACTTTTTTTAATTAGGAAATAAAGATTATATAACCATTTATAGATCTAATACTAGTCTTATAAATATTATACTTTACTTTTTTAGAACTTTCTAGTAGTCTTTCTAGTATTACTTAACTACCAAAATATATAACAGAGAAAATTCGCAAACTCTGCCTCGTAGAGCTAAGCTTGTAACCCTTGAAAGCTACTACTTTGAATAAGGACTAACACAGTATAGAGACATTCGAACTTGGTGAAGTCGCTGATGGATCACCCTACCAAGGAATGGGGTGTTCGACTCCATTCTCGTCAATATAGATAGCACTCGGCGGCTCGGGTGGGGGAGGATAAGCGTCATCACCCTCATATGTCCAATCCGGATCAACATCGTTGGTAATGTCTTCCGCACGCTGGCGGAATACCTCGCAGCGATCCAGCAGCTCGTTCTTCATTTCCTCGTTGGACAGCTTCGCGCTCGGGTCTTGCAGCTTCTCGCAGGTGCTGAGCAAGTCATTGATGGTCTTGACACGCTTCTCTTCGGGCGTTGGGGGTTTGGGCTTCGGCTTTTGCGACTCGCGGAGGCGGTCGCAAGCCCTGTCGACGTCATTCTTCCAGCGCTGCTCGCCGCGCATCCAGCAGATGAAGCGTAGCTTTAGTGTGTTGCCGTAAATCTCGGGCACCTGCGGGCCGCCGATAGCCTCCTGGATGCTAGTCATGGTGTTGTCAAACCAGCTGACGGCGTGACCGATGGGGTTGTCCCAGGACTTGACCATGTCTAGGACGTCGTGGGCATAGGGCGACAGCACCGCAAAAGCGACGGCTCCGCCGGCACGGGCGCCGGCCCGGAATTTAGCAGACACTTTAGCCCTGAAACGGCCGGCTTGGGTGATTGATGTTAGTCGACAACAGGCATATGACACAACCTTTGCTGTTTAAGCTAACCTTTTGTTGGCGCCGGCTTATATTTAGCAGGGTCGCAGGTAGCACGCTTGCCAAGGAATCCAAAGCAGGAGGGAGACTTCTTGAAGGCATAATTTTCGTTCTTGATCTTTGTGCTTCTGGAGCTCGGCTTATTGCTTGTCACTTCGTACGCGTGCGAAATGCTTGACTCGGGGACTTTGCCAACGACAGCAAACTCCCGGTTGCGACCAACCGCCGGGTTCTTCTCCGGAGGATAGATTCCGGGCACCCAGTAGCCATCTGGAAGGTCCTTGGCGTTAATGACGTAGATGTAACCTTTGGTTGCCCCATCAGCGCTGCGGCCAAACGCATACCCCTCGGCCGTTTGAGGCGACCGAGAGACCGAGACGAGGCCTGAGTTGCCCCCGAAGTTGAGGTGGTTCTGCAGGTCCTTATTGCTGCCTTGTGGCGAGAAGCCCTCGGCAAAGATGACAGCTGGTGGGCGCGAGTCGCCGCGGTAGAAGAGACCGTCTTTGCCGCCGCCCGGAGACTTCATCTTGGATGCCACCTCGGCCGTCACGGTCGTGGGGGTGGGAGGACCCTCGCGAAGTTCGGCCACTTCGGAACTTGGATCGCTGGGCAACATGGTATAATTTGAGAGAATCTCAAAGATGGCATCATCGATAAAGTTGGTGTCGAGCTCAACGCCGTCCTCGACCACGATGTCGCCACTAGACTGTTCACCCGTTGACTGAGGCGCCGCAATGACACCAAGCGCAAGAAGCGCTGCTCAAAGATGAGGTTGCATGTTTTGCACTGTTGTTGATGCGATTTTCCTCGGCTGTTCACTGGTTGAAGTTGTTGAAGCTGTAGAGAAACAAAGGGTGCTGAATCGACCGTACTTGATTGCCAGCGACGCAGCTACTTATAACAGTTCATCAGTCCGCAGAGGCGGCCAAGTACTCTCGTATCTTCACCTCATTCCATAATTCAGGCTGTAAAATAACAAGTCTTTGAAGCCGAGTCATGAGTTGACAGCCGAGATGCCCAACTTTACCTGTGTCATGCGACTCCATAGCGCCGCTAACAAACAAGAAAATGACTCTGTTGTAATAATGCAAGAAATCCGAGGAGACTTGCTATGCTGAAAACTCTGCGCAGCCATATCACAGCGAATTATTAGTGTTAGTCAAGACGCCCGTCTACTGTTGGTCAACTGCCGAATGGCTATGCTCCGGCGGTGCAACTATCGTAGCCTGGTTTTCACGGTCGTGCGTTTTGTGGGACCTTGCCCATGATGTACTTTGTGAGGAAAACCAAAATGTCGGATGGGAATGTAAAACTTTGGCGTACCTGTTCCCTTCGTGTGTTAACTCTCCGGGGCACTGATGGCGCTACTCCGGCGAACAATAATTATTATCATTCTACGCCGCAAGGCGCACATTCAGTAATGCCCACACATACCAAAATGCCACACGTCAACTGAAAAGCGTTAAAGTCTAAAGAGGGCTCTATAGTGTGTATATATATGATTCTATATGATGATGCTACTTTGAAGCTGAATGTGGCCCACTATCGGTAGCCCGAATTGTCTGTATTCCGCTCCTGTGGAAAATCGGAATAGGTCTCCGACGAGTTACCTGGTATATCGATTACCTTTATGACATGCATCCTAAAAGCCGTCCCGAGGGTAAGCGTGTCGTGGCCGGAACATCGGGTCTCTGGTGGGGCGGGTGTGAGTTCTGCTCACGTTTATATCTCTTTCTAACTATCTCTCGCAGTACTGATGAGTATCTACTAGGACATGTCTAAGGACCAGCTTAGAAAAGGGGTAGGTATAGCATTGACGGCAATAGTATAATAAGAGGTGACTATGACTTTAGCCTTTGATATAGACTATCAAACAGTAACCTAGTAGACTCATGTCTTAGGCTAACTTAACTAGGATGTAATAGAGGTTTCCCAATTGCGCTAAATAATTATAATAGCGAGTACTAGACTATCTTAAAAAACCGTAGTTGATAAGTAATTGATAAGTAACGAATTGTCAGTATCTAGAAATAGTAGTTAAAGAGCAGCATAGAATATTATAGTGTGTATAAGGACTTTAAAGACATTAGATAATTTCTTCTATCTTTAAAATCGTGATAATATAGTATTTACTTTATACTTTCCCGACGGCCGATTTATACTGTCCGTAAGCTAAAGAAGACGGATGCTAATGGGATATTTATTTAGCTAATGTAGAAGAGACATGAACATTTGCTAGTTACGATAAAACAACCGGGTGCTGCTCTTTTGCCTCTCTGAGTTCATATCAGTATCTGACGTCTCTGATACGATAGACTACAGTTAGGCCGTTCTCAAATCCCGCAGAGTTCCTCGACACTAGCTCCTGCGATCGCGATAGTAGTATCGAGGTTAAGAATACGCATAAAAAGTATCTTGCAACCTTGCTATGCCACGATAGCCGGATGAGCGCTTTGATGTTTCATCTAGACGATAAGCAAAATCTGTCTGCTGCGGATGATGCGACGTCGCGGGTTTAGGATTCGGCTCAGATAGAGTAGCATTATCGTTCTTCGATGATTGCAAAAAGAGTCTTTATGTGTTGCGATGGACTCTAAGTTATTAAGACCTCCTATCCTTAGAATAAGATTGACTCCTCCAACGCGCGCGAGCGCTGTAATATTGCCACGGGGAGCACTGAATATAAGAGTAAGATATACATTATACCACTAAAGTCGCGGAAGTAACACGTGCCACATCACGGCCCGCTTTTGGGGCTGTAGGTGTGTGGCTTATATATTAAGAGACTTGGCGTAATTTTATTCTTACGTCATGTTCTTAGCTATACTCCCAGTCTAGGCATAACATTTGTGACTTTTGACTCGCCGCAGTATACTCTTTTCGGGCTTTCAGGGGCCGTCATGTATTCATTAGTAGTTAGTTAAGCAATTGGGATAGACGAGTAAGCGGACTAACTTGGCAATCTTGATTCTAACATGATGACTGCTAATCGACAGCCGAGCCTACTAATTGGTACATGTATGTATTGCTGTGGTCAAACTCCTAAGGCTCGTATTATCGCGTCAAATACATTGGAATCGAATTAGGCTAGATAATGAATTTTCTCTAGACCCTATCACCATAAGACTTAGACGAGTGAATAGACAAGAAATCTGTTGGGGTTTGCCTCTTGGCCCGAGATAGTCTAAATAATCTGACTGACTTTCTTTTAAGTTGATGTGGCGTTCCGATAGGGCTCGATCCGGCCCGCCGAGGTAATGCCATCGTCGCTACGCCCCCTACGCCACCGGCTCTTGAGAGGCCGGGTGATCCTTGTGTGGATGACTGACCGGAGTTATCGCTGGGGCTCTATTGCTACGCCAGCTACCAAAATTCATACTTACGTAAAACAGCGCTATAAGCGACTATATAATACATTATATTAGCGACTTTTTAAAGCCACTTAGCTTACGTGTTATTACGTCTTAAGGCTGAAAACCCCTTCTAGCTGCCCTTTACTTACATGTGCTATACACCTACCTCTCCGAGGAGGTAGGTGTATAGCACGTGTATATATTTTACTTGATTTGTCGTAATAGATTTATAATTGTGTATATAGTAATAAATCTAAAATGCATTTCAAGATATACATGAAGAATTCGCTAATTTGAAATTTCCCTGTTATGGATTTACTGTAGGCTAGTACTGCCTCCTCCCGCCCGAGCCGTTAAAGGGGCAGTTATCATTTTATTCGCAAACGATTTAGTAAGATAACGAAGCAACCTTGATGCTAGCCGAGTGATGATAAGAAAACTGTGTATTTGCGTGGCCGGACACAGAGCAAATACTATTCGAGATGAAGGCTCTCATCAATGTTCCAGAATCTCTTTCCATAACTTACTTCATTTCCACTATAGGAGAAGAAAAAGAGAGAGAGAGTCCGCGGTCGCGAAAGCTTCTACCAACAGGAGATAAGTAACGGACGAGGCCGCTTAAATCCGAATAGCAAGTACGTGTGAATAGCTATAGAAGCACTATAAAAAGTGGATTTACCCACGACACAAATTCCTGGCTAAACTTGACTCGCCTATTCATGTGCTCTGGTTTAGGCCTATGCTACCCTCAAAGCTTCAATTGCAACCGGGAAGTCACCGTTGTGAGCGCCGCGTTGGCAGAAATATCGACACCAATGCCGCGACCTACTCGACGTGCACTCGCCTGTGATCGCTGCAGATTGCGAAAAGTCCGCTGTATGTCTTTTGTCCCTTGGTCTTGTTGTCAGGTGATACGTAGCAAATTATCGTTGCTTGAGAGCTGTGTATCTGGAATAAATCTAATTCAACATATCTACAGGCAACGGCGGGTTTCCCTGTGCTAATTGTATTGATCGAGCCGAGGCGTGTGTTGTCTCCCCTAGACGGGTAAAAAGGTCCTATGAAACGCAGAGTTTATCGTCATACATTCCCTTTCGCACCTATCGTATCAACCCAAGAGTCCAAACAACAGAGCGAGACGTCCCAAGCTCTAATTCTGACCCGTCCAATGACATGGACAGCCTCCTTAGGTCTGTCGCATTTTCGTCAGAAGAGGGTAGCCTAATACGGCAAGCATCGCCGGTAAGCTCCAGGCGACTAAATTAGAATTCAAAGGCCAAGCAAAATGCGGTCTAGGCGCCATCCTTAGTGCCGCGACCGAACGGATCTAATTATCAAACACTCGGCAGACTCTTTTACTCAGCTAATGCATCCTAGGGCTGTGGGCTGCTCAATGCCAACATTACTCATGATTGCTCTTATTCTCGCCAATCCTTGGCCTATACTAACCGCTCAACTCGTCGGGAGGAATCACTCAGCTCCAAGGAACCCGCCATCCAAGGTTTAAGCCCGCCTAACACAAGTCACGAATCACAGAACAGCCCCGAAAACGGCAGCATATGTACCACGGACCTGGTAAGCACAGATCGTTGTCTGTCCCCGGAAACTGCCGTGTGAATTCTCCCTTTAACTCCTACACAGCCAAACGTTGAATATTATGGTAGGTCTGCGACAGACCCTACCTAAACAAAGATTACGTCACGCTGAAGGAAATCGTCCAGGTCCACGATCCTTCATGTCATTCTGCTCGCCCCCTGGCGTCAAGTGGATCAATTCAAGACTAAAATGCCCTCAGTTTGGCGGCATTTCTTCACAATTAATCGCCGGAGTAGCCGGCAAATTAAAGCTAAACGGCAAATTCTCTGCACCTATGACTGGGGACCCTGCCCCTGAGCGCGCTTGGGAGTACGCCAAGAGTTCGTCGTCGTCTTCCACTTGGCTTGGCCGCCACATTTTTCCTAGTGCTAAGCTGACTGAGTTTCAGCGTATTTTGACGACGCAGCTGAGCAGTCGTTTGGAATAGTAGATTGGCTGTGGTTTGAAGCCCGACTGCAAAAACATCTAGACGGAACGGCGTCTGACGACACAGGATGGTTCGCGCTACGCAATGCTGTCTGGGCTTTGGGCGCCCGCTTAAGCATATCCAAGACGTCTACTTATGGCCAAGCGTTGTCTAAGTCGTGGCTGTTCTTTGAGAAAGCCTTGTCCGTCCACACAGAGATCATCCTTTTCTCCTCATCCCTGCCAGCTGTCCAAGCTCTCGCATTAATGGTATGTAGTCTCTTTGAAAGCAAATCCAGATTCACGCAAACAAGAGCTGACAGGTCTGTCAAGGCTTACTATGCTGAGGGAGTGAGCAACGTGTCAGTGCAGTATATGCTATGCTCTGAGGCACTGCGACTTGCATGCTCTAAAGGCCTACACCGAAAACCGGCCCCTTCTTGGATGATGTCTTCACGAGAGACTGCGCATCGCAACTGGCTATTCTGGTCCATCTACTGTTTGGAAAGACAGATATGCTCACGTTCGGGCAGGCCAGCTGTATGTACTTGTGCAGTGAATATCAGACTGTTGTGCTTGAGTTTTTGCTGATGAGACAAAAGGCCGTCGACGACGCGGCTATTGACTGCCAAATCCCAGAGGAGGCACTGAGCGGGAAGACAAGTGATGCTATTTATTGCCATACGTTGATCGAGTTATCGCGGCTGTGCTCGGCCGCCACAAAACTTTTATCTAACACTCCTGGCCGAGAGCAAGACAACACGCACACACCACTCATCGACGCTGTCAAGTCTTTAAACTGTCAAGCCGCAACAATTAAAATGGCTGCAGAGCGGCGGGGTGTTTACCTCGACAGGTCTCTGAATGACAGTCAGCCACCTGAAGACCTAACAACTCGTCAAATGCAAATACTACAGAGCCACTACCATTGTCTCTTATTAGACATCAATACGCCACTTTTCTATCCTTGGTCAACCTCTCCGAGCCAACAAAGGTCCGACCCCCAGCTCGTCGCACAGATTGAAGCTTCTTGTGGCGCGGTAGTGGGGTCCTCCCGGTTTATTATACTCGCAACCAGACAGATTGATGTCGACGCATCTTGCTCTGCTCTGTAAGTGGTGTCTCAGAACCAATTTCGCACTTGCAGTAGGTGATTAGATGTTTCGCTCTAACCTTGGAAACAGAGTATCGCTCTTCGTACCAGTGTACCGCTTCATTGTCCAATTCATCCATATTCTGCAATGTGATGCGGCCCACGCCCAATCAGAGCTTGACATCCTAGGTATGTACTTGCTTGTATTGAAGCATAAGGAAGCGGCGCATTAACAAGCAAGCCTAGATCTGGCTCTTGGTTACTTTGCAAATCTCAAATTTGCCACTGATGGTCTCGTGTTTTTACCATTTGCCAAGGAGCTTGCCAGTATTGCTTCAACATATGTAGATCAACAACGAAATAAGCCGCCCAAGCCCAGTATAGACGACCCGATACTGGAAGCCAGCCAATGCGATCTCGCCATCGAAGATGAAACAGTGAATATATATAACGTATGTGTTACCTTCTGGGACCGCCAGTCAGAAATTACTCGTCCTGCATCGCTACGAGATAGAAGCTGACTATATAGTAGAACGCCGATTCGTCGTTACTCTTGGAGGAAGCAAGCTTTGAGGGCTGGGACAGTCTACTTCCATCGTTGACTACTTGGGATGCCGTTTTGTAAGCCTTTCAGGGATGATTACAGTCTGTCTAGAAGTCCTTGCAACAATCTGAATTATTTTTCACTGAATTGCTCTCTGAACTAGGCGGTTTTGAAAGATGCATTGTCCAAAGAACAACAACCATTACCATCTAGTCAAAAGCATAAGTTAGAGCCCGTACATCTCGCGCCTGCGTCCGTGTACGGTAACTAGAAATTAAAGCCCTGTCTTGACTCGGGATATACTTTACAAAGTATATTTAGTATCTGAAATGACCGTGCTTCTAATGAATTGAGAAACTTTGATATCTAATAAATTCTCGCTTTTTTCCCACGCGAGAGCGATTTGAGGCGGACTTACTGTGTGTCTAGGAGAAGAGTTGACAATTCTTTCGTCGTTCTGTACAGCAAGTCTGAGTTTTTATGTGACCGAGTCTCACAACCCATGCCATCTGTGTGTGGAGTCAGATCGGGTCGGATTTGACAATTTCCAAAAGAGGAACATTTGCCGACCCTTTTTGGCAACCGCCACCCTCGGCGAAGCATTTCGCCCCCCCCCCCCCCCCCACCTCGTAATGAGAGGCATTACGAGGACATATCTCTCGGCCTGGAATACCTCGGCGGAAATAGTATCAGGTCCCCGTCCGCCGAAACATTTAGAAAGACTGAAATTGGCCAAGTGACAGCATGAATACAGTCCCACCCGGCAGTATTAGCCGCATACAGGGCCTTCACCGAGGAAGATGGCCTTTTCGAGCTGCTGCTCCGTAAACTGCTTACATACTTCTGAAGGCGTCCATGTCGGACGTTTTGCCGTAGCGGAACCCTTCCAGATCCCAGCTTAGGGATTGTTCTGGTTTATCGGATTTATTTGCGATAAGTCCGATTTAATAACTATAAATACAGAGATATGTGCTTTGCCCTCTTACCGTCTGGGGTGCATATCGCAACAATCAAGTGATTAAACAAAGAAACCACCTCTTGTGACGAGTCTTTACTTGCACCGCCTATCAGCACAACATTACCAAAATGACTGAAGCTCTCAACATTCCGAAACAGTCCATCTTTCACTGGTCATCTACCAGCTCTTCCAAGGATTTCGACGTTCATGACCCCGCTACTGGAAAAGTTCTTACAACTGTTCGGGGTGGCGACGCTGCAACCACACAAGCAGCCATCAGTGCTTCCGCCGCGGCCTTTGCTGAATGGAAGCAGCGAAGCTTGGCAGAACGCGGGCAGCTCCTATTGGCGTGCTCTGTCGCTATTGATGCACACAAGCAAGAACTGGCAGACTTGCTTTGTGCCGAGAATGGAAAACCCGTTCTAGACGCAGTATTGGATGTCAACTTTCTCATCAAAGTCTTTGAATTCTTTGGTTCCTTGGTCGACAAGCTTTCTGGACAGTTTCACGACCGCGGAGTGGTTTATACCTCCATCGTCCGCGAGCCTCTTGGTGTGTGTGCAGGTATTTTGCCGTTCAATTGGCCACCTATTCACGCTGGTGGCAAGATTGCGCCTTGTGTGGCAGCTGGAAACACCATCATCATCAAACCTGGAGAACAAGCGCCGTTGACAGTCATGCGAATTGTCGAGATTCTACAGACTGTCCTCCCCAAGGGTGTTGTGCAAGCTGTTCCTGGAGCTGGAGCTGAAGTTGCTCAGTTGCTGGCTGAGAGCTCCACAGTCAAGATGATCTCGCTTACTGGATCTACAGCTGCCGGAGCTGCTGTTGCCAGGACGGCCTCGGATTTGGTCAAGCGTACCGCCTTGGAACTTGGCGGCAAGAACGCCTTTATCGTATTCGAGGACTGCGACTTGGACCGAGCGTTAAAGGGTGCTCTGGAAGGGGCCTTTTTCAACAAGGGAGAGGCTTGCACTGCAGCATCAAGGCTTTTAGTTCATGAAAAAGTATACGATGAATTCGTCGACAAATTAGCTACTGCTGTACGCAAGTTGCGGGTCGGCAATGGATTTGACAAAGACACTCATGTTGGTCCTGTTGTCTCCAAGCAGCAACAGGACCGTATCAGAAGCTACATTACGCTAGGAAGCGACGAGGGTGCCAAGATTGCTGCCCAGGCAGAGTTGCCTTCTGATGATGCGCTCAAAGACGGCTACTTTGTTGCGCCGACTCTTTTCAGGGACGTGTCACGGTCGATGCGCATCGCCCAAGAGGAAATCTTTGGCCCTGTAGCGACCGTGTGCCCGTTCAGGACCGAGGCAGAGGCTGTCTCGATTGTGAACGAGTCAAGATATGGGCTTGTGGCCGCAATTTGGTCCAAGGATACGGAGAAGGCCCTCCGAATCAGCAGACAGGTTGACACAGGCATGGTCTTTATTAACAACTACTTCAGAAGCGGGCTGGGGTTACCTCATGGTGGATCCAAAGAGAGTGGCTACGGCAGGGAGCATTGGATTGAAACGCTCAACGAATGGTCAACTATCAAATACATCCAGATGCCGTCTGGTCTGGGCAGAGTGCCTACCTGGAGGTCCGTTGCGGATGTCTTTGATGAATAGAGGCGACAGTGCACCCTAGTCATACCCGGCAGGTAAGATAGAAAGATTATTCGCACAGAGAGAGAAAAAGAAAGAACAAATGCGTTTATTACAATATCATAAGTACCATCGTGGATTCATTCAGCCGCCGAAGCCTGACGTAATACAGTGCAACGAGTGCGAGTTGTCCCCGCGAGCGGCTAGTACGTGGACAGGTGTAAACTCCAAGTATAAATCTAACTCAGAAAAAAATCAGGTAGAAGCTCTGGCGAATGCGAAACTGATGATAGCGATGGATTGCTGATGAAAAAAGGGTAAACAAGTTGTCAGAAGCTGTGAGCTATGACATCCCGCGCACGTGTTGGAGCAATGAACCTACACTAATTTACAGCCTTGGCTAAATAAGGCAACACAATCAAACATAACTATAAGTGCTAGAATATCTTAAATTGATAAGTATGAGTGCTAGAAGGTTTTGCTTGGCTGGAAATAATAGAGTGGTAATAGGAGGTGGAAAAAATCTGATATTTACAAACGTCTTTGTGCTCTGTAACAAAGCTTTGATGAAGCAGGACTAGGCTAAAGAACTGCGTCCAAGACAAAGCCACTTCGAAGCATTGAGAGGGCAAATAGGAGTGTGTAAATGATTAGCAAAAAACTCGCTGAAATAGCAACGAATTTTAAAAGAAAAAAAATAAGACAAACAAACAGAAGTTCAGCCGTGACAAACGGGTCGTTTACGGTGAGCTGTGTTGGCCACTTTGATTTGCCCCTCGCACACCATCCACAGTGACTCACCCCGCTTTCTTTGTACAAGACCAGCAGAGAATTACCGACAAAACGTCAATCAAGACAAACCGTTGAAAATGACGAACCCTAAAATCGTCAAGATTCTAGCTGGGCTTGAAACTCCCGAAATCAAGGCCAACGAGCCCGCCTTGCACCAACTCGATCAATTCCTCACTTTGCGTAGCTTCCTCGGCGGCTACAGCTTGAGTCAGAGTGATGAGCACGTTTGGACAGCTCTCCGTCTCAACAAGGTGACTTTTGGAATTGTCCGACGCAACTTGTTCCTGAATGTCACCAGGTGGTTTAATCATCTCGAATCGACATACCCTGCTCTTCAGCAGGCCGTCAAGGCCAACACAACATTGTCCAAAGCAAAGGTTGTCGCCAACGTTGGCCAAGCTGGCGGTCGCTACAATATCAAGCTGCAAGATACTGAAAAGGGAGTCGTCACTCGATTCCCACCCGAGCCAAGGTATGAAATACATGCTAGAAGTTGTGGCTTCTCCTTTGCTTTCTTCGTAATTTCCCAACCAACTTCTGACTAACCAACTGCTGACAAGCGGCTATCTGCACATTGGTCACGCCAAAGCGGCCTTCTTAAACGACTACTTTGCGCATGATGCCTTTTCTGGATCCATGATTCTGCGTTTCGACGACACGAACCCGAAAAAAGAGAAGCAAGAGTTTGAGGATTCCATCGTCCACGATCTCAAGCTACTAGGGATTGAGACTCAACGATTGACGTACACGAGCGACTACTTTGAACAACTTTACAAACTGGCCCAGAAGCTCATTTCCGACGGCAACGCGTATGCGGATGATACCGACCCCGAGGTCCAAAAGAAGCATCGTTACAAGCGTCTCCCCAGTAGCCGCAGGGACCGACCGGCTGCGGAGAGTCTCGAAATCTTCAACGAGATGAGGGAGGGAACCGAACTCGGAAAGAAGCACTGTATTCGTGCTCGAATCGCTTTTGACAGCTCCAACGGCTCTATGCGTGACCCCATCATCTACCGCTTCCCCAGCTGGGATTCCGAGCAAGGGCCGCAACCCCATCACCGCACAGGTTGGGCGTGGAAGATTTACCCTACCTACGACTTTGCTTGCCCTTTGGTCGATTCAATCGAGGGCGTTACACATGCTCTCAGAACCACTGAATATGCTGATCGCAATGAGCAGTACTACTGGTTCCTCGAGGCTCTGGACATGCGCCGTGTTCACCTTTGGGACTTTGCAAGAATCAACTTCATCAAGACCTTCTTATCAAAAAGAAAGCTCACCAAGGTGGTTGACAGTGGCAAGGTTGACGGTTGGGATGACCCTCGGATGCCAACTGTGCGCGGTATTCTGCGACGTGGTCTCACGGTAGATGCCCTTCGCGAGTTCATGTTAAAACAGGGGCCGAGCAGAAACGTTGTTTCGATGGACTGGACCACCCTTTGGGCTACCAACAAGAAGGCCATTGACCCTATTGCGGCTAGACACACGGCTATCGAAACGACGGGCAAGGTGGCTCTTTCTATTCATGGAGCCGCCGATGCGCCGTGGAAGGAAACTCGGCCCAAACATCCAAAGAATGCCAATCTCGGAAACAAACAAGTTGCATTTGCAAATATGGTCTGGATTGAACAAGTTGATGCTTCGTCTTTTGAAGAAAACGAAGAAATTACACTCATGGCCTGGGGAAATGTCATCGTCAAGCGCATCGTCCAGTCAGAGGATGGTACTGTTGGCAGCCTAGAAGCGGTACTGAGCCCCGGAGGGGACTTTTCCAAAACAAAAAAGGTTCACTGGCTCGCTGTTCAAGGTACCAAGCATTTTGCTACGGAGCTCTGGGACTTTGACTACCTCTTATCCAAAGATAGTTTGGCCAAGGATGACGATTTGGACCAGTTTTTGACACCCGTCACAGCCACCATGACCGAAGCCATTGTTGGTGGCGATTGCGAGGGCCTTGTTGACGGTGACATTATTCAGCTCGAACGAAAGGGCTATTTCCGAGTCGATAAAGCCATCGGAAAAGGTCCCGAGGGCAAGGCGGTCATGTTTAAGATTCCCACTGGTTCAACTAAAGCGTGAGGTTACCAAACAAAACAATGCGCGCTGCTCCATAGGGTCAATGGGCCGGCTACAGAATACAATTTCGTACAGAATACAATCTCGTACAGAATGCAATCTCGCATAGAATACAATCTCGTACCAATGACAGTCGTAATGTTGGTGACGACACAAATGGTCAAAGACATTGAGGTGTGTGAAAACTAGCATCTAGACTTTTCCTGCCGTACCCCACGCCTCATTGAGAATATCCTTCATCTTCAAAGTCTCTATGTGCGGGAGTCTGGTGTTTAGCGTCTTCCCACTATCAAAATTGAAGAATCCCTCTTCGTACCACGTGCCCAAGGCGCATGCGAGTACATCAAACGCCTCTTTGGGGACGTAATTGTATACATTGGCTTGTCCCGGAAGTTCCGTTCTCTTTCCGTTCTTCAAGTCGTGCAAAGAATCGTACGAGACTTTGAATTCGCGGCCTAACGGCTCACTGTTAGTTTTCTCCGTTGTTTTGCCCTACCAGCGAGCTGCATACCTCTTGCTGCTTCCGCGAGCTTGACAACTTGATTCCAGGATAGTTTGTCGCCCATGATGTACGTAACAGGGTCCCAGTCAGTCAGAGCCAGAGACGCTGCGACAAACTTTGCAACGTCAATTGTATGAGTGAACACAACTGGGGTATCCCCGGACCCTGAAATAGCCGCCATGTTATTGGGAATGTCAAGGACGACTGGAAATGGGGCTAGACGTGTCTTTTCGGCAGGGCCCCAATAGTCCATAAAAGTACCAATTAAAAAGTAAGTTGTCTCCAGGTCAGTGACCCTAGCAAGCTCCTTTTGGGCATCGAGCTTGTGGATTACAGAGTCAAGCTTGTCGATGTGGCTAAAAATGTTTACTTGTTAGAACGATGTCCTTGTCTCAAATTCATATGCGGAAACTCAACTCCTTGGTGTGTGGAAAGCCCCAATCGCTAGATATCATCCTCTTTGTACATTTAGACGCATCAGCCGCCTGGATCAGCTGAATTTCCGGGGGAGGCCTGCCGTCGGCAGGTGAGCCCATTGTAATGGCAGAAACAAGAGTATGAACGTTCTTGTCTTCCAATATCTTTGTGATGGCCTTTGTGTCATAGTAGTCAGTCGGTACAATTGGGGCTCCAATGTCCTTTCCAAGCTGTGGATCGGGCTGGTGGTCTTCAAGTCAGCACTCTAAACACTATTTTCAACATTGGTTTGACGACTCTAGCTTACCTTTCTGCTTAATATGATGACTTCATACTTTGAAGATTGCAAAATGGCCTCGACTATTGTTCGACCTAATTTGCCAGTTCCTCCAGCGACGGCAACGACCTGCATAGTTGACATGTCTAATTGTAGATATTTTCAAGTGTATAGAGTTCTTTGCTTTGTGGAAAGCTATTGTGGAAAGTAAATCCGATGTCTTAAATAGTTGTGCTCGGATCGACAAGGTTTCGACTTGTGCATTTTCCCACACCAACAGAAGCCATCACATCGGGGCGAGTGAATGGTGGATTTGTCAGATATAGGTGAATTTATCAGACATAAGTAGAATATTTGTGCCTATTAAAATTGGTTACTGACATCTTGATATTAACTCCGGCAGGCATGTGATGCGGATTTGTTTGCGGACTTTGATCGATACCTGGTGCTTGGCTGTTCACGGCGAGCCAGAGGCCCACGGCAAAGTGACCAAATTACCCCCGCAAGCATTAAGGTTCATCGAGACTTGGGCGATCGGCAACTTGCCACACTGTCTAGTATCCACATAAGCCGCATTTGAACGCTTTTGTCTATTGTCTCATTATATCAGTCAGCCACAGCATCAGTGCTAGCACAACTCTAAGAGAATCGGCCATATTTGTTAGCAAGTCCGCTTCAACAATCAGAAGAACAGGCTCGGCTGTCTGCTTAATTTGGGCTTATAAATCAAGTCCGCTCCAACATGTCATAACAAGTTGGCTATGCAAACTTTGCGCATTTTAAAAGTGGTTGGCCTTGCCAGCTGTACAGCGCTCACTTCCAAAAAAAAAAAAAAAAAAAAGAAAAACTGGGCACAATTCAATCTTCCCAATAATATTCTCACTCTTGCAATATTACGCCAAGTTATCGTTCAACTCTGCCACAAAAAGTCTGAGCCCGGCGTTCAACTGATCATCACCACCCAAGAGACCGACCTCGTGCTGTACGTTGGCCGCGCACGTCCTTGTCTCAATCGACAATGTCACCATCCGAAATCACTGCGAAAGAGTTTGAAGAATGGTTCAACGGTACTATTATTGGTGATCCAGCCACCTCTCGCGAATTTTGCCAGCGGCACCTGAGTCCCGACTATGTACGCTTGCATGCGGGTGGTGGGCGTACCGACTTTGAACAATCTGTCGAAAAAGTTACACATTTCCGCACAATCTGTCGCAAATGGGAAGGCAAAGTCAACTTTCTTGTTCAGCAGGGTAACAAGATTGCTGTCCGCTATACTGTGAATCTGATTTTTGGGGACAATCCGGAGCAGCATATGGAGCTCATGTTTATGGCGGAAAGGGACGCCCAAGGTCGTTTTCAGAAGGTGTGGGAGCTGACTGAGCCAATTGACGAGTCAGCCAATAATTGACGAGTCAGCTAATAATTAACGTGTTAGCTAATAATTGACGTCAGCTGCTATACTTAAAATGCCTTAATTTCTTCTTATTATAACAATGATGCTTGTTCGGTACTAAGTGAGGAGATAAATGATAGCCATAGTCAATTGGCAGTTACTATCAAGGATTGGCGTGCTATGCCCATCATCTCACCCCTGTCTCGGTCATATGAGATGTAGATGCACAGCAAAACCAATCACGTTCCGATCAAAACAAAAGATCAGGTGATAGATGACTATAGTGGTTCGTACCTCCTATTGATAAAGCTACTATAAGTAGAAGAGGGTGCATCTATCTTTACTAGAGCGCTATTCCGTAATCGGTCTACCTGATATTGTCTTATTCCTAGAATTGCTGGTTAGATCCCAACTACACCCACTTTGAGGTAATTGGAATCAGTCGTAATGCGCTCTCTGATTGAGCCAGAAGATATCTCATCTACATCCCAAGCCGCCCACGTGAAGCGACCATGCAAAAACTTGGCTTCGTCGGATGCCGCCCACACAGCATAGTGTCCAGGAAGATCCGCTGTGGCACATCAAGGGTCAGTATCCGTTTTTTTTTTTTTCTTCATTCTGGCATGTAGCTCTTACCATCATCCCACGGCAGTGTTTCGCTCGTGTAGCCAGCCTTCTTGGCTACGGAAGTAAAGATTGCTCCCGGGTGAAAGTTGACGACTTGCATATCGTCTGCCGGCACACCTTTGGCAATCTGCTGGACCAGAATAGTCCCCGCGCTTTTGGAAGCGGAATAGTTTGGAACAAAGCCGGCGACATCGAAATCGTGTATGGCCATGGTCGAAATGCCAATCAGAGACTTGCGTCGGAGAACTTGTTAGTCAGGGCTCGCCTGTCGCAACTAGGTGTCTAAAAATCATGTGTGGAGCCATACCAGCTTGCGAGATGAGTCTCTCTTCTTCTGATGATAGAAGAAATGAGCCGCAGCGGCCACGCCGCCAACGTTTGTGCCGAGGTCAGCAATCACCTCCTTGTATCCAATGTCCACGATACTGCCAGAGGGTGAAATCCGGGCTACATTCAGTACTAAAACATCAACAACGACACCCTCGTCGTCCAGAGACTTCCAGAAGCTCTCAATGTCGGTAACATTGGAGGCATCCTGCACGCGAGCCACAAAGGTAGTCTGCGAGGTCCGGGACAAGGTTACAACCGCCTCGTCGAGAGCACTCTGGCGTCGACCAGTGATGATAACTTTCGCAGCACCTGCTAGGCCGAATCCACGAGCAATGGCATACCCGATGCCTTCGGAAGCTCCTGTGACAAGGACGACCTTGCCCGTCTGGGAGAGCTCAGGGCGAGAAGGGGAGATAGCGTCGTAAGACTTCTTGTGGTGCTTCACCTTGGTAAGAATGTTGTCATTGTTGGCAGTCATGATGCCGATCTAGAATTGGGTAGTCAAAAGTCTTATTAGGAAAATATCGGGGTTGCTTTTGCTCTGTGTAGATTTTCAACTCGTCTTTTTTTTAATCAACTAGCTTCTACTAAAATATAAATACGCGCTCAGTATGCCGACACCATGCCCTCTTGGCTTTAAGCGTAGGTACATAATTCGGAGAAAACAAAAGCTAATCTCCGTATAACGACTGGTCTTCGTAACAAGTGTATTTGCTTGGGCCCTTATCCGGCAGTCCGGGTGGCGGAGTGCCCCGCTCCGTTCCGCAAATCTCGGCCCGCGGCTTCCGCGCTGCTCCGCCGGTATGCATGTCCGCTGGCTTTTGGTTTGGCCTGACGCTAGTTGATGGGACATTTGCAATCAGGTGCTCAGGTGCAGCGCACGCCAGAGCACCCACTTGCCGTTGTCAGTCATCAGTGCAAGCAGGGACCTTTGATTTGATTTGACTATTACGTCCGTCTGCGCCCTAGTGTAGGCTTTTGGACGTGCTATCGAGCCTTCTACGGATCAATGTACAGTCGTACCCGCCAAGTGGGCCCCAACTGGGCGCGTCGCGCCCATGTTCTCACCAGTTGCCCCTGGCATACATTTCCTGTCATCATCCTCCAACTGTAGCAGTGTCGCGCCCAATGGCATATGTCTGTCTGAATCGATACCCGTCAGCGGGATCATGATGATGCTGGCGTTATGCGTTTGCGGTTGCCGCCGCCGGCGCGTTGCGCCAACAACTTTTGTCTCCTGGTCTTTGTACAGGGACCAGCGGGAGCCCGCAAGCAGGGACCAGAAAGCCGACGTGTATGCCTGCCTGGGTGGGATCGCAGCTGGTGTTCGGTAGTATGCGCAGCGGAAAGCCTTCGAATCGAGACTGTATCGAGATTTCGATGCCCTCTTACAGCTCTTTCTGTCCTTTTATTGCGCGTCGTTTGCTGAGCCTATTCTCGCTGCTGTCCTCGTCGCAAGCTTGCTATCAATCTGGAATTGGCCATACCCTACACGGAATCGAGAATTTATTCGAAATGACAACCGGCCACAAGAATTGGGGGAGAAGAAATAGATTACTTAATCACAGACCAAAAATAGGTAGCACGCGACTTCAGAGGAACAAAACACACAATCCATCAAGCCAGGATGCGCATAATTCTAGACAGCCCTTGTAGATCGCCTACTGCTGTGCCCGCGATTCCCTCGTCAACCTAACCCAGGGTGTAGCTTCCACTAAAGTTAATAACCCACGCATTGTCATCTATATTAATCATAAAATTTTCTGCCTTGACGTTACCTAGATGGTATTTTCATTATAAAGTAACTGCATAGTCTCGCGGATCTGGGCTGTCTAGTGTCTTCTAAGTTTAATAGCGCTTTGCTCTGCTCTGGCTCGTGATAAAACGCCTTTATTTTTAATCTAAGAAAACAGCATGCCTGCTAATCTGTGCCTATCGCAAGTAGCACTATAGAGGCGATAAATGAGCGCTTGTGGTGGTGGCGGTATGTGCGCCAGAGTAAGTCGTTTGAGCGTGCTAAGTTCTGTCCGCGCATGCTCGGGTCTAAATGAGAGAGCAAAGCGTTTAAAAAAGCACTTAACGTAGCCGCCATTGCCATTAGCAACTATTACTCTCTGTAGGGGTTTAATGAGAACATCCTGTGGTTGGTCATAGCAAATGCCTACTTCACCTAGGTGGAACAGCAGTGTCCAGCTATCCACGTCATCCAGGAAGTCGTCGCTCACCATAAGCAAAGGGCTGCCCTAACTGTGCTTCTTTAACGGGAGTATACTAAGAATCAATGAGACCTGCTTTTTTTTTAGTCAGGAACCCAAGCGCTTCGCATGGCATTATATGTGCGGCGTTCCTTAGTTCAAGAGAGAGCGAGAGGACAGAAGGTGGCTTCCCGCCAGATACGCAGCAAATCACCAATGCCAACGGGTAGTCTCCTAAGATGCTACAAGGTACCATGTCTCGCCATTTCGAGTCTTGGTCCGCTTCATGACATGTGCTCCTTCGTGGAGCCTAGTAAATTTCCGTCGCTTGAATTCTCTACGCATATTTGCGTAGACATCTTTTTCCGGCTCGAAACTGTGTTCACCTTCCCACCGCAGGTAATAATGGGGTATTCTCCCTGTACGGCCATTTTCCGAGCAGTCTATCCACTGCCCACTGACCTTCAGGAAGAGGTGATGACTTATTGGTTAGGCATGCGTCTTCGCTGCACTACATTGCGGTGTCAGGGGAGGGTGGTGCGGTCTCCAATAATGATGGCCCCTTGAAGGGCTGTATCGATCCATCCAGGCATGGTGATACCCTTTTTTCTTACGCTGTTTCTATCTCTAGTAGTATCGGATCCATTGGCGGATCATCTTCGACAGGTGCATCGAAAAAAGGCATTAGAACATCGTCTTCGCTAGGCCATAGACAAGTTAAGATCCAGTCACAACTATGTACTGTCAAGGGCATTACTCAATAAATCTGCTAGGCGGAATTCATAAACCAGCAAAGGCCCGAGTCGAGACGACCCGTTGTGGATCTATATAGGCATTCGATTATAGAACCATGATGTGAACCCTAGGTGGCACTACGGTAATAAATAATATTAGAGCTATAGCCCCATTCAGCTGAGAAGGCATAGCAAATGAGTTAAGATCAGCTATAGTACGGGTATAATTATTGTGTTGAAAGCCATAAATCGGCTCATCCGAAAGGCAATAGAAAGTAAGTCAGGACCTAATATAGTGAAATACTATTATATAGGAAAGGCTCGGCCCGTATAGTCTATGCTGGTAAAAACCTATGAAAATCATTTATATATAAGCTACGAGTTATATCACCTTTAAATTGCATTTGCTACACGCTCAGCGCCTGCCTATAGAACCGTAAGATAGCCCTTCTAGGTGAAATATTTAACGTAATCTATTTGCTTCCATTATACCTACATACTTATAATAAGTCTTCTATTAGGTCTGATTCATGTACGGACGCCCTCTTCATTTCTAGTATCACACACAGCATGAAGGTTGCAATCCTCTGTCTTGCCCTTCTCGGGCTAAGCTCTGCCCATGTCGCAATTTTAGGTAGAGCGCCGCAGGCCCCGACGCCGCCCGGCCAGCTAATCGCTGATGCAATCAAGGACGGTATCAAGGATTGGGGGCCGGCCGGGTCACTGAAACCGCCTTCAAGCCCTAAACCCCCTCTACGACAAATGCCTGGATCGCCTACGCCGTACCACAAGCCCAAGGATCCGAACATTAAGCCTGGCGTGACGAGAATCCCAGGTCAGCCTCTCGGTCCTCAAAAAAAGTGCAAGCCATGCTTCCGCAAAAGGGGCTTATGCTGCGACAGCTCGGGCAAGCCTGTCAAACCGGTCAAGGACCCAGCCAAGGCACCGTTCAAGGCGCCGGCGAAGGGACCCTCCAAGGCGCCAGCGAAAGGATTTTCCAAGGTGTCCAAGCCCTATAGAATGGCCCGCTTCTCCGTGCCTAGGTCAGCCGGCAAGGCGGCCGTCTTTGTGCTCGTGGCGCCCTACGCGCACAGCGCGCTTGACTCTATTAAGCAGTGGGATAACCCCATCGGATACGGGCTCAAGTGGTTTGACGACGCCATGGCTAGCCTGCAGGAAGCCATCGGCGGCCCGCAGCGCAATGATATCTACGGCAACGAGCTTAAGTATAAGATGGTCAAGGGCATTGGCGGCGCGCTGCAGCTCGGGTTCGAGACGGACTGGGACAAGAACCAGCGCCTGCAGAGGGAGGCGACCGCCAAAGAGAATGCGCGCCGCCAGGAAGAGATCAAGGAAAAGCAGCGTATCAAGGGCCTTGAAGAGCTGGCCGTATTGTGCGAGAGGATTGGAACGGAGCGGCCAGAGGACGCGAAATTGACAACGGAGATTCAGCAGAGCTGCACCAAGCTGGCGGACGCGGTCAAGAGAGTAGAGGCCCAGGAAATGGCCAAGAAGAAGAAGAAGATCAAGCCGGAGCCGATTTATTGGTTCGCAAAGTGCAAGGTGAGCCTGAACAAGAACTCTCGCTGATTTCAAAAGCTAAAGACAGACTTGCAGTGTAATGCCAATAAGCTACCAAAGTATGGCGCCAAGTGCGCCAGTGAGTGCCGCGCTATGCTCTCCTTACTCGGGCCCTAAGAACGTGATGATAGGAACTGGGTTATTGTGTTGTTATGTTGTTAAATTTTGTAATAATACTTGTTTTTATCAGGGCAGGTGCGGATACTTTGCCAAGCTCTGACTAGCCGAGCCCTGGCCTTCCTGCCTATACCTCGCTCACATGTGTTCATTACTTCGACGTCGACGACCATAGTTCAGACCAAGATTGATTTCGCGTTTATCAACATCTTTTTCTTTTCTAGCGCTACTTAAAATAGCCTCTACCAGGACACTAAGAAATAGCTAACATTCTGAACGTGGGATCAGAAACAGTCGAGGGCTACCATCGGCTAAGGGTGAATGCCTGCTGGGCGACCTATGACACTCAAAGAACATGCGTATCGAGACCACTAGCCTTTGTACCGACATTTGCGTTGAGATGACTTGACTTGGAATCGTGCCCCTCACAAACCACGGCTAACCATTGATTCTTCGCACGATCAATCCCAGAATTTCGCCAGAAGATTTCCGTCAGATCTTTCTGACGGGATCACTCTCCGCGGGTCCAATAAAGGGAAAGGTACCAGTCCAGCCCACAGGCGCGCCATTCTTGTCTAAAAAGTCAAAAGCCCATTGCTCCAGCGTCTTTTCCTTATATTTCTCAAGGTTGAAATCGTCGCCGGCCAGCTGTGGCTGCCCGCCGCTAGTAGTGAATTCGTCGTATTTTGGGTTATACTCATCGTTCTTGATCCACTTCTGCTCAGGAAATTTTTTAATAAAGGCCTCTTCCTCCCTAAACATATGGGGATCGTCTGACGTAATCTTTTTCCCAGTGACCATGTTAGGAATAGCCATCCAGGCTTCAACCTGGTCCCAACGTATTCCTCCTAGAGCGGAAAACTCCTCCTCGTTAAACCATTCGAGGGTAAAGTTCGATGCGCCCAGGTCTATCATATTCGGGGTAGGGTGTATCTTATAGACCCAGCCATCCCCTTTATTATTCCTGAGTGAATACCCGAATGCAGTGCCAAACAGCGACGTAGTCGAGCTGTACGCCGTGGGGACCAGTTTTCTTCCTTCATGGTGCGCCTTCAAGCTATAAGACTCGTTTAACATTGGTCTGTCGAGCGTGGGAGTGATTCCGCCTGCTTTTTGGAATACCTCGGGAGCCCGGTTGTCCCCTCGGTAGACAACCTTGGGAGCCGGTCGTTTCTCTCTGGCTGCGAGGCATTCATGGGCACTCTTGTACCTGTCGTCAGGCCTGAAGCCGAAATTGTAAAGCATGCAAAATGATTGGCTACCGCAAAACTTCTCCTTTTTGGAACGTTCGCAAGCTACAGCCTTATAGCTGCCGGGTTTTACCCAGGGAAGTTTGTCGCCGGGCGTATCAACGTTGATAGGTGTTGGAGCGTCCAAGTTTGTACCATTGTCTTCAGGTTTCTCGTCGACGACATATCCATCGTTCTGCTCCTTTTCAACACAGTCAGGCCTGTTGTTTTCTGCAGATCTTTGGTTCTAGATCCGTTAGTAAAGTCTCTTCGCAATCTATAGATCCGTCCAGGACTTACAAAGGGCACAGCAACACTAAAGCTGCTAAGCATAGCGAGCAGAAGAGCGGAGGAGAGTTTCATCTGATCTGGATTGAATGAATGAGAATTTAGAACAAGTCAAGCAGTGAAACTAATGTAAGGACTGTCTAGATGAGTTTGTTGAGTCTGGTTTTTTTTTTCGGGGGGAATCTTCTATAGCTTATATATATATACCTTTTTTTCTAAAAACAATGGTAGTAAAGAAAATTCTCGGCCTAATTCATCTATATAGTTACGTATTAAAATAAAGCTCATGCTATAGAACATTACAGGGGGTTAAATCTCTCTTGTAAATAGGCTGAGTCAAGCAGTTGTTATAGATTTATTATATTTAGATGAGGTATTACCTTACGTATAGGCAAGATAGTATACTAATGCCAAGTGAACTCGGCATTACTGTCTAACCTTAACCAATGCCGGCGCGTTACATGGATTGTATATTAGAAGAGAGAGTGTACATGACTAGGTAAGACAGCCCTGGGGAGGTCAGAGATAACCTGTCCCAGATCCACGAAGTTAACCTGTCCGAGCCGAGCCCTACCCGAGCTTTCACTAAATCAGGCTGATACCACGATAATAATACTAGCTCGTTAGGGTATGCAAAGTATACTACGTGAAGCGCTGGTTAGGATTTAGGTGGTTTTTATCCTTATGTTAGTAAGTACTAGTATAAGCTCTATCACAGATAAAACTTAGGTAAAGCCTAGTGTAGACAGGTTGACTTGGTGGCTCTGGGATAGATTGTACGTAACTACGACCCTGGGTTGTTACTGGACTGCTTAAGAAATAGCCTGATTCAAGTCCGTTATTGTAGACCGAGTATACATGTGGAGCTAGCATGAGAAGACGTTAAATGGAGGGTATCACAAGACACGCCTATAGGGATCAATACCTATAATAGGGGCAAATTTATATGCTAGCAGAGGTATCCACCCTATCAGGGTGTCCTCTAGAACCCCTCGCGCTGCAGTCTTCTTTTGCTCCTTAATCAACACTGTTTCTATGCCCAATCAATGTTCTACGTGATAGAAGACTTATTCCTGTGTGTGGGGCCGATGCTATGCTAATATTAAGCTAAGTCGACGTTCGATGCCGACATTGCTATTGATTCGCGCTGAATTGATACTAGCACGTTACGTGACTCGTCGTCTGAAAAAACCGGGAACACCACTTACTCAGAAAACCATTGGACGGAGATCCCACTTGACCTTGCCCCGTGCTCTTGTTTTCCATGGCATGGGGCTCCGTACATGCATAATCCATGCTACATGATTACTATATACGCCGAATCCCTCCTAGGCTACTACCTCTAGCAACAAAGACATGTCTCGCAATGCCAGCACCCTATGCCACGTCCTTGGACCGTTCCAGCTACTCTTGATACGGGGGATATCTTTCACTGGTCTGAGTTTCTTTGGAAGTAGGGTAGTCATCTTTACATGGATGATATGATATTCTGACTGATGTTTGATTATTGATCTTGTAAACACACTCAAGCTGAAGCCTTGAGCTTCTCCAGACGCGCCTTAGTTCCAGCAACAACCTTCTCTTCATTCCAAATCCCCGTGACGCTGGGGTGCTCAATGACCTTTGATGCCCACTTGTAAAAGTTGGGGGTCTTGGTAGGCAAGTCTTTGACAAGGCTGTCCGTCACGACGCCGTGCTTGGGCAATGCGAACAGTCTCAGCAAGAACGAACCGGTGAGAACCTATGTATGGAGTCAGCGACATATAAGAAGCAATGTTTTTCAAGCCAAATCAACCAACCTCGGCCAATGTCAACGTCTTGCTGCCTCCAAAGTAAGGTGCCGCATCGGCCAGTAGTGGCTCAACCTCCTTGGCAACCTGCTTGACGAATTCGGCCGCGGCCTCTTCCGCCTCAGCATCCGTCTTGGCAAATGCTACCTTGGTGCTCAGGCTGTTGGCTTTGGTAAAGTACGTATCGACAAAAAAGCCGATGCGGGCGCGCTGCAACATGTTGTCAGTGAGGATGATGGTCTTGGGGGGATGGCTACATGAAAAGTCTGGCGCACCTGGAGAGCGGCGTCTGGTGTGCCGGCCGTCGGCACGAGGTGCGACGGGTGCGCGTCGGCGAGAAATTGGGAAACAACGGCAGATTCAGTGATGATCTCGCCATTGTAGGACAAACTGGGAACGAGGCCGCGGGGATTGATGGCTAGGTACTCGGCAGTGCGAGGGACAGAGAGGTCAATGATTTCCTCCTCGTACGGAATGCCGAGCTCAGCAAGGGCAATATGAGCACGATGGGCCCCTGAAGTATTTTTTTTCTCGTCAGTTGTCGATAGCTGCCGAGGAGCGGCAAGAATAACTTACAAGGACAGCCATGGTTAGTGTAGAGCTTGATTTTAGCGGCCATGGTGACGGGTGTAGTGGACCTTGTTCTATTCAGATAAACTTGCAAGTTTCAAAGTGGAATTACGGATTCTAAGCAATGTTTCAAGATCAAATGATAGAGAATACACTCAATTTATAGCAAAGTACCGGCAACTTCGTCGATCCCCTATTTGGCGTTGTGCGGGGTTGGTTGGATTTATAATACAGTGCAATGATGCCATCTGCAAGGCACATGGAGTGCGTGCTAGTTAGTGGCTCTTTGTCTCAACCAATGATGAAATCGAATGCTAGTGTTACATGTATTTATTTTAGCTTACCAAGTTGTTCACTAGCACGCTTTCGTCATATCAAGCTCTCTATCCGAGGTTATTATGGAGTTGTGGCAGAGCGCAGATCAACGGCCATGTTCCATCTATAAGACTGACTGGCGCTGCTCATCTTTGACTCTGGATACAAGTGTTTCAAAATGATAGCTAGACATCTATTATCTTGAGAGCTTTTTCAAGGAAACTGTGTGCAAAGCTTGACTGTTTTCTTGGCAACTTGCATGCATTGCCTGCCTTGTAGATTCCGCCCGTGGAGCATCCGCCGCCCATTCTCCATCAGAGAAGATTGGGGTGTGAAGCTTTCTCTGATTAGCAATTACCGCCAGGCGCTGAAAAAGATATTTTCGGGTTAATTATTTTGACGTTTCACGGATCCACGACGTTCGCCTAGGCAGTCTGCACAATGAGACGCCATCTTCAACGGTCGCTACCATCAAGCGACATGCAATGCAACACCCCTCGCCTGGATGAATTATATCAAGGGCAATGCGACACCCCACTACTTTCTTTCCCAATCGGAGGTCTACCGCGGCGGTGCCATCCCAACATCGGGCTGTGGTGCTAGCTTCGATCCTGACAGCGGCCACACAGTGGTAGGTTCCGCGTCGTTGGCATCCGTTGACGAGAGGTCTTTACAGCGACAACCCACCGACGATAGCAACACAAGCCCAACCTCCCGAAACAAATCGAGACTGGCAATTGCGTAGAATTATCTCGAATGATGTCGTATGCTCGAGTGCCAGTACTCGATATTAAGGCACGTGTGCCCACATACACGACAAAGAAAGACCCAAGAATCGCCCCTTATTAGCGGATTTGTTTACATTGAAAAGATTCCTTTCCATCTCATCTATAATCGGGAAATCTTAAATATCGTCATCAGACCTCATAGATCCTAGCGACGGAGCTTTTTTGTGGAGTGCCAATGTCTCGATGCCCAATATTGGGACTCTTGGGACTTCAACGGCTTTGTGTGGTGATCGGGCGACTGGCGCCTGACGCCCGACGCCGGCCGCCGAACTAACATGGGGTTGGTGTCGACAGGACTACACCGCCAACGTTCATATTCATCAACGAACTTTTTTTCTTTCGTTTTTTTTTTTCGTTTTCTCGAATATTGGCTGACTAGACATGTTCGGCGCCACTGCACACAGCCGCGATAACCTCGATACTGTTGATAGGCTTGTGAAGGGCTTTGACGAATGCCATGCCAAGCTCCGCTCTCTGAATAAATCCGCAGGCCAGGTCGACGAAATAGCAAAGTCTGACACTGCAATCACAAGACGACATCATGATACCAAGTTAAAACCAGAAGATGTCTCAGAAAAGGCGATGCACATCCAGACCCAGTTTGATGTCACGCAGCGGACAATCAATGAGCGACCATCGCCGCCATATGCCAATTTACCTCAGCGATCCAAAGAGATCCTTCAGGGCGAGGATAGTATGAAAGCATTTGCATGCATGCTGCACGATGAAGAGTTCTCCCTGCAGCTGTTGCAGCACTTGGGTCCTGACATGGCTTGCATGTTGGACAGTGCAATCGAGCGCCAGCGCGTGATGGAAGACTCTGCGCGCTATGAAGCCTATCGAGCTTTAAACGCCGATTTAGCCGCGTCCCGAGCCAGCGAGGCCACCCTCATCGCTGAGATCGATCATCTTCGTGTGGTTCACCGAGCTATGGAAGACACGAACCGAGCCATCAGTGCTGAGCTCTCCGAGTCCCGTGCCCACGAGTCTAGCCTACTTACCGAGCTCGATGGTCTTCGTGCTGCCTTTGCTGGCTTGAATGCAGATCTAGTCGAGTCTCGTGTCAGCGAGAGCAACCTATTCTCTGAGCTAGTTGATCTCCGCGCTGCTCATCAAGCCACAGAGGCTTCGCAGCGACAAAAAGTAGCGGACCTCTATGCCGCACAGTCAGCTGCGCAACGTGAACTGGCTGCGCTTCGCGAGTCCACTGCTGTTGACAGAGATGAGATGGCAGTGCTGCGCGATGAAATTGAGGTCATGGAGGCCGAAATGAGCAGACTTCGTGCTGACGGTGCTATTGTGGACGCTGAATTGAGCAGGCTTCGCGCCGATGGCGTTGCTATGGACGCCGAAATGAACAGACTCCGTACAGAATGTGCCGCCGTTCAGGCTAAGAACTCATGCATGCAGAATCTGTTGGCGAATCAGCATACGACGGAAGTCTCATTGAAAGAGCAGCTCGCAAAGCTAATCGCTGAACGAGAGGAGATGAAAGCCGACCTGCACGTTTTCCAGAGCCAAAACTCGAGCTTAAACGCTTGCCTCAATGACAGAAACGCCGCCATCGACTGCTTGCGTAGAGAGGTGGATGAGCACAAGAAAGCCCGGCTCTTCACGCAGTCATTATTGGTCCATCTCAGCGGCTTTCCTCCCGAGGGAAAGCACTGGGAAGACCTCTCATCTTCGCTCAAGCTCTCGCGGCAGACACACTGCGAGCCGACAGCGGCAAGTTGGCAGTGGCTCCAAGCCTGGGATGACGACGCCCAGCCGCCCGAGATGCACCGCTCCGCCACGGCCGCTTTGTGCTGTGCCTGCGTATGCCTTCACAACTGGATGGACAATCACCGCCGGGCCCGGGACCACCTGCAGTCCCTCGTCAACAGTCTAGAAACTGCCACAGAGCTCCCTGTCGGGCTGTGCCACACTGTGCTCTTCGCCATCCTCGACGTCGCCCAGCAGAAGCAGCAGCAGCAGCGGCGGCCGCTGCGCTTCGACCTTGCGCTTCTTCTATGCCAAGCCTCGCAGCTCATTGCATCAAAATGCCACTCGGAGCGGCGTCGCGAGGCCGCGGCCAAGGTTCGCGCGTTTGTGTCGCGCGACTGTGCCGACGGCTCGCTGCTCGACGCGTTGCTGGACGGCTGGGACAATGACGACTTGGCGAACCGGGTGCCGTTTTGTGCGCCCACGCTCGCGCAGGAGGGCCGGATCGTGTATGTGCAATCGGTTGATTCGCTGCTGTTTGTTTCGCGAGAGAGATTGAGGTTGCGCTGGATCAGCGTCCGTAAAATTGATTGGACAAAATCCGGGAGAGACACTATTCACGTGCGCAGCGGCGATGCGAGTCAAAAGGTCAAGTTTGGCCAAGTCGGGGTAGAATTCTACAAGGCTCTTCTTCACTTGTGAATATCCAGCGTAAATCTTTTATGAGCCTCGATAGAAATAGCAACGAGTATTTTTTTTTAATATAACGTAGTAGACGACCGAAAGGTTAATCCTGGTGGGGTGTCTGAAAGCTCGAATACTGGTAGCTATCTTTGACGGCACCCTAGGTCTGAGTATATCTAGGGTCACCGAAATTATTCGGAAAGTTTAGTCGAGAGCGTGACGTTAACATGACGATAGTGTTGATTATTCTAAAGGGAGAACTACTGTATAACCTGGATGATCTTGGCGTATGCATTAAAAACCTGCAGCCAAGCAACTCTCCCTTCATCCTGTTACATTTGTCTTAGCGCCGTCTTAGAAAAAGAACGCAGCGAGCGTTGAGACACCAGCAACACACCAGACGATGACGCTGGCGGCGCCGGTGACAGGGGCAGCTGGGCGGGCGCTGCTCGATGGGGCGATGCTGGACGTCGACTGCGCCATGGAAGTTTGCGCAGGAGCGGTGCCATTGCCGCCGAACCAAGCTAGTAACGACGCGAGTGCAAGGGCAGTCGGTGACGGTCAACGTGGTGGCCCATAGGTCATTAATGCATGCCTATAGGGGAAATGGTGTTATATGCCGCAAGTATCCTAGAAGTAATATAAGTGTGAGTGCCCTCGGTGATGGTCGTCGGGTCAGGACAGTACGTTGTGCAGGAGTTGATCGTCTCTATGATGAGAGCTACTGCGTTAGGGTTAAGGCGCGAAGCTGCTGCTAGGAGAGATTATATTGCCGCGCAATACCACCGAGTTTAAAGCATTATACTATAGGCTTAAGGGCTCTAAAGTTTGTTGGTTTCTTTTCCTAACTTATAAGGGGGCAGGGCAATATATATTTATGAAGCTAGTTAGCACGTCTTAAAGCCTACTCTAGGGCAGGAAAACGTTAGTGATATATACACATACAGAACGATAGACGAGCATTTCGGATGACACGGAACATTCTGAAAGCAAGTTAAGATCCGAGTGTTGTACCTTTTCTCTATGTACTGATATAAGGCACCCCCCCCCTCCCCCCACTACGGAAACTATAAACGACTCTCGTTCGGATTTACGAGTAAGTAATTAAGTAGGCGGGGTAAGCGAGCGAGTTTCTATTTCGATATCTTACGATCATGTCTTCTTTTACGACTATCTAGCCAGTAATATTCCGGTGTATAGATCCAAGCCATAGCTTTTCAGCTCTTCGTGTTATTAGGTGAGTAGATTTGAGAGAATTAGAAGCGTAACGGCAACTGGTCAGAGATGGTTTGAATATCTATAAAAGCATCTCTATTCTGGCAACTTCTGCAGCTCTGCTTGACTGAGCATTCGCTACAACCTCCACAAAGCTCGAACCTGTCACAATGTTTAACCTCACAAATCCATACCGCGCTATTCAGGTTGGTGTTATTCTGCTTCAAGGGTTAGTCAAGTATGCCTACGCGATCTTATCCTCTGGCTAACTGCTCCATCCAAAAGAGGACTTACGGAACTTATTGATGTGGCACCTATCGAGCTCCTTACCCATGTGAGCCATAAATTCGTTGACCCGCTACCGGAAGCTGTTGTCCCGAATCACATCAAGCAACAAGCGCATGAATTCCAGTTCCACTGGGTTTCCGAGGAAGGACCGGCTTTACCTATACTAGGTACTAGTGGAGTCATAATTTTGCCTACGGTATATATTATCCCAGGAAAATTCCCGTTACTACTCAAGGAGAATTAATTTCTTATAGTGTTCTTTTGAAACATGTCCGCCTCTAGATATTGTTATCATTGGCGCGACTGGCTCTGGAGACCCAAGCGAAACCGAAATACAATATCTAAGACAGGCTTATAATGATAGCTCCGCCTTTATCAGCATTTGCTTTGGGTTTCTAGGGCCACTGGCAGCTGGCTTGCTTGAAGGGAAAACCGTTACGGCGCCTCGTTTTGTCCTAGATACGTATCGGGCTCAGGTCCCACAGACGAACTGGGTAGACAAACGCTGGACAAGAGACGGCAAACTCTGGACTAGCGGCGCGCTATTGAATGGCTTAGATGTAATGTCTTCTTTCATTCAGCAGACGTGGCCAAGTGGCAAAGGCACTCTAGTGGACATGATTATGACAATGGCGGCATGGCCAAGCGGTAGTAGTAACTACAACACCACAATGTGGACATGATAATTGGCTCTGTAAATACAAAAGAAGTCACTATTAGTAGTACTCGAAGCGAAATAGATATATAAAAGATACTGTGAAAAGTCGGTCAAGTAGAGTTCAATGCATTTTCTTAGCAGGCTAAACAATATAGATAGCTAACTAATCAAAGGTTTAAATTGCTGGTCGATGTGTCTAATAACCAAGTAACTTGACCGAAGGCCCTAGCCTAGCGGTTATACCCCCTTGACCCCTAAGGTATCATAGCGGCGTTCAAAGTCACGTAATATAGAAAACGCTTACGTCGCTAGCGTAACGTTATAAAGAAAGAAAAAGATAGCTCCCGATTATAAGAAGCTCACTACTATTGGAAAGGGTAGAGTGCTAAGTATATAGTAGACCCATGTCTTGCAGACGTTTGGTTAGCTAACCGTCTTATCCTCTCTACTTACTAATACCTTCTCTTAAGTATTACGATATCCTAGCGTTTTATCTTAATTCCGACGTTACGTAGTACATTCCCACATTTATATAAATGCCGAGTAGGCTCGGATGTACTAGCCGAATAATAAAACAAGCTCCACTACTAACCCTATTATAGGATTAACGTCTGACATGCCGTGTGATATATACACAGACCTTTTTGCATTGGGCTCATCTCTCTACTACATCATGTAGCGAGCTCCACTATACAGCGATCGCAAAGATGTTGAGGTAGTTGAATGCTACAAGCGAAAGTCGTTTCTCGAGCTCAAAGGCGTTACATGCGGGGACATCATCTGCAGCTGCTGGCGGGAGGAATTACCATCTGCTAATGCCGCCTTGTCTCTACTCCATATGCAGCAACAGCCAGTCAATTCATTTACTCCATTCCTCTCTATTAGCTGTCGTTTCTTTCTCACTTTAAGATCTTGGCTTCGTCGGGGTGTGGCTTTGGTAAGGCTCTTTCGCGAAAAGCGGTGCTAGGAGGAACGAGTGGCTAATCTATATGATCCCCGTGTTATATGAAGCGATAGCTTAGTTCAGGTTCAGCGACATCTACTACTATACATAAATAACTCACTGTAAAACTAGAAAAAGCTTGCATGTACTGGCAAAAGTGCCACGTCTAGTGTAAACTAAGTTCGAGAGTAACCCTCGTCTCTGTGTTCAGGGCAATCATCGCCCTGCCTCGACGATCCCATCGTCTTCTCAATCAGATCCGGACAGTCAGAGCCCCTTGTGATGGCTTCTGCACAACGTTTGATGTGAAAAGTGCTCTTCTTGTCACATCCGCAATTGAAAATTTTCATGGAAACCTATGGAAAAAACATACGCTGCACATAGAGTTGTTAGCGACGTGCCATAGCAAAGGCTGAGCCAAGCCCACCGCTTAGAGTCTTCGGCGTCAATATTGGGAGAAGTCCAAGCTCGGCAACGGTTATGGGTGACGGAGGAAAGTGTCAAGTGGCGAGAGGCACAACAAGGAGAGGGATTGATACCAGGCAGCAGTGCGGTGTCGCGTATTATGGCTGGCCAGCCTGTTATCGATCAGACGAACCCCAAGCCAATGGAAGGTGTCGCCTCAGCGGCAGGCTTCGCAAAGCAAGAATGAGTCCAATCAAAAGTGAAAAACCAAAGCCAACTAGAAAAAAAACCAAGTAATGTATTATAGATGTCTCACTCGGTGCTTGACTGTGTCCTAATCTCTTATTTGTTCATCTATCAACGGCTTTTTTTTGGTGGAAAGTGACCGTTTGTGTAAATACGAGAAAAGCACCACATCTATGCACATAAGATTGTAGAAACAATGAGTTGAGTCTCGAATCCTTTTTCTAGCATAGCAGAAATTCAGTTTAGAATTTCTGCATTTCATGTGGCGCCATGGTGATTCGTGGAAGGAAGCGGGCAATATAGTTCCACCGCCAAAGGGATAGAGACTGTTACTATATATCATCTATCCCGCTTGCTATAATTCTAGCAAATCAGAAGATATAGAAGCAATGCTCGTAATTTTATGAAGAATCAATAGTAGTTTATATAAGTAGATAAAACATAGATTATTCGATTCGCCTGCTTTTTGATGTCTCCAGCTTTCTAGTGCATCGCCAATGGTCAGGTGGCATCGGCTTACACCAGTGCTGTTTGTGACGGTTCCAGTCTGCGCGCAGCCACGCCGACTGCTGTTTTGCATTGTATGATAAAAATGGAGCTGAACGGGGAGCAGCATTCTTCCTTGCGTGCAGCTCGTAATTACTTGCCCTTGTGTTCCATTACTACAAGTTTGAGTTAATTTATCTGCTCCTCGTCGGTCAGCCGGCCACGAGAAAGAGTGGCACTCGGACGGTGACAGCCTTCATTATTCGATGGCTGCGCTATAGACGATATTCAGCAACGCCATCGAACACATCCTACGGTGTACAGTGTCTCAGCATGAAGTGATCATCAGGTGACGCAGATCCGAGATTCATCCTGCATCGTGCAACCTGAAAGTCGGGCCTCTCCTTTGCATGTTGTACAGCCACCTCCTTGCCCATGCTACACTGCTTCATCCTACATCAATTGCAGGAAAAATTTTCACTCCGCAGTAATTCGACTATCTTTCAAACTTGATCACAACTACCGCAAAAACTATCCAACTAACCTCAGTCGTAAGCAAGCTGCGCGTCCGAAGAGCATGGGACAATCGAAGCATGCCGCTGCGCAAGCAGTCTCTCCACGCCTGACTGAGCTGTCTCTTACTTCAGTGCAATTTGATGAGATACAAAAGGCGAGAAAGATGCAGACCATTTCTCCAGAGCCTGCGCAGAACATGCCCCCGACGCCCTTGGGCGAATTCACGACCACGTTGAAGAACGATCACGAGAGCCGGGCAGATACGTCGCCCCTGCCTTGTCAGAGGCTGTGGGTAAACGGCGGGCCCAAGGAAGCGCTATGGCAGGGAGTTGAAGAGCTACAGAGAGCCATGGTAAGCGTACATCTAATTTTCAAAGCACAAGGTGATGCGTAGGCTAAGTCGGAGATGATCAAGGCACGTCGAGACGATGGCTTTCACTACGTGAGCTCTGACTACACCCCCATGGTGAAAGGGGCGGCCACAGGAAGTAGATGGAGCTGGCCTGTCAAAAACGTCAACAAAAAGTCGACATCAACACATTCTGGCTATCAGCGATCAGAGAAATTGCATCACAAGAATTCGGCCTGGAAACGGTACCGAGCTCGGGTGCGACCTCAGCTCTGGCATAGTCGGCTATATATGCGCATGCAAGACAAAGCCCGACGCCGTGACAGATGCGTGGCCATGGGGCACGCACCGCACCGTACTGTTGACCTGGGAGCGTTCTCTGACGCCGGCAGTCGGGGAACGGTGAGCCAGTCTTTGCCGGAAGAGAAGCAGCCAGAAAATGATGCAGTTCCGGCATGGCTCCCAGAGAGACACCAGCGCGTTGACAGTGCCAAGCTCCTGGCGCAGTACATGGCTACATCAGACTATATCGTATCGCTAGCTGGACCACCATTGCCAGACATGCGATACGGTGTCATCATCGTTCCTTGCGGTGAAGAAGAGCTCCTCCTCAAGCAACCAGACCAGGAAGTTTCCTACGAGGATGTCAAGACTGCCTACTCGTTTACTGGCGATGATAATGGGCTGCTGTATGAGGAAAACCCCAATTCCATATTGGGTTGCCAATCCTCGATGTCGAGCACCGAATTCCGCTACTATGACAGACAGCGACTCCTCGAGGAGTGGGAAGACGATCAACGAGCTACGCCTTGGGTCCGTCCAAGCTACGGGAGCAACTGGTCCGAGACCAAGAGTGACTCACAGGAGGAGGGGAATCCCAAACTGGTTGATTCGGCACAATTTTCGCAGTGGTCCGCTACCCATGCACCCGACTATGGAAGCTGGGTCGGGCAGGAAAACCAGTCCTTTGACGAGGATGGGCGCCAAGTTGCAAGCGTTAGCACAACGTCAAACGAAACTCATGAGCCAGAACGCATGGAGTCGTCCAAGTTAGTCAGTAACCTAAACTTGGCAGGTTCTGCGTCGGAAAACCCGGCTTGGGGCACGTCCACGGTTTCGGAGCAGCTATCGCAGCATGCATCGCAGGCAGCCATTTCAACTGCGCATGTGTCGAATAGGCACCTTACTAGCTCCGATTCTGCGATTTCGAAATTGGTCCCTGACGCATCTACTGACAGCTACCCAACGCCAGCTCCCGCAACACATGATGACGCTGAGGGGCCTCGGAACGTACTAGCTGACCCGTCGTGCGTCCAGCCATTACTGGTCAAAGGGCAGTCAACTTTTGAGAGAACTTTGAAAGGCGACGGCAAAGGAAAGAAGCGGTACAGAGCTTTTTTCACCGGACTATTCAACGTCCTTCTGAGGCGAAAGCCGTCGATTGAGCCACGCCGCCGGGCAGGGGCTTGAATCCAGTGGCTTTGTGGGAGATTTCTGATGTTGGACAAATGACAAAAGTTGAAAGATTGGTCAAGAATTGAGCAATGGACGGGAGGATTGGGAGGCCGTTGCAGATAAAGTTGCACTCACGGGCCGCTTGACCAGAGTTTGCCATTCGACCATGTAGGCGAGAATTTGCTATGCTGATAGTTGCAGATGATTAAGTAGCCAAAATTGACGACATATTAATCATAAGCCGGACCCGGTAATGTACATATTACCAACCAAACCGGCGTCCCCAGGTGACATAAGTCTGAAAGACGGATCGGTCTATCGTGCTCTGGTGGTGCCAAGTTGCCAACTCGTCCAGCGACTTTAGCGCCGACACAAGGGCCAATAACCAGGCAACTAACCCTGCCATTCCCGGTTCGCAATTAGCCAAAGTCTCTCAATGAAGATAACATACACTGCAAGATTCCCCGAAGGGAGGCTGCAGCGCTTGGCTTTGTTTCTCGCCCAACTTTGGCATGCAACTGCATCATTTTGAGTAACGAAAGCAGCTTGGCCTATATATTGGCAAATAAGAGTCCTGCCACCACACAAGAGATTATCCGGTATGGTGTAGTGGCTAACATCGCTCGCTCTCAACCAAGAACCGAGCAGCCCAGGGTTCGATTCCCTGTACCGGAGTTTAATTTCTCTTGCTTTCCAAACCGACCTTATTTTTTTTTTCCTTACTGTATTTTATTACTTTTACAAGTAATACCTGTTTTTCCTTCTGAATTACTAGCAGCTCGAGCCTGGCATTGATCAATAAGTGCTGCGAATATAGAAACTTAACAGCAGCTGATATACTATATAAAAATTGGCGGTTTTTATGAAAAAAATAGGGGCGAATCTTATAAGAATTCCTGAGAGTCTGTGTCGGAATCAGGCCCTTAGTAGGAGTTACTGCTAGGTCTAACTACTAGCAGCGGGTAGGCTTCAAGCCTCAAATTCCGCTACTTTCCACAACTCGCGCCATAGGGGAGCGTGTTAACGTCTTGGCAAGAAACTATACGGACCTCGGCTATAGCTGATTACATATTGAAAATTTATCTCAAGCCAACCAACACACTATACCCAATCACATGCTTCCGCGTAGAGAGCTAATAACGGACTGATATTCTAACATTTCTAAGCTAAATATATAAGCGGTGCTTACTTGCTGTTTTAGTCCCCTTAATTGTACAACATTACTATCTTGCCATTCTTTCGCGCATTGCTACCATGCCTTCCACACTTGCTGAGCACATCGCCCTGAGGCAAGAGGATGACCACTACGTCTCCTCCTCCTTACCTCAGCAGATGGGCAACGCTGCCCCGATCGCCTATGGAGGCTACACCATCGCTCTCGCCATCCGTGCCGCGTACCTGCGTGCCCCGGATGGATTTCATGTCTACTCGGTTTTAGGACACTACCTTCGAGCGGCTCACACCGAGTCCAGCCTGATTCTTAACCCCGTCGAGCTTCGGCGAAGCAGAAGCTTTGCAACGTATCGCGTTGTTGTGCAGCAAAAGGATAAGAAAACGGATGAGCAACGTCTTTGTGCGGAGGTCATGGTGGACTTCCATTGCAATGAGCCGTCGCTGCTGCAGCACTCTGCCACTCCGACCCGCAAGTACAGCCACTGGACAGACTGCCAGACCACAGAACAAAGACTAGAAGAGCATTTGGCCAAGCCTAGCAAGACGTCGCAGGCAGAGAATAAAATCTTCAGTACTCTCTTTGGGCTGTCTCGGATGCTGTGGGACGCTCGACTGTGCCCAGAAGGCGTTGCCACTCAAAACTTGGTCGGAATTGCCAAGAGTGCCAAAACCAGCCAGGATGACCAACACGCCACGTCCAAATCTTCAGCAGATTGGATCAAAGTGAAGCATCCGTTGAAATCAGAAGCAGAGCAGATGGGCTCGCTGGCCTTCATCTTGGATGGGCTCTTGTCATTCCTGCCGCTGGTACACAACCATCTGTTTCTAAACGATTCCGAAGCCTGCTCAAGCTTGGACTTTGCGTTGCGAGTATTTGTACCTCGGCCAAACCTTACCGAGTGGCACCTGAGAGAGGCCATCAATCATGAAGCTGGACAAGGCCGAACTTACAGCGAGAGCAGGCTATGGGACGAGAGCGGCAATATGGTTGCGTCCATGACCCAACAGTCCATTCTCAGAGCTCCAAGAGGCAACCTTTAGCAATACTGTATATGATATAGCATAATATATGATATAGAATCGAGGAATTAGAATCAGATAGATTTCCGAATGTTTTATTGTACTTATATATTAAAACTATTGCCTAAGACGTCGATTGACACCAGACTTGTAATTCATCAATTCATCTGAATCCAGAGCCGGATTTACCTGAATGACTGAATCAGCACTTAGATTCCAGCATCAATTAACTATTCAACGATTTATTGTATCATGCTAAACATCAACTCACTACACGAAAAACGCCTGCTCTAGGAACTATCCATTGCTGATTTAGCTTCGTTAGTGTCTAGCTTTGTATAAATCGGTTCTAAACGTCAGGCTTTCTATCTATATACGTTTAGATTAATTAATTTTTATATAAAATTCTATAACTATACTATATTCTATTTTCTATATAACTAGTTCCTATTCTAACCGTAATCTATATGTATTATATATGGCGGAGAATTGATAATCTTTCCGTAATCTATGTAATAGACGATTCGACATGTTTGTTCGACAGCGACGTCTATCCTTCCTGACGACTGTTATTGCCAAACGTCCGACGCGTCAGTGGATCCTTGGTGGCTTCTATTGCCCATGTGCAATCTGCCTCCGTGTTCCACTAATGATAGTGTGACGTCAGCTTACCATCGGTCCATCACTTCTAGCGACCGCTTATCACCAGAACGAAAGACGACTGCGAACACATGGGCGCACGCTCGCGACCCTGCTGGTTTCGACCATTGCAGGCATGACATGGTCCCACTATACTCCACAGGCGTCTCGACGACCTTACGAAATCATCTATTAAAGATTTAATATTCACAGCGTTAAGCTAGAGACACTCGTCTAGCTAGTTACTATCTATAACCTCTCTTATAACTAGTATAACTAGCAGTTACTTATTATTATTATACCTAGTAGCTTCTAGTTTATAGGTTTTACTAGTTATTATTTAATATACTTCTAGCTATCTTCTATTATTTTATTATTATAATTTATATTCTTACTAATTATTTTATAATTACTTTTCCCTACTTACTATCTATATCTAATTTTATTTATTATTAATAACTAGCTATTTTATTTTTATAATATAATTTTAAAAGTTATATAGTTATATTAATATTAATTACTATCTAGTAGAAAAGGTAGTTACTTAATAGTTAAGAATAATAAAATAAAATTAGTTTTTCATAGAAAAAAATTTTAATAGTAGTAATTTCTAGATAGATTAAAACTCTTTAAAAACTAATTATAAAAGTAACTTAATCTCTATCTAGTTATAGTTAGTTTATTATTAAAATAATGATTTAACTATATTTTTATTATATATTATTTTTATAAATTTATATTAACTTATAGATATTATATAATTTACTAAATTAGACTATATTTCTAGTGCTAATATAATTCTATAATCTATTATTTTAATAAAAATAAAATAGAAACTTTTACTTATTCTAAGTTAAATATTACTAGATAAGTAATATAATATAATTAAAGAAATATATTTCTAATATAAAATAACTATAACTAAAAAAGAATTTAAATATTTAATTAAATTAAATAAAGATTATAATATAATAACTAATATCAAAATTATAAATATATTATAATTTAATCAGTAATAAAAAAAATTTAAAATTAATTTTAAATAAGTAACTAAAATTTATAAGTAAAAAGATAAATAAATATTTAATAAAGAGAGGTATTTTAGTAATTAATTAATTTAGTTTTTTATAAATGAATTTAAGTAGTTATTTTACTACTAAGATATTTACTCTTAATAAGACTTTATATTTAAGATATTACTTATTACTACTCTATAGTATTTAACCTAAATTACTACCCAAGAAATAGACTAACATCTCTTCCGGGCGCTCCCCTAATCCATCCCACTTGCCTGCAAGCTACTTGAACCACTTACCACGATAACCTCTCCCTCGGCATAGTTGATGCCAAACACGAAACTAAATGAAGAGGCTTTGAGCTGTTCATACTACTTTTCAGCGTCACGCAAACCCTGCGGTCCCGTTTCTTCGCCATCAGCGGTAGGCTGTTACCGCAATAGAAAGTGCCCATGCCACTTCCCGGTCCGCTCGCCACACTCATCACGACCAACACCTCACAACCTCAATCCCAGTGTATTACGTGTCATCTCCCTACATACAGAGCACTCTCTATTGATCTCTGCATTGCCTCTGTTCCCCCATTATGGCTTCTGAGCCCTCCCTCCGCCGTCTCGGCCCCATGTAAGCTCCCCGTTCCCCTTGTCCATCTTGGTCCATCTCACGCCTCCCCCAGGGAGCTTTACTCTTCATCGCGCCACCACCTCGGAATCTACCGCGCCGTATGCATCTCTGCGCGGTACGTCCCGCGGTCGTGCATCGCAGGGCCGTCATCTCCACGATTCATCGCCGCTCTAGCTGCCGTCGTACGTGCGCACCCGATGCTCCGAGTCGGCATCGCCGGTGAGCACAGCAACGCCGCATGCTATACTCACATTTCTCGCATCAATCTGCAAGAGCACATTCATCTCGTACCCGTGCAGTGTGACTCGGAAGAGCAGCTAAACAGCGAGGTGGCGCGCGTGCAGGCCGCGCAACATAACCATCTCTGGGAGTCTACAGCTACCAAACCCCCCTGGCGAGTCACAATCATTCAAGATCAAGACCGAGACTGCTACGACGTCATGTTTTCATTTCACCACGCTCTCATGGACGGCACAAGCGGTCGTCTCTTCCACTCGCACCTCCTCGCCGCTCTCTCTTCAACTCCTCCTTCTCCCCCCTCCGCCGCCGCCAACGACGACCCCCTCCTCTCCTTCCCCGACCCTCCAGTGCTACCCGATCCCCAAGAAGACGCCGTTGCATTCACGCTCGGGCCTTTATACATGGCATGCGTGCTCTGGGGCGAGTTCGCCCCTGCGATGCTGAAACCCGCGCCGCGGTGCCCCTGGGGCGGCGAGCCAATCGACTTTGCGCGGCCACATGTAACGCGTATCCGAGCCGTCGACATTCCGCCTCAGCAGACCAAAGTACTGCTTGCTGCGTGCCGCGCCAACAATACAACACTAACCGGGCTTCTACACGCGCTTGCCCTCGCCTACTTCAGCACTACGCTTCCAGAACATGCGGCCGCGCCAGGCTTCTGCGGCGCGACGCCAATGGGGCTGCGCAGCCACGCCCGCGACGCCTCTCCCACCGATGCGCTCCGCGTGCTTCTCTGCTCCACGGAGCACTTCTTTTCCGGCGACGACGTGGCCGCTGTCCGCGCCGCCGCCGCCGCCGCCGACACCACGCTGACCACTGCCGTCGTCTGGGCCACGGCTGCGCGTGTCCGCCGCGAACTCGCCACGCGCAGCAAGACTCTCACGCACAACAACGTCGCCGCTCTGATGAAACACGTCAGCGACTGGGGAGAGTTTCACGCGCGCCGCGACGGAACCGCGCGGACCCTATCCTGGGAGGTCAGCAACGTCGGCGTGCTGGGGCAGACGGCGGCAGCGGCGGGGGGAGACGATGCCGAGGCTCGAATCAGCAGAATCCTATTCTCAAACGGCGCCATGGTGACGGGTGCTGCGGTGGCTATCAACGTGGCGTCGGCGGGACAGGGCCAGCTGGGTATCGCGCTGTCATGGCAGGAGGGCGTCGTGGAGGGGAGTCTGGTAGAGGGGCTGGGGAAAATGTTGGAGAGGGGGGCGGAGAGGTTCTGCAGTACGGAGAAATGGGTGTTTGGAAATGATGAGATTGACGAAATGGATGCGGCGGATAGGAGTAACAAACAGGATAGACAAGATGGTGTAGAATCTGCTCATCATTGACCGATAATGCTTAATACATAAGCCAGACTTCGGGTATGCATTATGGCCGACAGCATCTTTAATGGAAACGTCACAATCGTCAATTTATGCTCGCTAAAACCACTTTTGTACAGCATCTTCTAATTCTATACTCCACACGTTCCCCTTAGTTACCAGCCCTGATGCGGGTGGTTGCTCTGGTTCCCTCTGCGGTAATCCTGCTGTCCCTGTCCTTGCCCTTGCGCCGGCGGGGCTCCGTAAAATCCCGGCTGCCCTGGCACCCCTTCAAAGTCGTCGTGATAAAGCCCTGGATGGTCCTGCCCAAAAGGATTTTGCTGCGGCTGGGTAGGCTGAGGCATAGAAGCCACAGGACCAGCTGCCAGGCCGGGGGATTGCGTTCGCCCAGGAGCGGGACTCTGTGTGTGTCTAGGAGCTGGAGATTGTGTGTGTCGAGGAGCAGGGCTCATCTGCCGCGGCGCCGGGCTCTGAGTCGTTTGTCGTAGAGTGGCTCCCATTGGCCCGGCGGCCGGGCCGGGAGATTGCGATCGCGATTGAGGCGCCGGGCTCATTCGGTCTTCATGCGGAGGCACTTCTTGATACGCGCCAGGGCGGGGTACCGGGCTTGCTCGGCCCGAGTCCAGCGGCTGATATCCACGGTTTCCAATTATGCTACGTCCTGGCGCGGGGCTGGCTCTACCCGAGTCGAATCCGTCTTGAGAGCGAGGATAGGCCTGAGGTCCAGGGCTGCCTCTACCGTCCACGGGCACATCCGAAAAGCCGGCTATCGGCTGAGCGTGCACCAAACCAGTCGAGCTCGAGTTGTCAAAGTTGCCCAGAGGGCTGCGCATGCGGTCTAGTTCGTTGGCAGATGCCTGGCGAGAGTGAGCACCGTCCGCATACACATTGTTGGCCTGTGGTCGGTATGAGTGATAGCTTGTGTCCGACATGCCAGTGCCGACACGTCGTGGGGCGCTAAAGGGCGCCGTGCGACCCGACATGGCACTCCCAGGGCGCTCGTCAAAAGAGACGGGCGTTCCGGCTCGCGTAGTGGCTCTATCACTTTCAATACCGTAAAAATCGGCACCGCCATGCTCGTCGAGAAATTCTGCTCGGTTTTTGAAGTATTCAAAATCCATGTGATTCTCAGACACAAACTCGAAGCCCGGCACGCCAGCGGCTTTGCCGGCCTTGCCAGCCTTCATGCTGTCGAGTGCGTACATGTCAGAGTAGCCACTGACACTCATGAGATCGCTTGCCTCCACATCTCTGCCGTCAGTCAGTCTGCCCGAGTAAACAGAGGGCAGCAAATTTTGAGCTTTTTGATTGACCATGGGCGTAATCAGCTTCTTGTATAGAGCAGGGTGGCCGAATCGGCTGGCCAGCTTTTCGCTTCGCTGGCGGTCGGCCTGGGCACGAGCTGCCTCGGGGTTCTTGCGGACATTAAGTAAACTGTAGAAGCGAATCTTGTTGTCAAAGGTATTGGCACAATAAAGCTTGAATCCAAACATGAGGAAGGGGAGGGGAATGACGGCAAAGAATTGAATGTGGTCGCCGTCGCCGCGAACCCAGGTGGTAAGGAGAACAACACAATTGGCCAGCATGGTGCCAAAGATGAAGCGATTAAACACAGTGCGCCAATAAAGTCCGCCAGATTCGGTCTTGGTGACGAAGCGGTACAAAATGAGGTACTTTTTCAGGTAGTGGTCGAGAGTAAAGTACATGGCGGCGGCGGGCAGTACAAGCGGCATGATGCCGGCAAAGCAAAGGCTCGAGGTGGCGTAAAATAAAAAGTAGGTGTAGTAGCTGGCATATTCAAAAGGAGGGGGCGCGGTAAGCTCGATGAGCTCTCTGGGCGTCGGGCTGGAGAATTTCTTGAGGAAAAAAGCCCTGGTCAGCGACCAGAGCTGCGCCAGATCGGTAGCAGCGCCGAGCTGACGTTGGAGCAAGTACGTGACCCAGAAAACGCCGTTGGAGCATAAGGCTTGGAACAAGCCGTCGACGATGCTTTTGCCATTATCCTTGTTTGCGCCCTTGATTGCGTCCCAGCCGGACTCTCCCGAGGTGGCGTTGCGGATAATGTTGAAGACAAAGGTGAATACGGTGGAAAAAAAGGAAAAGACGACGAGATTGTTGATGACAAAAAAGGCGTACATTTTGCCAATGACGTGTCGCTCTCGGCCGGTTTTGGTCTGGTCGCCACCTTTGGTAGAGAGACGGCGAAAGATCACGGGCAGGACTAGGTAGGCGAGAGAGGTCAAGGTGGGCGCGAGAATACCCTGGACGAGACCCCAGAACCTAGGGTTGGCCTCGAGCGAGGTCTTGAAGGCAGGCCAGAGGCGTCCGAGGTTGCTGAGGTTGACGAAAAGCATGGCAATCAAGGCATTAGGACCGATCCAGAGGACAGTGAGAATGGCCATCCAGAAACTGTTCGCCCACCGTCTACGGCTGCGGACAGAAGTGGAGAGCGGCATGTTGCGCCAGATGATGTCGTTGGGACGGGGTGCGAGAGTAACGGTGGTGCCCTGGGGCTTCTTCTTACGAAAAGAATAGGCAATGCTGTGGGCTTCGGCGATGTCACTGTAGCTGGCGAAACCATAGGGCATGGTGCTTCTCTTGTCGACTGTGGTCCGGACCTGCTTGATCTCGGTTTCGAGATCGCGAATGCGCTTGGTGTAGTAGTCGATGGCGTCAAGTTTCTGACCCTTGGGATAGGAGCCGTAGGCATGATCCTTTTTGGAGGGCTTGCAAGTAGGGCGGTTGGGAGGCAGCTTGGCGGGGTTCTTGAGGTATTTGGCGAGAACGGCTTCGAGCTTGCGCACAGTGTGGTCGTGCTGCTCGATGAGCTGGGGCAGCTCCTTGACGTTCCTGGCAATGGCGGTCCTGGCAAAGGACGAGCTGGGCGCGACCTGGTCGATGATGCGGGCAATGCCTTCGTCGGATGCGCACTCGCGAGGCAAGTCGTAGAGCATGAGGGTTCTGGAAGCAAGGCTGGTTTGGAATTCGTCCGTCTCGAAATACCTGCGGCGAAGCTGGGCAATCTCGCGGTAGTTCCACCAGAGGAAGCCGGCGACGATGATGTCAAAAAGATAGGCGGCTACGACCTGAACCCATTGGGCACGACCAAAGACGTTGAGAGGAGATATATTGGTGAGCCAGCCGAGCTCGCTCTTGTCGCGGATGGCGGCCTTGGTAAGGTGGACGGGAACGAGGATGCCGACGCCGACGACGCTCAGGGCGAGAAACATGTTGCGACACATGCGCATGAAGCGGATAAAAATGGTGGCGTCCATACCAACAGTCTGCATGAGGACATCTTCGTTGGTGTGGAGGACGGGAGGGACCCAGGCAAATAGCGACTTTCCTATCGTCGGGGGCGCATGCTTTTCGTCGGCGTGCTTGACCTTCGGAGCGTAGACGGCCTGGTTGTGAGGGCGGAGGAGAGAGAAACAGACGGCGAGGAAAAGTGTGAAGCCGACGGAGACGCCAATGGCGGAGTAGAGGGAGGAGGAGGCGAGGGTGGACGCAAAGGGATCCTTGAAAAGGTCGAGCAGAGCGTTGTCGTCCTTGGGGTTGCCGTCCCTGGGAAGAAGGGAAGCCATGGTGGCCGTGGCCGGCCGAGGATACGCCGAGATGTATTGAATGTAGCAAGGTGTGAGATGAGTCGGGTAGGACAGTGGTCGGTGAAAGAGTGAGACGAGGTCGGTGGAAGTTATCACAAGGTGAGGCTGCGAGTGATGGTTGATGCAGCGCGAGGCTCTCGTTTGGGGCTGGGACTCGAGAAAAGTAATCGACGATCAATGTAGTGGTTTGTACGTATTGGGATCAGAAATTTCTATGACGAACGAGTGAGGAGAAATGGTTCGAAAGATGAGAGGATCGATCGCGAGCGAGGTCTATAGCGACAGATGGCGATTTTGTCGATCTCGTTGGAGGGACTGTGAAGCGAGCGTGTCCTGGCCGGGAGAGACGAGGAGAAGAGGAGCAAGGGATCCGGCGCAGGGGATAAGAAATGTTCAATAGGAATAAGAATTATTGTTATGACGAAAAGGAAAGGCAAAGCAAGGATACACAAAGGATGGAGACGGGAAGAAGGACAAAGGAAGAGGGGACCATTGGGCTGTAGCCTGTCAAGGACTCTTTTCTTTTTTTCTGCCGACGTATCAGCACCGGGAGCTTGACTAGCGCCGGGCGGTACGAGGTGTGTGCAGGCCCTGCAGGGGATGGAGTGGGGAGGCAAGGAGGGACTAGAGAATGTAGTGTCATCGATCAGCGAATGCTTGGCTTTTTAGGAGTTTATTGAATCTATCTATCATTCTTTACGTATTGCACTTTGGTGATTCTTATTGAGATGGTACCTTTTTTTTTTTGCCTATCCTGAAGACCAGCAGAAGTGGCTTGCAGATGGTCACGCTACAGAGCCGAGAGTGATAAAGTGCAGGTGGCAGGCAGGCTGCTTGGAGGCTCAACGGAACAGAAGTTGATAGCAGCAGTGGCTTTCTGATTGGTGCTGATTGCAACACTAGCGGGGATTCTATTTTGGTCCCCAGGACCGATGCACATCAGAAGAATCGTTGCCGCTTTGACAGCTTGAGAGTCGTTTGATAGGGTTTACTGGTATTCAATCTGCTGGAGCGGTCCTCTGATATTTCCCATCAATGTCAGAATTTTGCAATTCTGCGAGGCACTTTGACTGGCATCAACCTCTCGCCCAGGCTTCTGCAGTGGGTGCAGCTGCAACCCTTTCTGCGGCCCCGCAGTTTCAATACGAGGCACGGGTGCATAACCACCTTATTAGTACAGGGCGTCAAGTCATGCAACTCGGTGGGCTTGTCCGCATGGCGGCTCATCAGTGATTAGATCACAAGGCGTCTACCTAGCCGACCATGTGTCAGCCGTGCATCTCTGGTTTTTCCGGCAATTTTCATTAAGATCTCGACATTCGTTCTTCAACGAGTCTGTCGTCTTCCAGGACTCTTTGACAGCTCTGAGCTTACGACGCAATGGGGTCAGGGCCCGCTATCATTGTGGACCTGAGACACTGGCATCGTCTCAACTTGCACCGCTGCAGACAATAGATATTCTTCCATTCCAAGCTACAGTGAATGCCCCCCCGCGGATAAATTCTCTGAAAAATGCAGTTTCGATCTAATTAATCAAATTTACTGCACTCCATCGCTTGGATCCCTGCTACCACCTTGTACCTCCGAGCCATTATGTTCCTCTTTCCAGTACTGTACAACAATGAATTCACAGCCACCACTGTAGTGGAGACCCGGCTGCCGGCTTGACCTGCCAGATTTCCATTTTATTACCAGACCACCAGAACTTGCCAGGCGTGCCAGGCCAAAAGCAGGGACCGGCCATGCAAGCCCGCAAGCCTTGCTGCAAGCCAGCCTTGCTTCGAGTAAATCCTTTCGAATAACAAGTGGCCCTTCTCTTGCCTTCTAGAGCTAGAATTTTCTCCCGCATATTTGCCACTCGATGACCTATCTCATCCCCTTGATGACGAAATTCCATTAATGATTCCTTGGTTGCTCCGGTGTCCGGGTGCTTGGCTCTATTTGCTATTTGTGGCTTCCACACACCAACAAGACTACCTAATTCTCCACCTTGACCTCAAACCGCAAGTCATCGAAGCTGGCGGTCGGCCGTGTGACTGACTTCGTACGCAGTCACGTGGCAGTCACGCAGTATCATCTCTCATTGAAGAGTATTTTACTGTGTCTCATTCAATACGTACCACTCTTGACTGTCCGCGTACCTCGCGTGAAAGCTCTTTATCCAACAAGATTGCCTCGGGGTCCAGGGTATATGGAACAAACTCTGAAAACCCCAGAGATTCAGTAAAAAACACATCGTTTAACAAATCCTGGGCAACACGAGATCGTTCTACAATTTCTTCATCAACGTCATCCTACTCCATCCCACCTATGAATCCTGGCGCACGCCGAGCTTTGCCCAGTTACCAAGCTTCTTTGCAAGCGAGCATTGGATAAGGTAGCCCCTGTCATTATTATACCCTGCCTCCCTGCAGGCCGCGCAGTGAATGGTTGCATGCTTAAGACCTCAAGATGAATCAAGTCCGCCAAGGGGGGGACAAAAAAAACCGGCCCTCGTCGATTCTCGATACTGTCTTATTAATCATAAATACAGATAAGAGTAAGTAAAAAAATGTTTTTAAAAATATACGTTATATATTTAATCATTTTCACACTTATGATACTTTTTTGTCTATTTCTTAAAATTGTCTATGTCTAGCAAAATAACGGTTTAGAAACGAGGTGCTTTCTCAGAAGGGCCGGTTTAATGTGTCCCCCACATGTCCGCTTACAATACTAGTCATCCAGATATTGCGAAATGCATTCAGCCGTCTGGAGCAGGCATTAAAGGCTTGCTTTTCTGAGCATTCTCGAAATTGCCCGCGTAGCGTTGACTGCAATGCAACGCAAGCTTGTCGAATGGTCACGTTCATCCGATTGACTTAATCCAATTCAGTTTAATACAATAACCAAATAAACAAGAAACATTCCTAGGAACCATGTCTGTAACGTCCTTGGCCATTTTGCCTAAAATCAATACCCGTTTCGCCGCCGTAGTTTGCCTCAGTCGTTTCAGATCATGCTATCATCTGTAAGTTGCCGCCCCACCAAAGTCATTATTCCCCAGAGGAAAAGAAAAGTCAACAAAAAGTTGGCATCCTAAAATCCCTAAACGGCTCCCTGACTGCGCGTCTTACGTTGCGTTCTACCAACCGGTGCTGGCGTCGCCTTCTTCTTGGGACGTCCAACCTTTCTGGGTGCCGGCGCTGAGTCTCCCGCTGAAGCCGCATCCTCACCAGTCGCTTCCGCATTGCCATTGGAAGCAGGCTTTGACGGCTCTTCAAACTTGGCTTTCTTCTCAGCGGAATCAGCCTCATCCTCAAACTTCCGCTTCTGGCCATTGGTGGCAGAAAGCCCAGGAATGGCAGTCGTTGCGGCTGGTGTAGGGGCAGGCGCCGCAGGAACCGACGTCGGCTTCGCCGATGCCCCATTCGACGCGGATTCTGGCTTCGCCACCTCAGGTACAGAGGTCGGGGCATCAGACTTGGCCTCGGCTTCGGGCTTGCTGATGGGCTCTTGCGAAATGTCCAACACCGGTCGGGGTGTGCCGCCAGCAGGTGTGCCGGTATTAGCAGGCGTGTCGGGTACAGATTTGACCTCGACAGGCTTGGGAATCGACGGCGCAGACAGGAGCGCCGAGACCGCAGCCGGAGCTGCCGGTACGACCGTGGCAGTTGGTTCTGACGCAGTGGTCGCGGCAGGTTTGGCATCTTCATTCGAATCCTTGGGCGGCTGTGGTGGCGCGTCAAGGTTTGAGACGCTTGGAAGCGAGGCGTCGGCAGCATTAGCAACTGGCTTGGCCTCTGAAGCATCTGGCTTTTGCAGCTCGGCATTTTTGCTTGAGTCTGAGGCGGTGGGAGGCTCGGGTGCGCGTGTGTTGGAGGCTGGGTACAGCGGCTTGCTGATGGAGCCAGAGCCAGGCGGCGGGAGAGTGGAAGCTGGAGCAGCCGATCCAGCGCCTGTCGTGTGTGTGGTCGATGGTTCCTCACGAGCCCGCTCGACCGGGCCGGCCGGGCGTGGCATGAAGGCGACCTGATCAACCGAGGACATTTAGGCAGCTAGTTCAACGGGAACGGTGTTAGTGTGCAGTTTGGTAGCAGTGGTGATAGTTGCGACATCGAATCAGGCAGCTGCAAAAGTTCTACTCATCAATTGAGAAGCTCACACGCGCGCAGCCCGAATCATGCCGTGGGCTTGGAATGCCTACCGGAATCCAACGACGTGAGCAGCTATGATGACGTAAGGATACGAAATATGTGTGGAATCGCGTTGCGGATAGTCCACGCGCGGTAAGTGGTGCGAGGATGATGGGACGATGGAAGGGGTGATGGAAGGAGAGAGTTGTTCCCAGTGGCGCTACTCGATTGATGGCGGATAATGAGAGGTATTAATAGCGAGACGAAACGAACGCAGCAAGGAAACCTTGGGAGAACTTGGCAGGGGAGCACCAAGAAACGGTAATACCAGTTAATTACAAGCAGGCGGGATGGCTGGGGCCAAAGTACTGCCCAGGTCAACAACAAACAAGACATATACGCCGTACATTTACCGACATAGCTGTAGTTCTGCCAAAAGCTTAATATGATGAGGAGGTGCTGAGTTATCGAGGAACCAGCCACTTCTCCATATGAGAACAAGTCGCGGCGCACAGTGCACAAGACGCGAACGAGGCGGGGCTTGTGGGTATGCAGACTGTGTGCTGGTGGGTGGCACGGGGGCAATGGACGGTGCGGGAAATGCAGATCGAGACGGTAGAGGTACTTCTGATCTACATGACATTTCCATGCCGGTACCAAGTACCTGGCTTTTTCGCTTCCTTGGCCGACCGGTTGCGGGGAATCGAGAATAAGTGGAGTCGCTCCACGCTAGCTGCGAGACATGCTAACCGATGTAGATTGCAGTGGCGTTTTGAGGAGCAGGTGAGGGCGGTTTGCAAACTGAAGTGGATTAGATTGATGTGTATATATAAGAGGATGGAGATGCCCTAAAGTAACAAGTGTACTCGCTTCTTCGTCGCTACCTCTTTTCGTGATTGCATGACGTGGTGGAGTTGTGCTCGTCGTGCTCACTGCTTGTGTGACATGACTCTAACTCAATACCTTACTTGGCGAGGGATCAAAAAGGCTGCACAGCACTCTTGTGCAACAGGTCGTTCAGACGACTGAAAAACTCAAACGGACTCCGGCAAGAAAAGATTTAAAGTTTTCAGAAAAGATTCCAAACCCTTGCACTTGTAAAATACTACTAGACTGTAGGGTATGAGCAGCAGATCGGGCTCGCCGTGTCCCAGATTCCTTAAACGAAAGGGAAGGAGAGAAAGCTAAGTACGCGAAGACATCGTGGAGGAAATTTCATGTTTATTCGAAATTCCGCGAGCTTCGATGGTCAACTCCATTTGCAAATTCACAAATTGTTTACTGAGGAAACAAGTGACATCTCAAACGGCCCCACCAAAATACCCCCCCATCTCAGCAACCCTGAGCTATTGACTTGTTTTATGTCAAGAGCACACGGATTACGAATGACAAAAAGGCGACAAAAAGATAACGTCAACATGCAGGAAACAGCTATGATAGGATGCATCATTACAAATATCATTCTTCGCGACCCAAACCAAGAATTCGCCCAGCGGTGCCGACTCACTCGCAAATAATCTACCAAGTCCCAAGCTTATCTAGAAGCTTAATTTCCAAACATCGCCCAGTCGCTTATTCTCTTCATTGATGCCGCCATGCAAAATAACGGCGTCGCCGACCTCATCCCGAGAAACATCCGCGTCAAACCATCCGCGTGGCTCCGGAACTTCGCCCTCCGTCTTCAGCTTGTGCCATTTTGCCTGCTCAATGTCCCAAGCCCACGCATCAGCCAGCATCTTGCCCGCGCCCGCGTGTCCAAGAGCGCTGGGATCGCGCTCACCGAACACGGTCACGAGATGCGCTCTGCCCTGGATGGTCAGCGCCAGCAGGGTGCCGACACTCCGCGGCTCAGGCCCTTGGATGCCATCTGGTGTATACGAGAGCGTGATCCACGACTGCGAGGCAACATCGAAAACGTCAAGGCCACCTCCTAGCTCTTTCTTCCCATCAAAGCCGTTTATGCGGTATACCTTGCCCTGACTGAACGCGATGGAGGCACCGCCTCTCGCAGGCGCCGGTGCAGAGGGCAGCTCAGTCCAGGAGTTGGTCTTGATGTCAAAAGACCAAAAGTCGGACAAGCGTCCAGACTCTGGACACCCGGCATGCAGGTATATCTTGTTGGTGTCATTCGAGGTCACGCAGTGGTAGCTTCTTCCAGCTGGGTAAGGCGCCGCTTCGTCGGCGGGCTTGACCAATAGCCAGCTAGACGCTTTGGGTTCGTAGCACCAAAATGCCCCCTCCTCCTCAACAGGCTTCATGTCGAGTCCGCCGCGGCCTGAGAATATCCATATTTTATCCTCAAGGGCGGTGCTCGCGCTACCAACGCGTGGGACAGGAGCTTCGGTCGGCGGGGCAATGGTCCATACCGAGGCTTCTGTAAGATGTCAGATCTAATATTTACAAATATTTCGAGATTCATTACCGGAGGCAGGCGAAATCTCGACAATATCGAACTTATTATCAACGGGGTGGCGTGGTACCAATTCGCCTCCAAAAATGTAAGCCTTCTCCCCAACGACCGTGACAGTCTGTGAGGATCGATAAAGGCGTTGGGTGGCAACGAAACGAGACCACTTTGCCGTAGGCATTTTTCAAGAGAAAAATAATAACTGAAATAGAGAAAAGTATGAGAGCGAAATAGGACTGAAAGTATCTGGAATGTAAGATAATGGGATCGGCCAAAAAAAAAATAAAGAGAGTACAGAAAAGTGAGCGCGGTATCTGTATTATTATAGGTACGCTGCTCAACTACCGACATGTGGCAGAGTGCCACTTTGTACATCAGACATACTTCTAGGTCAATTGAACAGTCAACATTCATTCCGATTATGTAACATTCAAATACCTTCAAATTGGTGAGATATTTCATGGCTTGTTCAGTAGAGCTTGAGTGAGTATGCTTAGCTAATCGGGATGTGGCATTCCGCTGCCGCCACCTCTCAGGGTTCTGGACGGACTCCGATCACTCCGATGCTATTCTACACAGCAACTATCAATCACTCTCCTCATGCCTCCAAGAAAGGCATGCGATACATGTTTTAGACGCAAGGTACCCTATATCTCGGGCAAACATCTACCCACTTCTCTTGTATCGGCTCGCTGACTGCAATCGCGGATAGATCCAGTGCGTGATCTTGAGCCCTGGCATCCCATGCGACTGGTGTAGTAACCAGAAGATCCCGTGCACATTCACCCGAAAACCGCAAAAGAAAAAGCAGAATGCGTATAAGAGCCTTTCAAATCGTCATTTCAGCCTTTTTTTGACTGACATGCGACAGACTTACACCCGATGTAGTGTCTGCCTTGACTCGCCGAGTCGAGCAACTCGAAAATGACCTGGCTCGCAGAGATGTAGAGCAACAATTAGCATCGCCCAACACAGAGCAAAAATCAAGCCCAAACTCGCAGACTCAACGAACGCCGAGTCACCTCGAATCGCAAGTCGCTGATTCGCCAACTGAAGATGTTTTCTCCAAGAGCGCGAGCCGCACTCCCCGCCTCTCGCACCAGCAACTCGGGCGAAATTGGTACTTCAGAGGCATGCAAATATTGTCAAGAAAGGGACAGGACTGGATAGAGGCAAAGACTGGACAAGCATCGCCGTTGGAAGAGTATGTGACATTCGAGGCTCGAGGCGACCGGTACACCTACACCAACTCACAGGTCAAGCATGACCTCTCTGCCTTGCCTGCGAGAGAGCTTCCCGAGAAGCGCGCAACACTGGCGATAATTGATGCATTCTTCGACTCAACCGCCGATGTATGCTTCCCAGTGTTGGATCGCGCACTCATCAGTGCAACTGTCGACCAGGCCTACTGTCCTTCGAGCGCAGCACAATCGTTACCCGCCCAGGCATGCGTCTGGGCCCTGAACTCATGGACGAGATTCTTCTCGCTTCCAGCTGGTCTTTTGACAGGTGTTGATGTTGAAGCTTGTATTGGTGAATGCAAATCAATCCTTGAGAAATGCCACTGGGAGCCCAGTTTAGAAGCACTGCAAGCAATACTACTGCTGGTAAGCGCAAAAGGAGAGCCACCAGGATGCACGACGGGTATTAACAGCAGCAGGAATACCAGGGCACCCCCCTCAATGTGCAGAGCGATCCATCAATACATGCGATTGTCTGTCACATGGTCTGTGAATTATTAGACTCTCATCAGCAAGAGGCCTGTTGCGAGGACACAATGAAAGACCGCAAACGCCAACATGTTGACAACCTTTTCGACCTGTGCTATATCCTCGATAAAAATATTGCATTACGATTCGGCCGACCACCTCTGTTGACAGAAGAGTACTACGATGTAAATCTTGCATCCGCCACGCCTGGTTCGACGGAATTGCCCCATGACTATCCCAGTGACCCGAAGCTGAATCTCGTCAAAGAAAGAACGTGCCGTCTCCTGTACTCGCCAAAAGCATCAAAGCTGTCGGACGGCGAGATATTGCAGTATATTCGGCAGCTGGACCAGGAACTCGAACAGTGGAGGCTTTCTGTTCCAAGGTTGATACGTCCCAGGTTAAGCATTCCTCCTGACTTTAGTCCGTTGATCGGCGAAGCGACAAAGCGGCAAAAGAAGCAGCTCATCAACTTGCAACTCGACTACCACTACACTTTGATAGCTATCCATGCCATGGTCCGGAAATGTGGTGCTGCAAATGAGGAAATGGAGCTGCCCGAGGACTTGCACAGCGTCGTTCATTCAAGTGTCGATATTTCCTTGGAAGCGAGCCGGTCGACCTTGACTTTCGTCGGATTATCTCTTAGACTATTGGGGAGAGGAGCTTCTCAGTAGGTGCCAGTATCCTATTAATTTCTGTCACCATCCCTCTGACATGCCCAGGTATATACAGTGGTATGCCCCCGTGGCTGCCATGGCGCTATTCGTCAACGGCCTTGTCCATCCGCTCAGTGACAGTCTGCAGACAGACTTGGGAGTACTGATCCAGACAGTCGGCATCTTTCAATCCGTTCCGCTTGACACTCTATCATCCGCCGAAACACGGCAAATCGAGACACAGAGTAAATTCATCATGGAGCTACTGCGGCTGGTGAGTAGCGCCATATGGAAGGCAAAACAGGGCGAAATGGACGTGGATTAGAGACACTTAATACGAAAGCTATGCTTTCTGAAGACATAGTGTCTCTGCGAGAGCTGTGCAACAAGGCTGTCCAACGAAAGTAAAACACGTACGAGTGATACCCGGTCGTACCGAGATTACACCTTGGAGCCACAACGCCCACCTGTGGACAACCTTTTCGGGCTGTGCGACAACTTTCATACGCTGGGAAGCTTCTAAGATTCGCGTGCGGAGGCTTGCGTCTTTTCGCCCGACACGACAATGCAGTTTTCCAATCGCGCGATAAATTCGCGGTTACTACGCCACGAGATTTTGTTGCGGGCAACCACCGAAACCAAGCCCGCAAAAACAGCAATCTGCATATTATCCACAAATTTATGCAATAGTCTCGGGGTTTATGGATGTCCCTGATGTGTCGGTTGGCGTGGTATTTGCCCAAGTTCATTGCATCTATACAGCCATGGATATACCGTTCTTTCGGATGTTTCTGCCACCGTCGATGCCCCCTGGTACGGCGTCTTACGCAAAGGCGCAGGCCGCGGCACTCGTTTCCTACCTGATCAACTCCGGCAACTACAGTCTCGCCTTTCCCGAGCACGTGCTGGACGCCGTTACCCACTGGCATGGCCAGGCGCTGCGCGAGAATCTCTGGGCGCCGTTGGGAATGAAAGCGACATATTTCGATGTATGTGATGCGCTGGCGGCGCTCTTGGCGGCCGGTCATGTGTGGACTGAAGCAGCGGGGAACCATATACTCGTGGATCATATGGCTGTCACAAATTTCGATGCCGCTGGACCGGTCACCTCAATATTCAAGGTCTACGTGAAATAGATTTGCTGCTTGATTAACAAGCAAGAATATACGACCGTCAGAAATGCGTACCTTGATATCCAGAAGCCAAGAATCTTGGGACGAAAGTGGGGTGGCTTTGCTGCAGGAGATCAGATGGCAATTACCTACAGCACGACAAGTATAAAAGAATACGAAAGAATAAGAAAGACAAAGCCAAGGAAGGTATCAAGAAAACAGTTCAGTACGAACAACGGTTGACAGAAGCTTGGAACAATCCACAGCCTTTATCGCTACTTGCCGCATCTACTCGATTGACTACCATCATCAGGGGAAGCTGCGAGTCGCGTCCCAGCCCCAGCGGCTAACAAGCTTGGTTGGCTACCAGTGATTCCATCCACGATATTGCTATTCTTTTCTCTTTCTACCTGTCTCGATCTCTTCAACCTTTCTACCGGTTTACATCTACCAATCCCAAACCGTATAAAATGGCTGCCATGAAAAACACTGCGTAAGTCCTCTCCCGCCATTCTTGCGTGCCCCTCAACACCACACCTCCCATCACCACTGCTTCAGCAAGGACCCCTCTCCTGCCCCTCCCCCTCCCCCTCCAGCCACCGCCTCTTTTCCCGTCGATTCTTCATCAGCACACCCTAACTTCCCCAGTCACAAGTTCATCCTCAACACGGGTGATACGATCCCCGCCATCGGCCTCGGCACATGGCAGTCCAAGCCCCACGAAGTGCAGGCCGCCGTTGAGGCTGCGCTCCGGGCTGGCTACCGCCACATTGATACCGCGACGGATTACGGCAACGAGGCCGAGGTTGGCGCCGGCATCAAGGCCTCGGGTGTGCCTCGCGACCAGATCTGGCTCACCACCAAGCTTTTCGTCTACGACCACAAGCGCGTCGCCGAAGCACTCGACGACTCACTCGCAAAGCTAGGCGTCGACTATGTCGACCTCTACCTGATTCACTGGCCGGCGTCGGTGATTCCCGGCCAGGAAGCCGTGTGGGATGACTGGAATTTTGTCGACACCTGGCGCGAGATGCAGAAGCTGATCGGCACTGGCAAGGCCAAGAACATTGGCGTCTCCAACTTTGCCATCAAGAACCTCGAAACTCTGCTCAACGACCCCAGCTGCAAGGTATGCTCGTACACTCCCTGAGTAACAGCCAAATTTCCTGACACGCCACAGATTGTCCCTGCCGTCAACCAGGTCGAGCTGCACCCAGGCAACCCCTCACCCAAGCTCGTCGCCTACGCCGCCTCCAAGGGCATCCACAGCACCGGCTACTCGTGTCTGGGCTCGACTGACTCGCCGCTCTATACAAACGCCACGCTCAAGGCCCTCGCCGACGCCAAGGGCAAGACGGTCCAGCAGGTGCTACTCGTCTGGGGCATCCAGAAGGGTTGGAGCGTCATTCCCAAGAGCGTCACTCCGGCCCGCATCGAGGCCAACTTTGACCTCGACGGCTGGAGCCTCACTGAAGAAGAGATCAAGACGGTGGATGGCGTGTCCGAGCACTTCAAAGTCTGCACAGACAGCTGGCTCCCCATCAAGGTCTTTTTCGGCGATGACGAGTAAAAGACGGTAAGTGAGCAAGCTAAGAAATAAAAGGGATAGATGAAGAATTAGAGTCTATAAATGTATAAAATATGCAACACCGCTCTCTGTGCTGTAGCCTCCCCTATAATCACCCCAACGCCAAATGCAAATGATACAATCCATCTTACAAACCCAATTAGCACTCGTCACAGCTTAGCCTTGCCGTTGCTCTTATCCAAGTCCTCCTTCAGGACCTCGGCCACACATCTCCGTATCTCCGCCGCCAGCCTCTCCCCCTCATCGTCGTCCAGCTCCTCGCGCTGGCCCCTCCCAAACATGGTGAAGCTCGACGACAGCCTGCCCGACGCGCGAATCTCTGGCCGCGGAATAATGTGGTAATGCAAGTGCGGCACAACCTGCGCCGCGGCCGCGCCATTGTTCTGCACCACGTTCCAGTCCTCGACGCCCGTGGCGCGCGCCACCGCCGCCGACAGCACGCGCACCAGTGCGCCCAGCGCGCGCGCCTCGTCGGGCGTCGCGTCGGTGAGCTTCGGCCGGTGGGCGCGCGGGCACACGAGGAGATGGCCGGCGCTGAGCGGCATAATGTCGAGAAAGGCGACGATTGTCGGCGTGGACAGCACCATGAAGGTGGCGGGCGCGGGCGCGGCGCGGTCGGTGGCGGGGACGACGGCGGCCGAGGGCGGCGATGAAGGGTCGTAGGGGGAGAAGCTGGAGCTGATTTCGCAAAAGGGACAGCTCTCGTCGGCGGGCGGTGTCAAAGGGTCAAACATGGCGGGAGAGTTGGCTCGGTCGGCTCTGTGTGTAGTTCGGGCAACAACGCGGGAAAGGGAAAGGGGTGGTGGTGCCCCGGTTCGGGGGAGGGTATGGTTGTAGAGGAAATGATGTAGTATAGGAAAGCTGGATTATCGAAGCAACATGCTGAGAGAATGGAATATGCGCTCTATTAGGGACAAGAGAAAAGGGTTTGCAAAAAGTGATGATTTTTGTAGATGAATGTGATGAGACGAGCAGAACAATGATGGAGAGCTCCAGATAATTAGACTTGCTTCCCGCGACCGAGGTATGGCGAGCGGCCCCACTTGTGGCCGGACATTGTTACCACGCCGATTTAGATGCAGCAAGTGGTGAGGCATGCCCCGAAAATGCATTTACGTAAAAAGACGAGCCGCGATCTTGGTTAGAGACTCCAACTTCATTGAATTTTGAGCTGCAAAGTTTCGAGTGCAGCTCCCTACGGCATGGCAGCCTAAACACATAGCAACGGCAATCGGCGACTCGGCTTATACGCAAAGACCCGTGACGTCCCCGACACGTCGAATTGCGATGCTAATGACTTGATTCAATTATTTCTTCACCTCAAAGGAATTACTGTACGACTCATCTCAGGGAAAAGCAATAGCTGCCTTGCGCCGTCTTGTCACGCTTCCAGATTTCGTAGACTTGTGCCACCACAAACCACTTTACTTTACTCACCGCCTTATTTTGCCGGACATAATTCCTCTGTCGCCAGTCATCGACACCACCGCCCTTTTCCTCAACTTTTGCAAGCATCAACCCAGCGCTCGATTACCCATCATCCTCGCCACGACCGCACATCTACCCTCACTCACACACCAACACACACACACACACACACATACCACACAAACCACACATACACGCAGCCATGCCTCGCGAAGAATATCAAGTTCCTACCGCCTCCGCCGGCGCCGTCGCCTCCCGCGGCGCCACCCACGACGTCGGTCGCCACGAGCAGCGCTCCATCATGACCTACCTCTGCGGCGACTGCGGCGGCCACGTCTCTCTAGGCAAGGACGCTGTCGTCGCGTGCCCGCACTGCGCGGGGCGCGTGCTGTACAAGGAGCGCACCAAGCGGTAAGCAGAATCTTGAGCCTTCTTCGCGCGCGTCTTGGGGGAAATCCGGCAGCCCGTGCTAACAGATGGGGGGAAATGTAGTATGGTCCAGTTTGAGGCGCGATAGATGCGAAGTGACTTGTGTATGTCATTCGAAAGAAAAAAAAGCAACAGGGGTCTTTGCAGACCCCACGGTTACGAGAAACGGGCGTGTGGAAGAGGTAACGGTCGGTCACGGTGCTCGGAGTTTTTGGTCTCATAATCAGGTGCTTCCCACCATCATTTTATGCATGAATAATATACTATCAAATAGATTCTTTTTTTAGCCAAATTTGGATCCATCATTTTGTTAAACACCAAACGCCTCGTGAAACATTTCTGGTATACTGGCTTGCGCCGTCTACCTCTTCTTGTGCAGATACTGCGCAAAACTGGCATCCGCCAGCACCGAGTCCTCATTGTCACCCATGGCCGCTTGGTAGCGCTCCTGTAGACTCTTCTTGGCCGCCTCGTCGCCCGAGTCCTCATCATCGCCACTGCTCTCCATGTCCTCGTCGCCCACGGCTTCCCCCGCCGCACCGCCCTGACCGCCCACAGCCATGTCCTGCATCATTTTGTCGAGCTCCTTATCACGCGCCACCTTCTTCTGGCTCTCGCGCTCAACGCGACGGCGCTCCAGCTCCGGCTGGTAGTCGCGTAGAAACTCTTGACGCTTCTCCTCGACGGCCGCGAAAAAGTCGTCCACACCCGTGCCCATGCGCGCGCTGACACCCACCATGCTCAGGTGCGCGTAGAATTCCTCGAGCATCAGACTCATCGAGTTGAGCAGGCTGCCCATATACCCGCTGCCGCCGTGGCCGCCGCCCTCGACGCCGCCCAGCGCGTCCGACTCCTCGTCGCGACGGAGGGCCTCTTGGAACGCTTCAAAGTCTGTCATCCACTCCTTGGCAAACGCGGCATCCTTGACGTCCGTCTTGTTGAATACGAGAATCATGGGCAGCTTGGTCTTGTACAGGATCGAGCACGCGTACAGCATGTTGCTCATAAAGGTCGACGTCGACGACGTGCGCGGCGTGTCGATGACGTAGGCAATGACGGTCGGAAACGACGACGCCAGCGATTCGAGGAGAATAGTGCCAGAGGCGGACCACACAAACACTTCAATTTGACCGGGCGTGTCAACGAGGATGTTGTGAATGGGCTGTTTTTGCGGGTTTTCGGGGTCGGGCTTGGTGCGCTTTTCTAGCAGGTTCACGACCTGATCGACCTTGGTAGCGAAGAGGTTGAGCGACGTAAGGATGCCACCGTTGGGCCCTAAGTTGTACTGCTTCATGACCTCCTCGTAGTTGACCGAGTCGCGAATGTCAATATTCGACTCAAACGGTACCGACATGACGGCCGGGTCGAGGTTCATGACATAGGGTGGGGTTTCTTTTTCGTGGAGATAAGCGTTGATGCGTTGCATAAACGTCGTCTTGCCGGAGCCTGCACATTTGCGCGGGTTAGCCGTTTGGTCTCCTGTTGAAGCTCCGTCGGAGTCAAATTCAATGTCAAAGACTAACCTGCCATGCCGACGCAGACAATGGCGACGGGCGGCGACGGGCTCGCTGCGCTGCTAGCTTCGGAAGCCATGACTATATGTGTGGATGCCGCGACCAGATCTGTCGTGCTGGGGTCGAGCGTGCTGCTGTCGAGGTATTGTAAGCGTCAAAAATGTTGCTGGTGGCACTTGTCGATAAGTTTCTTGACAAGCCCCGCCATGACCCCAGTGAGGGGCAGACAGCTCCGCGCGACGGTATACTCAGTATTCAGCTCAGCACCAATCTCCTACTTGAACTTGAATTGAAAGTACTAGTGATTAAGTTATTCTATGTAATAATACCGTCGACACGCTTGAATTTGCTAGCCGCAGTCGCGCAGCGAAGCCTTTGTCACTCAAATGCTCAGCGACCAGCTTCTTTTGCACCTCAGTCTGGAACCTTTGACGGGAAGATCACTTGCAGTATAGATAAAAGCAGCTGCATTGAACTAGGTCATCTATTTTCGTGCATCCTTGCGCCTGTTTTATTAAATACAGTCCCACTCAAATACCCCGAGCAGCCCGGCGTACCGCCGTTTTCCCACACTAACCCTCGGTACCGCTGCTGCGAAAGTTGGCGCAAAGGGCAGCGTAGTGATGAGTGAGATCCAGCACAGCCTGTGGCAGGCTTGTGGCCTGTATTATGCTTCGCACCTTGACGGCGCCTTCGTCCTCAATCAGCGTACGGATAGTGTGGAGCAGCTCTGGGCTGAATTCGCTATACCATCGATACTGCCACGTAACCAGTCGAATGACGGATGCGACAGTCTCGCGCGTGCTCTTTGACCGCTCGTAGACGCGAAGGACACCAGCGAGGGCCTTTGGGCTGAAACGAACCGACAAGCATGCGCGGTATGCCTCGACGGCTTCGTCAAAATGCTGCAGACGCTCAGCAAGGGAGCCCAGTATCTCCCACTCCTCCGCAGACTTCTTGTACTGCATCTGTTGTGCGCGGTACTGAGCCATCTGAGTGCGCCAGATAGTATACACACGCAAGTCTTCATACAAGACCATGAATAGGCTGTCCAACCATCGCTCGCACAACCGCTTTGTGTTGAGCTTGGACAGAGACTCGTCACCGTCGCCCTTTAGAGTTATTAGCTCGATTCACGAAGCGGCTTTCAAGTTACTCACGTTTTCCTGGTCGCCCTTTAGGCTCTTGGGATCGATGGTGTTGGAAGGACGCTCAACGCCGTTCTCTTCGCCGTTCTCTTCGCCATTTACCTTTTCAGTCGCCTCGCCCTTGTTCTCTTCTTCTTCGTTCTGTTCATCTCCGTTGGGGGTCGGATCGGGAGTGCCACGAAGGGCATCAGTGCTAGGGGTGCGCTTGTGGGCTCCCTGCGTTGCCTCCTGCTTCTCCGTGCGGTACTCGTCTTCCATCACAAATACAGTGCTGCGAGTCTTGAGCAGCTGGTCCCAGCCAATCTTTGCCGTCATTTCTGTCAAGATGCTGTAGGCCTTTTTAAAGGTGCCTCGATAGGCGGCCGCCCGCAGCCCCAGGATGCTCGGGTCAACCTGTTCAGAGAATCTCGACTCAGGCTCGCTATCAATCTCATCCAGTCTGGTTTCGGGCAGAATAGGAAGCTGGACTTCCTTGGGCTCCGGCATCAACGGCGCGTCCTTGTCTTGATATGTGAACATTGGGCACGAGTTGAGCGTAGTAAGGGCATTTTCCCAGTCCTCCATGGCGACATATACCTGAGCAAGCCTGGCCCAAGTTCCAAATTCGCTTGGGGCGGCAATTGTACTACGATCTGCACATCCCATCGCCATTGTCAGTCGGTCGGTTCGTTGCTCTGGTGTCTCAGCCTTTTGTGCTTTCTTCATGAGAAATTCGGCTTGTGTATCGAGCATGACATAGTCCATGGGTGTTTGCTGAAGGGACTCGTACAGCACCCTGACACCAGCAACTTCTTCATTGCCCATAAATTGGACCTTGGCAAGAAGCGACGAAACTTCAATGCTCTGCGTTCGAAGCTTCTCAAACAGGTTAATGCCTGAAGCGTAGCGGCCGGTTGTCTCAAGATACTTCAAAAGCCCAGTGGTCAGGTGGTTCGAAACATTGGTCGGAACTTGTACTACGGAGTCGGAACCGAGTTGCCACCCTGCAATCTGTTAGCACCAACATCATTTCAATTGAGCGCTCAGACATACCGCGAAAGAAGAGCTGCTCGGCAGCAAACAGGAAGCGGTGCTCGGCTTCGGTGTTGGTAACAGGGTTAAAGCGTCGCACGCCCATGATCTTGCGAATCGTGTCACCACTTCCATCATCGGCATAGGAGTATGCGCGCAAAACGCTGCACAGATATGTTTCTAGCCAGAGATCCTCGGAAGCCTTGCGCTTTTCGCCTCGCTCGTCAACGCAGTAGCTCTCGACAGTACCGGGGATCGAAACGTGGACACGCATGTCAAGCCTAGAGAATGCATTGTAGCAGCTAAGATTGTTAGACACCGCAGAATATCAGCCTAATAGAGTGTTGTATTCGTACCAAAAAACGCCCTCTACTATCTTCGAGGTCGCGCTGGGCCCGTGCTCTTTGTATGTGAGAGTGTTGATGTATGCCGCGAGACTGGCAGAGGAAGATGCATCAACGCCAGTGACATGGTGGTAAACGCCGGACTGAGATGTCAGTAGAGTCAAGCTATGCGTGGCTGTGTAAGCCTACCTGCTTCAGTGGGTTGCGTATGCTTTGTCTCAGGAGGTGGACGAGGTCTGGCGGGCCGAGCTCACGAAGAGAGAGAAGAGATTCGGTGCGGGCATCGATTGACTCGTGAAGGCTCTCTTCTGTAATTCTTTTTCAGGTTAGCCAGGACACCTTGCTGTCGGTGCCCGCGTTGCAACGTACTCTGGCACAGCTGGGGCCAACATTGCGACAGCTAGCTCCGGGGAGCGAGAAGTTACTGGCGGTGGTAAAGCCTCTCAGCCTGTATAATCGGCCGTGTTGGGGTTACTAGAATATGCGCTCGCCAACTCGAGTCAAGGTGCACGGAGTAACCGCGCCGTAAGACGTTGATGAGGAAGGAAGCTGTTCTTGCTACAGTCCACAAGCTGCCAGATTGATGGTGATGGCAGGGGATGTGGCACAGCAACGCTGGACCCGCCACACGTGGCGCTTTGACAGCCGCACGCCTACGAGTCGCGGTCACCTTTCTACTTTTGCAGAGGCCAATGGATCTAATCAGACTTTACACTTTCAAGGGTGATTTCTCCTTTCATTTCTTTCGAAATGGAATAACTTCAATTTTGCACTCTGTGTAGGCGGGTGTGAAAATTGTCGGCGGCATGGGGTATGTGCAAGACACTGCCTTGAGCCCAAAAGGGGTCATACCCTCTGTAGTAGATGCTTTTCTCAAATACATGCATGGCAAAAATAATTCCATGATCTCTAAACTGCCATCTCTCTCAGCTCTGTCAATGGATGCTCCCCGATTTTTGTGACAAGAAGTCAGCATGTGCAACAGCTGCACCCTGCGCCACAATTAAAGGTGTGGCTAGTGCACTGCTTTGACGACGCGACAGTTTACAGTCAACGCGCATTGTGGAAAGTACATCAGCACTACCTACGACGGATCATCCTCGCCACCACTGTCTGCGACTTCGAATGAGCAACTCAGGGTCTTTAGAACCCCGGCATCGAAAATGGTGCGAATCCAATCCTGGAGCCTGCATGTTGAAGCTAACTCAGTGGTGCCTGCAGCCTGCCTTCCAGGCCATCAACCTCGAGCCGGAGGAAAACATCGATGAGCAAATCGACACCACCAAAGAGCTACACGTAAGGCTCTCTACTATGATGCTATTCAAACGCTTCTCTGACAACATCATAGGTAGACGAAGCCCTAAAGCTTTTCCAAAAGGCCCTGCGACTACATGCGCAAGGTCGAGCCCATCGTGCCGAAGCGGCGGAGGCCTACAACGAACTATTTAGATGCGAAATCTTCAAATATCGCGAGGCTAGAACCGACTACGAGCGCGCTGAACGACAAATTGATGGAAAGCCTGATACACTAGCGCTTGAAGCCTTCTCAGCTGGTCTTGATGTCGATGCTGGTGGTGCTGACGGCGTCGCTGCAAGCCTAGCACAAGCGCTCTACATTTCATACAAGAACTATGGCCAATTTTTTCTTGACAAGCTGAGGGATTCGTTTGACGTCACAAAAGGTGTGAAAAAGCTACCATACGACGAAACTGCATTTCAGATCCTCGACAATTGGGTGAAAGCACTCGACCAAGACCCGTCTGACCCAGAGCTTTGGCGCAAGGCATCACGATTCGCGGCATCCATAAACAGCAGTCGTCTGAAGCGATTCTGCTTGGAAGCTGCCATTGAGCTCGACGATGACCCAGCGGTCGATGAAGTAGAGCCGCCCTCTTTGGCTGAAGCCTGGGCAGGCGAGCAGCTGAAAGATCACTTGAACGTTCTCAGCGACGATATGGCATTGACACATCCCAGCATGGTACCATGGGTCAATCGCGAAATGCCGGAGATGTTGAAAATTCATCTTGACCCAATCAAATTTCTGCCCGACCCTACTGCACAGCTTACTCCTCCGCCCTCAAGCCCACTGAAGGAAGCCGAGGCAACTGAAGATACTCTGATGACAGACGAGGATAACGTGACGCCTATAACATCCTGGTCTGAACTTGCCGACGCACTCATGCTTAGTTTGGATGACACGAATGCTGCTGTCAGAGCCTGCGGGCGCATAGTAGCAACAGCAGACGAAGAGCTCGAGGATGCGCCCAAAGAAATCACACAATCCACCGAACAAGAACTTCCTGAAGAGCCCGAAAAGGTCAGCGAGACACCAGTGCCACGGAAAATTGCCGATGAGAAAACAAAGGGTAGTACGGATAGATCGGAGAGCCCTACGAAACCAGCCGAGCCCTCACGCGGCACCCCAATTCCGACTAAAAAAAGATCGCAGTCTGTCGCGGGTCTTGCAGAAGGTGCGGAAGAAGAAACTGGTCTTTCCACACGAAGCAAGCGAATTCGCCGTCGAACCGACATGACAATCATCGAAGAGCCTGCAAACCCCATAGTTGCAGCCGCAGCGCAGCTACAGGCATACCAGGAGTCGGACCAGAATCTGTTCCAAGTAACAAAGAATATACTCGAGAGCATTGGAGTCGAGGACAAAGCAACTTTTGACGTGTTAAGCCAGATCCAGGAAATCTCGTGTAGCGAGGATCGTCCCGCGAAATTCTCCAATGTCGCGGCTCAGGACTTGCGTGCCATCTTTGAAAGATTTAGTGACACCACGGCGAACGTTTTGCTCACGAAGAAGAGTCAGCCCTCGCTCAGCTTATCCTCCTTTCTAGAAAACGCAAAATCGAGCCAGCATGGCCAAATTCCAACAGCTATGTTCAACGCAAAGAAAGGATTACAACACTTTGCCGACTTTGTGGCCGCACGCCAAGATTGGATCACCACTGGAGATGTTGTCTATGAGTGGATTCTTGAGCTCAGCAAAAGCTACGCAGAGCAGCAGTGGCCAGAAAAACTCAAGATGGCGGTTATCGATATGTTGGAGGGTGCCGATGCAATCATTTTCGAACACGTCACTTCGGATCTAGAATTCGCGATTCAGACAAAGGACCTGAAGGCATTTGCCGCGCTAGAGAATGTCATTCCAATGCTTTTCGAGCTTCACGTTGATGTGTACGAGCGCATGACCGCCCCCACGAGTGTTGTGGATACTATCACTCGATTGAAAACGAAATACAGACTTGGTCGCTGGCTAGACGTAGCATCATACTATGCTCGCGCCTCAGGCCGTCCAGCTCGAGATCCGCTCTGTGTCCGATTTCTTTGGGCATCAGTCATGGCCTCGGCACTAGCAGACGAACCCGTTCGTGAACATATTCTCGCCATGTGGACGTCTCTGCGGGAGTTTCTTGCGCAGGCAAAGATCCAGCCACTTACTCTCCCAAACAATGCCGCCATGCTGAATATCTCTGCCGCCGCCGCTGATCGAGAAATCTCCAAGCTCAACACAATGGACTTTTTCCTCAATCTATTTCAGGAGAACATGACAAACCCTTTGCCAGTCATTGACATTCTTGAGCCTGTGTTGAATCCCTCGTCTGTCTATACTGCTCCTGAAAAGGCAGCCAAGGCTCGTGAAGCAGGGGATCAACCAGATGACTCAGGCGAAGTAACGAGCAAGCCGATTTCTGAATGTGCTACTCAAGAAATGCAAGACCTTTGGAAATTTCTAGAGAATAGCAGTATTGAGTTGAGACTCTTTCTGTGGTCTCGTCTTGGCGATGCATACGAAGCCATTAGCTATACGACAAAGAGATTCTCTTGCTTATTAAAAAGTGTCGAGATGATTGTCGATGATTTCAGTAGCAATGGGTATACCAGTATGAAAGAAGACTCGCGGCGGATGCTCCTGATGAAAACGATGAAGTCCTTGGACGGACTACTTGTCGACGCATTGGTCATGGCTCTCAACGACAAAACCGCCTTTGACATTGTCGACGAAGATCACATCAAGCAGAGCGCTGCTGCACTAGCTCGACTCAGCGCAATTCTCCATTCGATCTCGTTGTTCGAGGACGAAGTCAGGGTTGGCCTTCTCACCGCCAAATCGAGCAATTCGACCTTTCAATCCCTTTTGAACAAACTTCGCGAGATGCAAGTTCGCAACTGGTGCCTTCTCTACACATTGAACAAACAAGCAATATTCTTGAACAAGGAAGTTCTGAAACCTGAGAATGAATTGGCTACATTCCTTGCCGCAATACACTTGTCCATCGGCCATCGCAAATTCTGCAAGGTGTCCAGCAAGGTCTTTTTGAATCTAATGCGCGTCGAGCTGCTCAGTTTGAAAGACGTTGAGAACTGGGAGGACCATCTTGGGCAAGTTCTATACGACATTTACGGTCTCAAGATTGGCGTGGGCATTTGGGAATTACAAGATCACGGCTGTCCCAATGAAAAACTCGAGAAGCGACATACCATGCAGCTCGTGGATAAGATTATGACGTTGGCGAATCGCTTCACGCTCAAAGACCTGCTCAAGTCCGATCTCAAAACAACCATCGACCAAATGCAGTCCACTATTGGCCAGACTAAATCGACGCCACAGATGCTTCACAATCTACGAAATATTACGGATGTGCTAAAAAGGCCCATCCACCCATTGCGCTTGTACCGTGCACTAGCAGGAAGCGTTGCTATCGACTCAGTGACGGTCAATATTCCGGAAGCAGCGCTGGCCAATGGCGGGTGGTTTTTCCTGCTGGGAATGATCGCCCTCACGAAGTTCAAGGGCGTAGAGCTCAACCGTCGACAAACGCCTGGAGCCACTGACGATCTGCGGATTGGTGCAACCTTTCTTCGCTTGCAGCTGCAATACACGGCAGATAGATGGGATGCGTGGTTCCGACTCGCAGAGTGCTTTGACTACGAACTAGATGAATCGGTTCTGTGGACAGCAGACAAGATCAACAAGGACAGGGGTGAGCTGGTCAAGCTCCAACGAAATGCCATTCACTGCTACACTCTAGCGCTGTCACATTCGCACGGGCAGGAGGTTGCTACCAAAGATGGCGATGCACTCCACGATCTATACTATAAGTTTGCGACGCGGATGTACTCTTCAAGCAGAGAGCCGTTTGCTATGGAGCCATTTCAGCACGCTGAACAGGAGCGCTTCTTCATTGAAGACATGGGCTCCGGTACGTTCAAGAAGATTGTGCACGACCAGATGACCAAGCATCAGGTGTGGAAGTTCGCGGCGAAGCTGTACAAGATGGCCATTGAGCGCAAGCCGAGCAACTGGAAGAATCACTACATGCTGGCGAAATGCTACTGGAAACTGTTCCGCAACCCTGAGAAGCTTTCCGAAGGAGAGTCAAAGACCAAAATCACAACGGGCATGATCCTGGATGCCCTGAAGAAGTCGACTGCGGCTGCATATAAACCGCGCAAATCTAAGAGCCAGGAGCCGATACTGGAGCCTCACTACAAAGTCGTTTCCATTCTGCACAAGATGGTAGTCGCAAAAGACGTTCCTGCTGTCGAGGCTGCCGAGATTCTTTCTGGGCAGCCATTCGGTGTTCAAGTCAACCCCAACGACCATTTTGCCGGCTTTTCGGAGCCTGAAGACTGGGAGGAATATATCATTCGCAATCTGACAAAGCTTCGGGATAGGGACAAGTCAAATTGGCAGCACAGAATCGTCATGCGCCATGCCAAGATTCTGTTCAACGAGACGACCGACAAAGACAGCCCCGACGCTTTGGTAGAGGCCAAGGCAGCCTTTAGTATTCTGAGAGACAACATGTTTACGAAGACCATGGTCATGAATGTCTGGAAGTGCGATGCCGAGCGTCCTGGTCGTCATCATGTGTTTACGGAGCAGTATACTCGGTTCATGGTGAAATTGTTGGTCATCATGGGCAACCGTGTCGATCTCGAGCTGCTGCTTCGCCGCATCCGAAAGAAGAGTGCTGACTTTTATCATTTCAACGATTTGTGGCAATCTTGCTCTGTCGCATACGTCTCTCTTATTCGCGCAGCTCATGGCATCCCCGAAGTCAGCGAAGATGTCTTCAAGTCCCTGTCAATGGAAGAATTTGAGATTATCAGCGAGCGTATCACTCAGTGGGCTGGAGGCGAGGGTCCCCACATTCCGTCCTTTGAGTGTATGAAGGAGGCTGTTGAATTGAAGAAGCTCAACGGGAATCTGATGAAAGCTGCCCCTATGGATGATCTCATCAACGACTGCTACTCCAAAATCTACACGGACATCGCAGCCAGCCTGCCGGGTCTCAAACCTAGTATCATTATTGAGGAGCGCAACCAAGCCAAAGAAATTACGGACCGCTTGGAAGCCGAGGCAGCTAGGGAAGTCCGTCACCCCTCGGCTGAAGGCGGCACACGCGAACATCAGCCAACTGACATGAAGATGGATGGCGACAAATCTATGACTGAGAAACGAACAGATGAAAGACTAGCCGTGGAGAAGCCATTAGGTCCTCTTGGCAACTTGCTGAATAACGCTACTGAGATTGATAGCGGCGCCGGTAGTGCCACTCCGATGGACACGGAAAAGTCGGAAGCTGCGCCAAGGAGAAAGACGGGCGTAAGACGGCCTGATGTCCTTCGCAAGGCTGAGCAAGCCGTTGTCCGCGCTCTGGAGCCACCAAAGACTGTCGCCAAGAGCCGCAAGAGCAGCATCTCTAGCGCCAAGAGGGGAAGTCAGACTCCGAACGTTGCCCTGAGCGACGATGACAGTGACGATAGCCCCGAAGCGCAGATGCGCCGCGAGGCTGGCGAGCAGTTTGACGATTCTAAGCCTCCGGTCGACGTGCTAGGACTACTTGACTCGGGCGATGACAGTGATTTGAGCGATGCACCTGAAGGGTATGATGAAGAGGTATCCGAGGGTCTGCGGAATCTTGGCCGTCGTGGCGACACTAGTGGTGACGACGCAGACAGCGAAGATGAAGGCGAGGAAGCCGATATTACTGCTGCCGCCGAGCAAGATGTAGAAATGGCTGACGCCGAAGAAGAGCATGCTCTCGAGGATGAGGTCATTGAAGAGGAGATTCATGCTGCTGGCGTGGAGGAGGGTGAAGAGGCCGACATTGAAGATGAGGAGGGTGAAATCGAGGAAGAAGATGAGGAGATTGGAGATGAAGAGGGTGAAGAAGAAATAGAGGCGGGGGATGGAGATGGAGATGTGGAAGGAGAGGAGGCAGAGGAGAGGGGGGAAGGCGAAGAAATAGACGACGGCGGAGAGATTTATGACGGCGAGGAGGAAGGAGTGGATATTGAAGAAGGCGAAGGCGAAGAGGCTGAGGAAATGGAAGAAGGTGAGGAGGGCGAAGATGTCGAAGGGGAAGATGCTGAAGAGGAAGAAGGTGAAGAGGAAGAAGTTGAAGAAGATGAGGAAGGGGCAGAGGGCGAAGAGGAAGAAGAGGAAGAGGAACTAGGTGAAGAGGAAGAGGAAGAGGAAGTGGAAGAGGTTGAAGAGGAAGAAGAAGAGGATGATGAAGAAGAAGAAGAAGAAGAAGAAGAAGAAGAAGATGAGGGCGATGAGGAGGTTGTTGAAGAGGAAGAAGAGGAAAAAGGTGAAGAAGATGAGGAAGAGGCAGAGGGCCCAGACGAAGAAGAATTGGATGAAGAGGAAGAGGGCGAAGAGGAAGAGGGTGAAGAGGATGAGGGCGAAGAGGAAGAGGGCGAAGAGGAAGAGGGCGAAGAGGACGAAGATGAAGAAATGGAGGATGTAGAGGATGACGATCCCGATCGATGAATACAACACTCCTAGGAAGTCATCTGGGTTTTGTAATATATAGCTATGGGACATCTGTTTTGCAACGGCGTCAAGAGGGGTTTTTATGGGTAGCGTAAATCGAATTGTGCAAAGATCTTTATTTACAAAATGATAATTGACTGGTTATTCCAAATGCACAATTGATAAAGAGTAGTGCTATTGACACGACCTATTTGCCGTAGGCACGACTCGAGTAGTTGTGGTAGTGAGCCCGCCACTCAAAATAAAGTACCTCTTGTCACGATTTCTACTATTACCAAGGGTAGAAAATCGACAAGTCCAGGAATACATGACAGGCATAGAAGAACAATGGCTACCAATAACATAAAACTAGGTATTACTAGTGAGGAAAAGAGCCTAGATTATTCATTCTAGATTCTTATAGAGCATTTCTTCCAAGACCTGCAGAATATAAGCAGTCAGGTCCTGCCCCTAGCAAAAGAGGTCGTGCCAATAGCACACTACTTTTAAAAAACCAGCCCGTAACTCCATAATTTTACGCATGCCCCGAACTCGAGGTCATCAACAGGGTATTCTATCATGAATGTTCCAACGTATTTTCCCTTGCCGTCATCGAATTTCGCTTCTTCATCCGCTCCTTTGCTCACCGCTCTTCTCTGTCCATGTCATCTCGTCTGCGCTTGTCGCCACGGCCCTTTCTCGACGTTGCGCCCTTGTTGCGCGACTCCATTACGTTCTTCATCTCATTCCGAGCATGACGCTGGGCCTCCTCGACGCGAGCCTGGAAAGTCATGACTTCTTCCTTTTCCGTGGGAAACTCGTCGAGCTTTTTGCCGAGGGCGGCCTCGATGCGGGTGAAGAGCTCGAGGTCGTACTGGGTGACCAAGCTGATGGCGACGCCAGACTTGCCGGCACGGGCGGTACGGCCGACGCGATGAATGTACGTCTTGGAGTCGGAGGGGATGTCGTAGTTGAGGACAATGTCGACCTTGGGGATATCGAGACCGCGGGCGGCGACGTCGGTGGCGACAAGAATTTCGCGCGTGCCACCGCGAAACTTGTTCAGAGCGCCGAGACGCGCCGATTGCGAAAGCTGACCGTGCAGAGGGATGGCGCCGAAGCCCAGGGTGCGGAGGAGGATGGCGACACGCTGAGTCTCGTATACAGTGCGAGTGAATACGATGCAAGACTTTCCGGCAAATTCGTTGATGATGTGGATGAGGTAGGTATCCTTGCGGATATGAGGGATAAAGACATAGTGCTGGAGTAGGGTCGAGACGGTCTGGTACTTGCTGGAGCTGACGCTGACGCGGACGGGATCGCGCAGCGATGCGCGCTGCAGCGACTCGACGCGAGAGCTCATGGTGGCGGAGAAGAGATAGGTGCGGCGCTCGCGCGGCACAAACTTGAGGAGCTTGTCAATGCTGGGACCAAAGTCCATGTCGAGCAGGCGGTCGGCCTCGTCCATGACGAGGTACTTGAGCGTGCGCAGAGAGAAGCCCTTGGTCTTTTCGAGGTGGTCGACGAGGCGACCGGGCGTCGCCACGATGACGTGCGGCTTCTTGCCGAGCGCAATTGCCTGCGGCACCATGTCGAGACCGCCGACAATGACGGCGCAGCGCAGCGAGATGAGCGCGCCCAGCGCCTCAAACGTCTGGCCAATCTGCGCCGCCAGCTCTCGCGTCGGCGCGAGGACGAGCCCAAAGAGCGGCTGCGGCTTTTCGAGCAGCGCCTGCAGCATGGGCAACGCAAAGGCGGCTGTTTTTCCGGAACCAGTCTCGGCGAGGCCAATGACATCGCGGCCCTGGAGAGCGACGGGGATCGACTTGGCTTGAATACTGGTTGGCGTCGTGTAGCCGACGGATTCGCAAGATTCGCAGAGAGCGTCGACAATGCCCTGACTCAACTTTTAGCTCAGGGAAAGACTATTGAGGCTTGGAAGGGGTTGGGAGATGGGCGTACTAGTTCTTTAAAGGTTTTCACCTGCACTTCTTCCTCTTGGCCATCGGCCTGAGCTTCGACAGCCGCCGACTCGTCTTCGGACTCGCTGCTGGAGACGGGTTTCGTGGGTTCGGCACTTTTGGGCGGCGCATCACGTGAGACTTTGCGTCTCTTTACGTCGGCCATGGTGATGACACTAAATTCACAACACGCAAGAGAGAAAGCACGCAATGAAATATAATCGCAATTCTTTCAAAGGGAAATGTTCAAGTTCAAGACAGTCCGGAAAGTTTTAGCGGGGCAGATTTTTATGCACACTGACTGTGACTGAATTTTAGCAGATGCACGTGTGATAAGAGGCTTATCGCTGTCCCCTCCAAAACTTTTTTTTGGGCTGGCGATACTGCTGGTTAAAGATGCTATTTGCTCTCTGCTGCTTCAAGCCATTGACTGTCTTGATCTGAATTTTCAAGCCAATACAACCTTCAAGGCACATTCACAATGGCTCGTCGCCGAGTAAAGAAGAGAACGCACATGGGTGCCAGTAACCCAGAATCCAATATTCAGGGCCATGCATCAGCCAAGGATCCCAAGAGTATGGTCATTCGCATTGGCGCTGGTGAGGTCGGCACCAGCGTCAGCCAGCTCGCCACCGATGTTCGCAAAGTCATGGAGCCGGGCACTGCGAGTCGGCTCAAGGAGCGCAGAGCAAACAAGCTCAAGGACTACCTCGCCATGTGCGGTCCGCTGGGCGTCACACATCTGATGCTCTTTTCCCGATCTGAGAGCGGCAACACGAATCTGCGCGTGGCACTGACACCGCGTGGCCCAACGATGAACTTTCGCGTGGATCAGTATTCGCTATGTCGCGATGTACAGAGGATTCAAAAGCACCCAAAGGGCATGGGCAAGGAATTTCTCACAGCGCCCCTGGTATGTTGTGGCAGACTGCTGAGTTGGACAGAGTGTTAACAGGTGTAGCTCGTCATGAATAATATGAGCCTTCCCGGTGCCGATAGCAACTCCAAAGTACCAAAGCATCTCGAGTCACTGGCCACGACCGTCTTCCGGTCCATGTTCCCTCCCATTAACCCCCAGGCGACACCGCTCAAGTCTATTCGCCGAGTCGTTCTCATCAACCGCGAACAGTCCGGGGAAGACGACGGCACATTTGTCCTCAGTTTTCGCCACTACGCCATAACAACACGACACACGGGCGTCTCGAAGCAACTACGCCGCATCAACGCCGCCGAGAAGCTCATGACGACCAAGACCTCGCGTCAAGGACACATGCCTAATCTTGGCAAGCTGCAGGATATTGCAGACTACATGGTTGGCCAGGATGGCGAGGGTGGCTACATGACAGACGCGACCAGCGGCAGCGAAGCCGACACCGATGCCGAAGTCGAAGTCCTCGACGCGGCGCCGCGCAAGGTGCTGTCGGCAAAGGCCCGACTGGCCGCCGCGCACAACGGTGAGGCGGAGCAGACCGAGGACGGCACCGTGGAGCGCCGCGCCGTCAAGCTCGTCGAGCTGGGCCCGCGGATGCGCCTGCGGCTGACCAAGGTGGAGGACGGGCTGTGCGGCGGCAAGATTATGTGGCACGAGTACATCAACAAGAGCAAGGACGAGGTCAAGGAGCTGGAGAAGCGCTGGCAGAAGCGGCGACAGGAAAAGGAGGCGCGCAAGAAGGAGCAAAAAGCCAACGTGGATCGCAAAAAGGCGGAAAAGGAGGCGCGAAAGGGCAGCAAAGGGGACGGCGGTCAGGACGAAGATGAGGATGAGGACGAGGATATGGAGGATTATAGTGATTTTGATTATGAGGCTGGTGGTGGTGATGCGGGAGGCGGTCAGGACGATGAAGACGACGAGTAAAGAGGCGAAGCGGAAGCATACATGGCTCTACATTTTCCGCATCTGGCTCTACATTTGGTTCGGCGTTTGGCGACTCTATGGGCTTTGACATTATGTATATCTGCGTCGGAAAATATCATTCATGCTGTGTTGCATAATTTGAACCTTGATTGTGTCGCGCTATTGTGTCATCAGCGCTGCTTGAAGCATACCCGGTTCGCTGGCAAATGCGACAAAGCTATGAGAAATCGTAATCGAAAAAGAAAAAGAATTAATCGCCAAGATTCAAGAATGCACAGTCTAGATGCAATTGCACAGAATTCGGCGTCTGTGCCTCGTATCGGTCACTTCGTAGCTAAGAGATATGGCTAAGCGGACCGACTCTCTTCACTTAGTTAGCGCACGGGGCCCAATTGTGCCCTAGGAATAGCATCTATACAACGACGAAGAAAAGAGGGCAAGGCAACTAGAGACCAAACAACTGGTTTGTAATCAACTAAACAAGAGACTCACAAACCACGGGCCAAAACAGCGCAAAAGGCACAAGGGCGCAAGCGGACAGCTACTACACCCGCCAGCTATGGCACAACTGGAAAATCCCGTTATTTAAAGACGAAAAGGGCTCGAAGGAATGAGTACACTGGCTGTGCCCCGCCGGCGGCCTCGACAGAACATTCCTCCTTCCTAGAGCTCATCAAAAACACCACCACGATTTTTACGTTGTTGGCGATGCCGCATTGCTTTTCGGGTGTCAAACCTCATAACTTGGCAACAATGCCGTCATGTACTGCACGATCCATCGATTCCCCTACAACCGCAGCATTGACCATGGTCGTCTCCGTCGTGGCATGCCAACCAAGCATCCTGCCGACACGCGAGATGCAGAACCAGAACAGCATCCCCATCGCCGAAAGCAAAGTATCATTCCCACTCATAATCCCGCCGTATGCCCTATGAAACCCATCATACGATAGCCGCTCCTGCCCGTGACCACGGTGAATATGGCCAAAGACCACCAGCTTCGGCCGCACCCGTAGAATCTCTTTCATGAGTTGCGGACAACCTTTTCCCCCGTCGTCAAGATGGCCCCTCGGTGGTCCATGCGTCAGCAGGACATCGACGTCCGCCGGCACCGATCCGGGCCACACCGCCCGTACATCCGGATACTGAAACGCCCAGTTTCCAAAGCTCGGCGTCCAAGGCGAGCCAAACACGCGCACAACCCTCCCATCAGGAAACGCCAGCCGCGCCGACGTATTATTCAGGTACACGACACCCCCCCAGTCGAGGTCGCTCCGCGCTGCGCCCTCTTCCTCGCAGATGCGGTCCGGCGAGCGCGCCACAAACGCTGGGTCGAGGAGCAGGTCGTGGTTGCCCGCGACCACGACCTTGTATCTGTGGGGCAGGGCGTTGAGCCAGGCGAGCTGCGCCTGCAGCTCTGCAAAGGTGCCGTGGACGGTGAGGTCTCCGGCGTGGACGAGGACGTCGCCGGACGGCACGGCGGGCCGCGTATTGTGCGTGTCGGAGATGCACACGACGGTTATTAGGGGACTCTCCGGGTCGGGCGGGGCCCGCGGGAGCACCCTGTGTCGGTAGAGGTGCTGCGCGACGAACAGCGCCGGGTTCTTGCGGAAGCGTTGCCAGGACGTTTGCTGAGGCGGGCGCCAAGTTGGCAGAGGGCCACTGACCGTCGTAACCATGGCTTATTAGAGTCGACGAAGAAAGGGATGAGAAGTCGCTGTGCTGCTGCTGATCTAGGAATGGGATTGATCGGCCCTCATGTGGCCGAGAATACGGCTAGGTATTTCTCGTCCAGGGTCCCTTGCGAATTGGTTAGGTCAATTCATTTCTGGCCGTATGTGAGTATGGTGAAATGGGATCGCAGGTGGGAAATACACATGTAACGTATTAGTGGCAAGCTGGGCGGCTAAAAATCAGCGTCGCCCAATTGGAGGTCCTGGCGAGCACTAAAGAATTCGCAGATGGGCATCTCAATACGGTCCTAGCATTACCGATCAAGTGCTCCGTTCAGCCAACGCTTCCTACCACGAGCTATTTGGCTCATATCCAAGTAGCTTTGAGGCGTCTTCTTGATATGCCACCCGTATTGAAACTGACTGGTCGCGGCCTATTTTTGTATTCAGTTTATTCATTAGTCATGGCCCTTGTAGTCACATAAAATGTATATGAGGTTGCAGAATAAGTATGTTTTTGCTTGCACACTCGGACGAGGCGCCCTCGTCCTCAAGCCCTGTCAAAGTAACAAAGTCCCTTGCGCTGTTATCCCAGTGCGGAATCGCAAGTAGGTCCCGGACTGGCGGCACGCCTTCCACCCACGCAGGCAGCTCCTCGAACTGCATGTCGCGTTTTTTCCATTCTTCCATCATCTCGCCGGTAAAAATTGGCGGCGCGTCTCTCGGCAGCCCAAACCGGATGCGCTGGTTAAACGCCACTCGCAGAAGCTTCGGGATACAGGCCAAGCACGCATACCGTTCCGAGTCAGGGTCTTTTGGGTCTGGTATTTCGCATATGGCCCAGGAGCTGTGATACCAAAATGCCTCGAATTCATTTCGAATCTCGAGCCACTGATCCAGAAGCAGATGCTCGTAGATTCGATAGAGAGCCTTGAGGGGCTCGTCTCCCTCTGGCAAGACCCTGCGATTTAGAATCGGCAGTTCGTACACGGTTCGTTTCGCAATTAATTCGCGAGGAGTTGGCGGGAGAGATTCATGAGTTCCTGCGGTTGTGGTGGCTGACGGTTCCTTCTTGGTAATCGATGAGAGCCACCGGGATACAGGCAACCACACCCTGTTGTCGGCCTTGCAGGCCCACCGTTTCATCTGAGCGAGAGCAAAGGGTTCTCAAGTAGAAGAAAAATGCTGCCTTCCGTGGCTTTACTATTGAATCAAATGCGATGGAGAGGGGGCGGTGCTGATGATACTGGTGAGGATAGCAAGGTGTAGCTGTGAGACGACGATTCGACGAGGGCGCGTACTGATGGCTGCGGCACGTGCCGGCTTGCACAAAGGCAGTGCTTCCACACACACACATCATTGACGATCCGCCTACGGAGTACAAACACGACTATAGGCACAGATCAACTTGAGAAGAATCAGAGCTAGATTTTATAATACCGTAATAAGGTATTACATTAGACTTATTTAATATAAATTATAGTAATTAAAAATAGTCTTTAATATTTACCTGTATTAAAGTACTTAGGTTATAAGACTATTTACTTATAGCTATAAAGTACCTATCTTTTTCTCGCGGAATAATTAGACTAGATCTCTGTAAATGACCTTCTTGCTCCTTTACGACAGCGAAAGGGATAGTGCAGCTATCCATCTCGGCCTCTATCAGTCAGCCAATGGGCACATTCTTTCATAGAAAGATGGAGACTAAACAGAGGCAGTTTTCTCATAGTTCAAATTTGTTAGGTCACTAGGCTGGCACAGCATTGTTGCTAGCATGGAACCGGCAGGCGAGTTGACGGCCCGGCCAATGCTGCTGCAGCTACGTTAGTGGGGACGCCTGTCGCGTGCCAGACAAGCTTCATCTGACATGCACTCTGCGGAGTGACAAGATTCTTTATTTACTGCGTCTCTGGGCAGTTAAACCTGCTTTTCCGAATCTTGCGAGCCTCAAGAGCGTGAATCACCATGTTTAGATGCAGTCCTGCCAGTCGGCGGCTTCTTGCTGCTTCCCGGCCGCGCGTCGCTCCCTGCAAGCCCAGTCCACGGCGAGGCCAGCTGTACTCGACCGATACTGGTGGTGGTGACGGGCCTGGTTTCACTCGCCGCACGAGATTCATCGGCTTTGCGGTCGTCGGAGGCGCTCTCGTCTGGTACGCCTCCAGAAAGCGACGGGTGACGGTGGCTGAACGTCATCGTGAGCGCAGCCGCCGCGACAATGAGCTACCCGAGATTTCTGGCGAGGATGCAGATGGGCCGGTCGAGTCGCCAGTCAAAGTGGTTGACTGGTCAGAAATCGCAAGCCTGATTCACAAGCAAGCTACGTCATTTAAATTCGAGGGCCGCAACGGGGCTCAGGGCCGAATTGACGCGGTGCGGTTCGAGAGCAACTCTCCCACCGAGGATGCCTGGGCAGTTGGCGTCGGAGCTGGAGTTGGAGGCGCCAAGACGGTGTATGCCGGTGTCTATGACGGTCATGCGTGAGTCGAAACATGTCCATCCAGCGAGCCAAAAATGAAGACACTGACAACCTCAGCGGCTGGGCCTGCTCTGCTGTTCTCCGTCAAAAGCTCATCCCACATGTCTCAGCGATGCTCGCCCCTCTCTCACCCAACGTTGCTGGAGCTGCCATTGACGACGCCATCAAAAAGGCCTTTTGCCGTCTCGACGACCAAATCATGACTGCTGGCCGCGACTCCGTCACCGACAGCACCGAGCCCTGGACGGCCGCGGCCATGTCTGCGCTCGCCCCCGCCATTGCCGGCTCCTGCGCGCTCATGACCATCTACGACACCGAGACCTCTACGCTCCGCACTGCCGTCACGGGCGACTCGCGCGCCGTCCTCGGCTCCTGGTCCGCGTCGGCCAAGGCCTACACGGCCGAGGCGCTCAGCAAGGACCAGACGGGCTTCAACTCGGACGAGGTGGCGCGTCTCGACGCGGCGCACCCCGGCGAAAAGGACGCCATCCTCGACCCCAAGACAGGCCGCCTCATGGGCCTCGCCGTCACGCGCGCCTTTGGCGACCACCGCTGGAAGTACCCCCAGGAACTGGTGACGCTCATCCAGCACCGCTTCGCCGGCTACGGCCCGCGCAAGGCCAACGCGACGCCGCCGTACCTGACGGCGCGGCCCGAGGTCACGACGCGCCAGGTCCAGGGCGAAGACTTTGTCATTCTGGCCTCGGACGGCCTCTGGGACGTCATTTCCAACGACGACGCCGTCGCGTGCGTGTCGCAATGGCTCAAGGAGAAGCGGAAGCGGTCGGGCGGCAAGCGTGGCGGCGGCGGCGCCAAGGCTAACTGGAACTACGACGAGGACGGCTGGCCGAGCTACAAAGCGACCCCAGAGTACTTTGACTTTGAGGACACGGGCAACGCGGCTGTGTGCCTGCTAAGGAACGCGCTGGGCGGCACGCGACGAGGCATCGTGCAGGGTCTGGCGACGGCGACGACGCCGCTGAGCCGCAATGTGCGCGATGACATTACCATACAGGTAATTTTTTTCAAAGATCCCTATCGCAAGTAGGCTTTGATCAGTGCGGCAGATGACTCTTTGCTGTCCATGTACTCTGGCCAGTCGCCCATCAGACTAGTTGGGGTGGTCCATTATTCCTGGACAGTATCCTTTGACTTATTACAAGATTAATTACCCCGCACAATACAAACAGCTACACGCGGGGTACCGAAATGTTCCGATGCGTGAGCTCTACGTACGCATCCGAATGTCACGTCAATGGCACCTTGATGTCGAGCTGCGCCAGGATAGCAAGCAGGAGTGTGGAGTAGAATGTAAATTCCATTTCACTACATGACCATCAGTCACAACACCTTCAAGTACATACGTACATTTAGAACCCTACCACGTAGCGTTGATGGTCCGCCGGCTAGCTCTGTCTGATTAGCCGGTTTGTTGACCTTCTGAATCTGGAAGGAGGAGAAACCGCCACAAGTGCCGACGGTTGATTTGATGTGAATATTGGGAGATTGCAGATAAGTCAGAGCGCTATGCAGGTAAAAAGTTGCAACGTTGCAGTTGGTATCCAATATCTAATGAGAGTGGGCCGATCCGACCGCATCTTATTGTGTCCCCGCGGCTCGCCGGGAAAGGAACTAATTAATCGACGTGCCGATTGTCCGTTTCCACCTGCAAGATAGATTGCCTCTGTATAAAGTATATAAACTGATACCAGCAGAACCAAGATGGAAGTTCCAGCCATATTCAAAAGGTTTTTTGCCAAAATCGACAAATATTTTGACTCATTCTCAACAGTATGAGATCTGGAGCTATTCTCATCGCGGCTACCGGCCTTGTTGGCACGGCTGTAGCCGGCAAGCCAGACCCGGAAACACTACCGCTTCCCCCCATGGGCTTCAACAACTGGGCGCGCTTCATGACATCCATCAACGAGTCCATCTTTGTCGACGCCGCCGCCGCCATGACCGCCAACGGCCTCCTCAGCGCTGGCTACAACCGCATCAACCTCGACGACGCGTGGTCCACGACGAAGCGCAACTCGACAGGATCCATGGTCTGGGACTCGACCAAGTTTCCCAGGGGCCTGACGTGGCTGACGGAACACCTCGCGTCCGCCGGCTTCATCCCGGGCATCTACAGCGACGCGGGCACGCTCTCGTGCGCGGCCAGCTACCCGGGCACGCTCCACCACGAGAGCCAGGACCTGCACGACTTTTACGCCTGGGGGTTCCGCTACCTCAAGCTCGACGGCTGCTACGTTGGCGATTTTCCCACCGTGTACGGGCGCTGGCTGGGCCTGATGGCCGCGTTCAACAAAGACAAAACGCAGAACGAGCGCATCGTCTTTTCAAACTCGGCGCCGGCATACTACGCCAACCCCCAGGACCTGCGAGGCTGGTACGCCATTATGATGCAGGCGGCGGCGGGCGGGCAGCTGGCGCGTCACTCGTACGATGTTGCGACGTACAGCTCCAACCCGGCCTGGAACAGCGTCATGAGTAATTACGGCTTCCAGGTGCGCGCCACGCGCTTCCAGCAGCCGGGCTTCTTCAACGACCCAGACTTTCTCATCGCCGACCACCCGGGGCTGACGCTCGACGAGAAAAAGAGCCATTTTGCGCTGTGGAGCAGCTTCTCGGCGCCGCTCATCATCAGCGCCGACATCCCGCGCCTCACCAGCGACGAGCTGGGCTTCCTGACCAACAAGGACCTGATTGCCGTCAACCAGGACCGTCTGGTGCAGCAGGCATCTCTTGCGAGCCGGGACGCCAGCTGGGACGTCCTGACAAAGAGCCTGTCGAATGGCGATAGACTGGTCACGGTGCTCAACAAGGGCAGCGCGGCGGCCGACTTGGCCGTCTCGTGGGCTCGCGTGGGCGTGCGACCCGACAGCGCTGCGACGCTTTCCGTGAGGGACCTGTGGACGGGCCAGACATTCGCGGTCCAGGCAAGCAGCGGGGGCGTTGCCGCGCGCGGGGTGCCCAAGCACGGCACCGCCGTCTTTCGCATCTCAGGCGACGCGCTAAACACCGTGCCGACGGGCATCATCTTCAACACGTGGTCCCTGCATTGCCTAACTGATTCTGCCTCTGGCGCAGCGACCTGGTCCGCCTGCAATGCGTCCGACAGCCAGTCCTGGACAGTCGACCAGTCGGGCCGCGTCAGCAGCCTGCTGAACCGGGACAGCTGCCTCGTGAGTAATAGTGACGGGGGGGCCGTCTCGACGAGCGAGGACGGCTGCGAGTTCAACGCTTGGAATTTCCCCGTGTCTGGAAATATCGTGCACAAGACGAGCGGAAAGTGTGTCAATGAGAATGAGGATGCGTCTACGTCGGCCGTTGACTGTGGACAGGTGGAGAATAGACAGGTGTTTGGTGTGCCGGTGGGCGTGGAAATTGATTATTCTTGAGTAAAGTTGCTGTAATTTGACAATTTATTCTTATTTTATTCCACTTTTTTTTTTATTCGTTTGATCTTGACTTGTACGTGAAATTTACTTTAAACCCTTTTTTTTTTAAATATATATAAAAATCATCATGTTGATTTCTATTGTTGGTACAGCAGGTTGGTTACAGCAGGCACAGCACGCCGCTGAGCGCTGAGCGCTGAGATGATGACCACTGCCGCTGCGCTGATTCGTCAGCAACATGTATGACACCAAAAAAAAAAGCAAACGCCTTATATCTGGCGCATGTCTGCCAACATGTGACTGTTCTTTGTCAGCGGGCGTTCATATTAAATCGGAAAATGATTCCGCACATAAATTGCCACGAAGGCGCGCCAAACAAAGAAAATTAGCTTCGCGCCAGAGGAGCAATAAATACATAGCATTTCCACCTTATCAGCGGAACGACCGTTCATCTATCCGTAGTCGGAACTCCATTCCACTGCATCAATACAAGCCACATAAATCCCCAACCCCGCAAACTAGATGTGGGCTCCAACTCCATTTGCGAATCTGGGGACTGACAGGGGCATGAGCGGCAAGTATTAATAACAATCTGCAAGCATGATACAATAGATAAAACCAGGGAAGCAAGGGGGGGGGCGAGCATTTTACTGATTTTCATAACTGGTCTGCTTTCCATCTTAGGTCACTGCTTTCAATTTCGAGGCATTTCTTCTGTCACGTCCATTCTAGCTTGCCGCCACCCTTGACAAAACAACAATGGCAACGCCCGCTCTCCCCATGGTGGCGGTCAACCCCGCGATGCCACGGGGCTCAGACGAATATGAGCAGAAACGAGCAGCGAGCCTGCAGCGTCTGGCCGACAGCATCCCCGTCGCGCTCCGCCTCCCGCAGCACATCATCGACTCTGCGCCCAAAAACGTCACCGCCATACCGCGCCAGTCTGGCCTCTTGACGGAGCGGGAGCTGCACATCACCGAAGCCTACGATGCCGTCGCGCTGGCCGCCGCCCTTGCCGCCAAACGATACTCGGCCGTCGAGGTCGCGACCGCGTTTTGCAAACGAGCTGCCATGGCCCACCAGCTCACCTGCTGCCTCACCGACTTCTTCATGGACGAGGCGCTCGCCCGCGCACGCGAGCTCGACAGCCACCTCGCCGTGACGGGGCAGACTGTTGGTCCGCTGCACGGCGTGCCGACCAGCATCAAGGCACACATGCCGCTGCGAAACCACCTCCTGGACCTGGGCACGCTGAGCTCCGAGACCGTCGTCGACTACGACAGCCACGCCATTGCCATCTTGCGCGCGGCCGGCGCCGTCTTTTACTGCAAGACGAACCAGCCGCAGCTCATCATGCACCTCGAGTCGGCGTCCTTTCACGGCCGCACGCTCAACCCGCACAACACGACCCTGACGTCTGGCGGATCCAGCGGCGGCGAGGCCGCGCTGCAGGCCATGCGCGGCTCCGTCTTTGGCGTCGGCAGCGACATTGGCGGCAGCATCCGCGGGCCGGCCGCCTTTTGCGGCATCTACGGCTTCAAGCCCACGTCCAACCTGCTGCCCCGCAAGGACGGCCTGCCCGGCAACGCCGCCGCTGAGCTGACGGTGCCGGCTACCTGGGGCCCCATGTCGCGGTCCCTGCGCGACATGGACCTCTTCATGTCCGTCTTTTCCGCCGCGAAGCCCTGGCGCGTCGATCCCCGCCTCAACACCGCGCCATGGACCGGGCTCGCTACCCCGCAGCCGGCAGGCCCGCTCAAGGTCGGCTTCATGATGACAGACGGCGCCATTCAGCCGCAGCCGCCCGTCGTCAGGGCGCTCGAGTGGGCGCAGACGCAGCTACAGCGCGCCGCGCCCGCCGACGACATCCAAGTCAAGCCGTTTGCGCCGCTGCGCACCCAAGAGGCCGCCAAGAATGCGCGCACCGCCTACTTCCCTTACGGCATCGATGCCACCCGGCAGAGCTTGCAGGATGCCGGCGAGCCGCTGCTGCTGCTGTCCGAGTGGACGATGCGGGACGCCGAGGCGGCGCCTACGCCCACGACGCAGGGCCTGTTTGAGTTGAGCAACCAGAAAGAGCAGTTTTGGTGCGACTGGGCCGCGCACTGGAACGACCAGGACGTGGACGTGCTCATATGCCCTGTCTTTTACGGGCCCGCGCCCAGCCACGAGACGGCGTTTTACTGGAACTACACCATCCTCTTTAATTACCTTGACATGCCGGGCGTGGTGATTCCGACGCCGATTGTGGCTGGACCAAAGGGCACGGAGCGTTATGGCGATGACGACAACTGCCTGAGCGACGAGTGTGAGCATGTACGTCGGCTTTGGGACGAGGGCGACTTTGAAGGTGCGCCAATCACGCTCCAGATTGTGGCTCGGAGGGGCCATGATAATGAGCTGTTTGGGGCGCTGGAGAAGCTGAAGAAATATTTGAATGTGGAGTGAACGGATGTGGCTTATAGTACATCAAGTACGAAAACGTGAGTATGATTAATGACATTTAATCAACGTACAAGCATTTTTCGTGTGACCTTTAGTCTTCATTACTTCATTATATTGCCCAAATTACACCATCTCTTACTGCGCATCATGCGCCGCACTAGCTGAGCTCCCTGGCTCGGCAACATCCATCGTTACTTTACATCTCACTCTGATGCCTCTCTCGGCCAAAGTTGGCCCTTGGTTGAACTGGAGTCCTTGCTTTTTACCTCGCTGACAAGTATCGAGTAATCACAACCAATCGAGTCAAGTTATATAGTTTTATACACACTGCTCATTACGCCGGGATTCCGAGAATTAGTCTATATAATAGTACTAGCAATATATTGGGTTCTTAGTAATACAATATAATGTGACTGGTTGCCACATGAGGTAATATAATACAGGTCTTCGGATAATACAATGATATTGCGAGGGGGTCTCTATTTCCGATATTATCTCGTATATATTATTAGCAACACTAGACATGCGTATATAGAGAGGTAACCGTTACATAGGACAGTAGTCTACATTGAATCTAGAATACGGACTAGGCTCGCACATTTATGTCAATGCAATATTCTAACTATCATCGCAGCTGAGGAGATTTTTGCTTTTAGCCACTCGCTGGCTCAGTTCACCCATTTACTCATGCAACCAAGGACGCACGCCTTGGATTATTACCGACAACTCTACCGCACTTCTCGTTCACAAGCTACAGTCCGCTTAGCCAGTGCATACAAACGCTCCGGGATTCAGCTTGCCGTGCATTCACTGGCACTTCAAAGAAGCCAATACCAAAAGTCAAAGGTCAGTGGTATTTAGGTCACAGTTATATACTGAAAACTCTTCCACTTTCAAAGTTCTAGTTTCCTCGCTGGCACTGGACTCCAGTACCTTGCCTTGCTCCAACCTGTGTCAAATCAGTTAGATATCTAGTGCGAAAGCATGACGGCGGACAAGACGTACTGGGACGATTGCTGCACAACAGGAAGCAATCTGGCCACTGAAACCGCAGTCAATGCCACCGCGGTTGCAATTGATGCCAACTAATCCTCTGGAAGTTGATTGAACAAGGGCGTCGCAGCACACGCGCTGACATGCGCTCTAAAAAATGTTGTATCAGCAAAAACGCCGTCACCCGACGTACAACAATTGGCCTACCTCCTCCCTCGGCGCCAATGTAGCGGCGGATCCGAGGGTAGCCAAGAGAATGGCGGGGACAGTGAATAGGCGGGACAACATTTTGACGGGTAAATAAAACAGATCTTAAAGTACTAGAAGTTTGCGGTGTATTTTCAGCTGGGATGACCTGGGAGAAGTAGAAATCGTAGTTTCAACCGTCGTGATAGATGGTATATATAGCTATCAAACGTAGATGCGTAACTTGGACATGCATGGCACGGCAATCTTTGTGATGCATTATTACTAACATGTCCTGACAATCCCGGCGCACACTTCAGACAATCGCTGGCGATTATAAGTACACATTTGGCTAGCGCGTGTCTGTTAGCAATATTTGTCTGTGATATCCCGTGTCTAAGTTCTCAACAGCGTTATAGTCTTACATCACGGTCTTGTCCGCAGAACATGCTCTGACGGTAAGTCAAGGCACGTCAAAGTCAAGTACTCAGCATAGCCTTAGGTTAGATGCCTTTTAGAACTAAATATAGTCCCTCGAACCAACTTACTTCTCTAAGCTATATAGGGTACTATTACTTAACTAGCTACTTACTATAGCTTAAAGATAATATAATATACTAGATTAAAAGTATCTTGATTAACTTAGGTATAACTAATAGTATTCTTATTATAATAGTCTAATTTAAAAATATAAATACTTATAAACCTAGCTAGTCCTTAGAGTACTATAATAGATAACTAAAAGTCAATAACTATTTACTTTTATTAAGAGATCGATAATATAATAATTACTTATATAATGATTATTATTATATAAGTTAAATAACTATATTGATATTATTAATTATTATCCTATAAGTTAGTATAGATAGAGGTAGCTATATATAAGAGCTATTATATAAAATTAAGTAGGGCCTTGCTAGCTCCTAGCTAATGAGAATTAAGTGCCTCTATATATATAATAGTAAAGTAATTAGCTGGAGGGTCGAATGTAATACTGATAGTTTGGTAGTCATTGATATGCGACGGTGCTTCTTCCTCTTGGGGGCTATGTAGCTGCTGCATTGAGGGTTGCAACACGACTGGAGTTGTGAAGCTCCGCTTGCAGATTTATTGCCATTTTGCAGCGACGACCCGCAGCCCGAGTTCCGTGATGCCGCCAGTTTCAGTCTTGATCACCGCAGCATGCACTGGTAAAATGGGCTGATTGAAAGACAGCCAGCCCCAGCTTGATATTAACAGTAAATGGCGCACTACCAATGCCTTTGTACAGTTGTGTACTATTGTCATTGAAACAGTCAATGCTAATGGCCGAAATTGTCTCTATATTGAGAGCTAGGTGATTGATGTATAGAGTCTAGACGCCATTGTTTTTGATAGCTTTGGTCATTCTTAATTTATTCTTCTATTAAATTTGTTTTTATTTTATTTTATTACTTCTTTTTTGCTTCTTTTTTGCTTCTTTTCTAGGTCCTATCAAATTTTCCGGCGCAAATAATCCATGTCGGCCCCAAGTATGAATAATAGCACAGCAACAAGCATCAGCAGGCTTAGTCGGACAGGCATGCAGGTAGACGCGGGCGAGAGCAATATTTATACCTCTATAGTATATCCAAGCGTATAATACTCCGCAAGGTATTACAAGTCCTTTCATTCACCGTCGTTATTCAATATGGCCGTCCAGGCTCCTTTTGACACCCCATCTCCTCAGTGGAGCGGACATTCGCTGTCTATTACTGGAGCCATCCAGTCTGGCAAGGGCCGGGCTGCCAAGCTATCTCATCGGCCGTGTGCCCATTTGTTAGTTATGGGCCCTGGGAACGGGTAACGATGGCTCATAATCATGAAGCAGATAACACAGGAGCAGAGATGGCAGCGATCTATTTGGCTTCCGTAGGCGCGCTTCGCACAAAAGGAGCTTTTATCCTCCATTGTTAATGCTTTGATTCTGATTTATAGATCGGAAACTGCGATACCGTGATTCCGAGCTGCACAACCAAGTGCCGACCGTGGCGTCGCGGTGGCGTCTTGGCTTTCCCCTCAAAATCGCAGCCTTTTTTAGCGATTCATATCCCTGCGATTACAGAGACAGGCCGTTGTTCAACGTTTTGTCTTTCTCCACCCCCAGAAAATGATCCCCAGGGGGCTTGTTTTGGGACGGAGTGCCCCGCGTTCCAGGCTAGGATCCCCCGACAGCTTCTGACGGTGCGGAATGTCGGCGGATTCTGTTACCCTTAGACGATAAGCTAGTTAGTTACTGGTCGCGCGCTCGGGAGCAGCTCATCAACGACGAGAGATAGGAAACGAGGGGTAGAGTATGAGGCGGCAATTATAATGAAAGCAATATATTCTCAACATGATTAAAAGGCGTCGTTGCGATGCTCAGACTACTTAATAACGTCTAATGCCTCCTACTCTGAGACTTTTTTTTTTAACTCTGTCTCGTCTGGACTCTGTAGCGAGCAACGAGTCTACTGCACGAAACCCCTCTTGTCCATCATCTCCTGTCACCAATAAACGCTGAAAATATAACTACTGGTAACTGATAAACCGTCCCCGATCGCAACACTACGCAAGCTGCCTTTCACAAAAAAGCCCTCATAACCCAGCCCTTACCCAAGCATAGAAAAAACAAAAGGTACTCCCAGTCTTTTCGCCACCTCCATTCCAACCGAGCAGAAGGCGGCCTCATCCCGCCGTCCACTTTGCCGCAGCAGTCCAATCTCTTTACTCTCCTTCCCATCCTACGCGCTAGTCACCTAGTTACCTCGCCGCATCATAACTCGCAACAAAACCACCCTCTTTCTTCTCTCTGTCCATCTGCCATGAACCTTTATGCAGGCGCGGCAGAAGCTGCCACCACCACCACCACCACCGCAGACATGGACGAGACACAGATTCCCGGCACCGTGCTCCTGGTCGACCTCGAGCACACGGCGGCCACGCAGCACGCGAGCGACAGCCGCGACATTATCCTGGTACCGACGCCGTCGCGGGATCCCAACGACCCTCTCAACTGGTCCGTCGGCCGGAAACGACTACATCTCCTCTGTCTCATGATGTGAGTTTCTCTCCCGGAGCGGTAAGACAAGGGTTCTGCAAAAAAGCGTAAAAATGTCTCATTAATAAAATCTTCTCTTCCGTGTGTCTTGTCTCATAGCTTTGTTTTATTCAACGGCATGGCCCTCTCCGTTGTATACTCTGTCTTGGTACCGCTGTCGACCGCTCTCGGCGTCACTGGTAGGTCCCCGTTCCCCCCCCCCCCAATGGGCTTTGTTGGCTTCATCAAAGCCAACTGCGCTCATGACTAATTCCATTTCTCACCCAATTCTCAACAGTGGGCGACTTAAACGCCGGTACGGGTTACATGTTTCTACTGCTAGGCTGGTCCCTGCTCTTCTGGCAGCCCTTTGCGCTGCAGTACGGCAAGCGCTTCACTTACCTCGCCTCGATGCTAGGCATTGTCGTATGTCGTCACCTCATACGCCTCATTGTTTACTTCCAGAAGACCCGTGAACCTAACCAAGACTCGTTACGCTCTGCCAGGCCATCTCGTTTTGGAGCCCCCACGCCCAGGGCGGCGGGCAGTGGATCGCTCGCAACATTGTCACCGGCTTCGTCGCCTCGCCCATTGAGTCGCTGCCCGAAACCTCCATCACCGACATTTACTTTGCGCACGAGCGCGGCACCTACATGGGCTGGTACGCCTTTATGCTCGCCGGCTCCAACTACCTCGCGCCCGTCCTCTGCGGCTTCATCAGCGACGGGCTCGGCTTCCGCTGGCCCTTTTACATCATGGGTCTCTTTTCCGCCGCCAGCTTCCTCTTTCTCTTCTTCTTCATGGAGGAAACCAACTATTCCCGCGGCAGCGTCGGCATCGTCTATAATACCGCTGAAGAGGAAGCCGCCGCCGCCGCCGCAGTCTCTTCCTCATCACCTGTCAAAAGCGCCGCCGAGATGGAGACAGCAGGGTACGCCGACAATATCAGCGGCGCAGGCAGCATTTACACGCAATATCCCCCCGAAAAGACGTTTGTGCAAAAGCTCGCCCTGTTCAGCGCGGGCCGCAACAACAACAACAACAACAACAACGGTGACAAGAAGAAGCAGCCGTTTCTGATGCATCGGCGCGCGTGGCAGGCGCTGCGCTATCTCTCGTGGCCGACCGTCTTTTACTCGGGCTTTGCCTACGGCACGTACCTCATCTGGTTCAACATCTTCAACGCCACGGCCTCCGTCATCCTCAGCGGCCCGCCGTACCACTTTCAGCCGAGCATCGTCGGCCTCTCGTACCTGTCCTGCATCGTCGGCGTCATCGTCGGCGCCGCCTACACGGGCGTCTTTTCCGACTGGTTCGTCATCCGCATGGCGCGTCGCAACGGCGGCGTGTACGAGCCCGAGCAGCGCCTGTGGCTCTTTTCCGCGACAGCCATTCTTGTTCCAGCCGGTCTCATCCTCTGGGGCGTAGGGGTACGTTGTTTCCTTTTTTCCCTTCCAAGTCCTTGGTCCGATTGTTGCCAACTTCACAAAAGAACACGCAGCTAAACAAGCACAGGCCGCGCACGGCATCCACTGGTTCGGTCTCATCGTCGCCATGGCCATTCTCGCCCTCTGCAGCTGCGTCGGCATCACCCTCGCCATTGCCTACCTCGTCGACTCCTTTCGCGAGATTTCCGGCGACGCGCTCGTCACCCTCATCCTCGTCCGCAACACCATGAGCTTTGCCATTTCCTACGGCATCACGCCCTGGCTTGATGCTCTCGGGCTGCAAAACTGCTTCATCAGCGTCGCCTTTGTCGCGCTCGCCATCTGTAGCATCTTTTTGCCCGTCATCTGGTATGGCAAGAGGCTGAGGGCGGCCAAGCGTGAGAGCTACTGGAGCGAGGTCAAGATGCGCATTGCGTGCAATGCGAATTAATACAGCTATAAGTGTAGAAACAGAGTGTATATATTATTCTGCATTGATCTAATTTCTTCATCCCATAATCCATGTCAAGTAAGGAACCTGCACGTAGCTATATCCCAAGTATTCTTCCAGTCCAAGAGTAAACGCCAAGCAAAGCCTGTGACAAAGTATAATTAGTCGTCCTCCAAGCCGAATTCTGCATCCAAATCAGGATCGTCATCATCTTCCGCAAACCCCTCGTAATCGCCTTGTTGGTGTCCAGTCGCGTCATCTCGACCATCGTCGTCGCCCGCGTCACTATCCTCCGGCGCCTCCTCGTCGTCGTCGCCACCGAGGGTACTACCCGCCAGGCTGGTCTTGCGACTCGTAGCAGCAGATCCAAGCCCGCCAGCATCCGGCACGTCAAAGATGCTTCGAATGGCATCGTAATTGATACGCTTCGACCAGGCCCGATCCTTGGCGACGCTAACGGCGGCCTCGGCAGCTGAGCTCGCCGGACTGGTCTGGCCTTCGCCGATGCGCGCGCGCTTCCTGCGCCGACGCGTTTGCTTGGGCCGCTCCGCTTCGACTTTGCGGCGAAACACTTTTTCTTGGTGTTGACGCAGCCACTCTTTATTCTGGTTGACCCAAATCATTTCCTTGATTTGCGCTTCCTCGGGCGAGAGAAGGCAGTTGCGCACCTCGGGATCGTTGGCGAATTCATCTTCGTCAATCTCGACAGACATGGATATTTCCTTTTGGGGACGTTGTTGAAGAGCCCATGACGAGTGAATGCGCGCGCGTTGTTCGGCATTCGAGTAAGCGAGCGCGTGTTCGTAGGTCAGGGGGTCGTTGAAGATTTCTTCGATTTGGCCCTCGAGATCTTCCTCGTCCTGCTCCCATTCTTCGTTGATGGGAAGCTGTGCCTTTTTCTTCTTTCCCTTGCCAGATGCGGCACCTTCTTCTGCCCCCATTTCCTCGTCGAGAGCGTCGCCGAATTCCGAGGCTAATTTCTGTAAATCCTCGTCTCCTTCGGTTGCTTCTTCTTGAATGGGCACCGAAGGCATGTCTTTGGGAATCTGGGAAGGATGCGGTGGAATAATGAATCCGTCAGCATCGCGTCGAAATTTTAGCTGAGGCGCGCTGGAAAGATCGGCACCAGCATCTGTGCCTCGTCGTGTCCTGACAACGGGTCCAGGTGGTGGCAGAGCGGGCTCATCTTCATCTTGGTTTGTTTGTTCATTTCGCTTTCGTTTTCGCGCCTTTTCTTCTTGCTGTGCTCTGTATTCGTCCGACTTGCGGTAGAAGGAGGGTGGATCGTGTGAACTCTCTAGGAAATCCTGCTTGAGAAAGTCTTCTACCGACATTTGACTCGACTCTGTATGGTTGAATTCCTGTAATCGATTTTGAATGGTGTGGTTTGTAACTTTGACAATGTACACGACTTCACGGACAGTGCGGCGAAAGTTGTGCATACGCGCGGCCATGAGCAGGCAGGCGCCGCAGATGCCTGAGGGGCGTCGTCCCATGACCAACCAATCTCGACTCATGCGTTTGACAAGGCGAACAGCGTCTTCGGCGACTTTGGCCGTCTCTTGGCGGAATTCCATCTTGGTCGCAAATCTCCAGATAAGGTCCTCGGGGTATACCGGAATAAGGCCATCGTTGCCTATTGGCACGACTTCGTTGAGCTTCTTGAAGATTCTGCCGAGCTTGAAGACGTTGAGCTGAACCAAATCGGCCAAATCGATGAGCATGACTTTGCACGGAGGTTCAGCTCGACAGGCTGCATATAGGCAGACGGCAGCCACACTGGCAAGGGTGCGGCCCTGGATGAAGTTGGCACCGGAAGCGAGCTTGAAAACCTGCGTCCCGGCAGCGACGAGACTATCCGAAACGTTGAGCTGCTGGGCATAACCCTGCATCAGGCCACGCGCTTCTCTGATACTTTTTTCTCTGTCCTCAGAGCCACCAACTCGTCGAAAGGCGGGACCCATACTACGGACACCCGCCTGATCGGCACCAATGTAGGAACCCTGGACCATGGCAGCACCCGAGGAAGTCTCGCCGAACTGGACCTCGGCGACAATATTGCTGTCATCAGCGACACGACCACAGGTCTGGCATGTGCCGTCGACGACATTGGGCTTGGGGCAGGCCTTGTTAGGACACTGCTGGCGGGCCGGGGGAGCGACGGTACCCTGCTTGTTGTCGGCGGCCGAGGATTGGCCCTGCTGGGCGGCGGCTGCGGCAGCCTGACGACGCTCTTCGCGCTCGCGCATAGCTCTGACAGGATTCGGTCGCGCGAACTTGGGCTTTGGCGGTTCGCCGCGACCGGCTTTTCGCGACATGACGGACGACATGGCGATGGTGAGTGCTGCGCGAGAGCAGCCCCGGTCGTCAATCTGTCCGATCAGATAGTTATTGTTCCACGAATGATATTAAATAAACAAGTCAAAGGAGATTGTCGCTCGAGTCAAGACGGATAGCATATTAGACGACTTGGCAGCATGGACCACGATGAATAATACGGTTGTCTGGTGAAGAAAATTGTTTCGCTGGTGCACCGGCTCCACCAAGTATGCGGCAAGCGTGGTCGAGTGGGTACCGCAGCCACCTTGGCTGACTCATCCAGCAAAGCGCGGCGTTCGAACCGGCAAGCTGCGGTTTTTTTGCAAGCCAGTTTTACGCCATATGAATAGGTAAAAGAAATCGAGCGTGCTCTGTCTGGGCTAACTATCCTGCGAAAACTTTGACTCTGTTATTTTTTCACTCTGCGGGTAAACTTGGTGGAGACTCGGTAAGCCCTGGCCGTGTGCTCGTACTATGTCTGGCACCGAGGCGTACCCTGTAGACAGAAATTCGCGGTGGCATCTAGCGAATGCGCATGTGCTGATGAACGGGTTGTTATGATGAGTCATTTGGATACGGGGAAGCCCTTTCGGGGATTCTACAGTGCATGTTCAATTGTTCCATTGCCAATGTGCCTCTGAATGTGTTGAGACTTACGATAGTCACTCCAAAGACTAGATATTATTCAAGGACTTGGCATCCGAAAATGATTTGGCTAGAGCAAAAGCCAATTATAATGAAATAGCACCGTATCTTCAGTCTTTCGAAATACTGACCTTTTGCTGGCATAGACATCTCAACACTCAACTCGCCGAGCTTACAGCTGAGCCCCACTGACTAAACCGTGAAAAGCTCACTTCAACTTTTCCACCATCAGGCACACGGCAATGCTGGACCTTCCAAGCGCGTACGACGACTTGGACACATATACAAACGACCTCTGCAACTTCATAGACACTCCTCTTGTGCGCCAAATTACAGGCGGTATTCACGTCAACGATGCCCTGATCTACAACGCCTGGGACAGCTTGCCTACGGAATGGACCGAGTGGTGGTCACGCTGGCCAGACCACCGTCTAGCGCAGCAGCATCTCATTGACAGCATTGGTGACCATGAAATCCTTTCCACCGATGACTTCGGCTCTACCGGCAGCCAAATCCCGCACAGCTGCCCCGAGTCGCTCAGAAATTGGCTCGCACAGCTCAAAGCCCTCGCTTTGACCCGCACACAGCGGCCCGGACCAACAGTCGCCCTCCCGGTAGTCCTGGAAACGCGCATGAAGAGGAAGAAGATTGCAGAAGTAGCTCGCGCTACCAAACTGATTCGTGAAATTTGCGAGTCTCGAGGAATCCGGCGCCTCGTCGACATGGGCTCCGGACAAGGCTACCTGTCCATTAGCCTGGCGTACCTCTTCCCGGAGCTGCAAGTCCTCGCCATTGACGGCAGCGAGTCACAGATAGCTGGCTCGCAAGCATTTGCCGAATCTCTCGGCATTCCTCACAGCCGTTTAACGCACACGGTGCACTGGATCGACGGCTCATCGCTTCTGGCCGACAAGGTCCAAGAGTGGGCGGCGGGTGAAAAGTGCATCTTGGTTGGCTTGCACGCCTGCGGCAACCTATCCGAGCACATGATTCGCTATTTTGCTGCGACTCCCTGCCTGGATGCCCTCGCCGTCGTCGGGTGCTGCTACAACCACATCGTACCGCAGTCGAGCGCCTGTCCAGAGGGGTTTCCGATCAGCGCCGCGCTCCGCGATAGAAACGTCACGCTGAGTGCGACGGCGCTGATGACAGGCTGCCAGTCACCAAACAACTGGCCGCGGGCTGATGGCAATACCCCGTCCGTATTTGGCCGTCGTCGCCTCTACCGCGCGATGCTGGAAAAGGCCCTGTACGACCACGGTATCCATGCTGCCGGTAACGATGGAAGCGAGCGTCCCGCTTGGGGCATTCGCAAGGGCGACATGGCAAGCTTTACAGCATTTGCCCACCGCGCCATGGACTGTCTGCAAGTGGACGCAGCGCAGCGCCCAACCGACGAGCAACTGCAAACGTACGAAGAGAAGTATCGGGACTGGGAGGGCCGTATCGCGATTCTGTGGACATTGAGCGTTCTCTGTTGCAAGGTGGTGGAGAGCGTCATTGCTGTAGACCGCTATCGCTTCTTGATGGAGCGGCAAGGCGTGCAGGACGTCGACGTGGTACCAGTCTTTGACGTCAAGGTGTCGCCGCGGAATCTCATGATTGTAGCGACAAAGGAGTCGACAAAGGAGCCAATACCAAAAGGCTGAGTGTAGACGTAACGGCGTGGGCAAACAGCTGTCTGAGCTGAACTTGAACCAAGCAATGCGAAAAAGATGGCACGCTAGCCGGGATCCGTCTTGGCGAGGATTGTGACGGCGATAATCGCTTGTGCTGCTGCCGATTCAATTGACAGGACGGGTGCGCCGACGTCCAAGGCAGGCATTGAGGCTGGCAGCACAGGGACAGACAATCGCAAGGATAACAAAGCAGTCAAGGTTAGACCCAATGGTGCGGCGTTGGCTGACGGTGTGGTCGCCGTGGCTTTCTAACAAGGTTAGAGCGGAGGACATACTTTCGGATCATACCATGTTCGATAGCAGTGATTGTACCTGTTCCAACCTGTTCTATGAGAAAACTCTGATGGCCGCACTGACACCCAAACGCGTGTTCTCAATTGTTAGAATGAACTTAGCATTTGCACATTAATAATGCATCCGGAGCATCGCACGGCTCGCGTTGCTGTCGTCGTCTACTTTACCGGGTTGACCTAAAGCGGTCGTTCCGCAACGACGGCCCCACCCGGGGTCGAGGCGCGCCGTGTCGAATACTTTGTGCTTGCTCAGCGGAGAGCGCGGTCTGATTACCAATACGGTTATTGCATCCTTTACGCGCAGTAATGCCTTTTTACAGAGTATCCGACAGATCTCGTGAGCATATAGACATTGTTCCAAACCCCGCCTAGGGGATTACAGAGTCCCGGCCCGGCAGGCGCGCATCTCATCGGCCTTGCCAAGTGGGGCGCAGCTGCCCCGCGCTGCCCAAGTATATAAGCCAGCCGACGTCGTCTTGCTCACTGACCAAACGAAACGACCTTTACATGACTTGCTCAGCATCTTACAAACTTCATTACCGTTTTAATATTGTCTAATAGAACCTCATCGAAACTTACACCTCAGCATGTCTCCGTCTTTCAGTCTCTGCGCCGGCCCGGGCACCGACATCTGGAAGAAGCCTCCCGCGACGGATGTCTTCAACGGTGAAGCCCCCCCCCCCCGGCAACTCGTGCAGCTCATTGTCTCAAAAATCTACCGCTAACACAAACACAAACTCACCTCGCAGCGCCTTTTCAGACACACTCTTCGAGCACCGTCGGCAGTTTCCGTGCCGTCAGCCTTACTTTTACCGCCGTCTACACCAAGCGCTACGACCAGGCCGGCCTGCTGCTCCGGCTGACGCACCCCTCGCACCCGTGCAAGTGGGTAAAGACGGGAATCGAACTGTACGAGGGCCTCCCACGGTTATCGACCGTCAGCTGCGATGGCTGGGCGGACTGGAGCGTCGGACCGGCGCCTTGCGCCGAGGACGTGGCGACGGGCGATCGGAGCGTGACAGTGCAGGTGCGCAGCGAGGGCGACGAGAATGGTCGCAGCTGGTGGGTGTACCACGTTGATGGCGAGGTCTCGACGCCGCTCAGGGAGATTTGCTGGATCGCCGATGGACAATATGCGGACTGGACGCTCGATGTGGCGGCTCTGGTGGCGAGGCCAGCCAAGGACGGCAAGGGCGACCTTGAAGCTCATTTTGAGAACTTTACGGTGGAGTGGGCGTGAAAAGACGGCTTACATGGTGATTGTGTACGTAACAAGTCACGTTGAACAATTGAAAATCCGAGGTGGCACTTTGATATTCCTCAAAAAAAAAAAAAAAAAAAAAACCTTGACGAAACGACTTTCGCCAAGGAGGACTGCGCAGCAGCCCTGGTTGTGAAGAAAAGAGAACCTAGCTCTCGTAGCGTAAACTCTCTGCTTTCCACAGTTTTTGCAATTTTTTTCGGTTGTAAGAGTAGCATTCCAAACCATGCAGCTTGTTTCGCCACGTAAAATCTCTCAAACAAAGACAAAGCAAAACATGGTATTGTGTGGACAGTGTCTGGAGCAGCAAAGTGCTGCCAGAGAGACCTGGCGTGAAAATTGGCGCGACTTGTCCAAAGCTGTACAAAACATTATGTAGCTGTTGTTCGTATGCTGGTATCAGAACAAGTCAAGGGTGAGAAATGCACAAGAAAAGCGGTGGTGAATTTTTTTTTTTCGGATTGCAGTCCAGCGCAAAAATTGTCTGAGATTTTTTCTGGTTAATCGGCAAGGGGACAGCGGAGCCAATCTCGGTCCCCCAGTGTTGAGTCGAGCGGCATAACAAGCACATTGATACAACTCCATTGTGACAAAATCAACGGAGCCTCCATCATCAGGAGCCATAAACTACAAAGTTTGGGAGAGCAAATGAAGCAGCAAAGAAGAACATTGCAAAATCAGCTGACAAAAGGGAAAAAAAAAGAGCAGAGGAAATGCAACAGTGGACAGACTGGTCGTTGATGTATCCTCGGCTCTTGAATCCCATCCGTTGAAGCAGAACCCAAAGGCGAAAATCCCAAGAGATGAATCACACAGAAAGACTTGAACTGAATCAGCTCCCTGCTGGAAATGCAACAATCTGACGAGGGAGACCAAGAAAAAACGCCAACACCCGCTGTGAATTCCACAATCATAACTGTGAACTTTTTTTTTTTTTCATCGAGTTGATTTTTACATGCAACGGCTTCAAGGCAGTCAATTTCTCTTCGTCAACTTGAGCCGTGAAAATGGACTAGATGAGACGGAAACCTAGACAGACGCACACGCACAACCGTAGATTCTTTCAGACAGTCCTTGGCGAGCGAACGTGGTTCACGTCAATGACATCGTCAAGATGGTTGCACATGGCGACGAAGAGGTCGAAAAACAGCTTGGTGCCGCCGACCTCCATCTCAGCCTGCATCGTGCCGCTGCGCTTAAACGTCTTGTGGCAGCGGATAATCAGAGCGAGGTAGTGGGCGCGCAGGCGGCTGTCCGAGTCGGGCGTGTGGGCGTAGGCATACTGGGCCGAGCGAAGGATGGTGGCGACGTCAATACCGGCCTGTAGGCCCTGCTTGCGGAGGGCCAGGCGCTTAAGCTCTTCGAGGCCGTAGCGCTCAGCGGCGCAGTAGACGACAGTGTCACGCAGCACATCGGCGCCCACACTGTCAAGGTAGACGGCGGCGTCGGTACAAGCCCGACCACCGGTTTCGTTGGGGTTGGGAGAGGCCGAGGGAGTTCGCAGACCGGTGTTCGCGGCAGCGGCAGCGCGGTCCTCGAGCTCCCACGTGTTGCGGTGGCGGCCGTGGACCAACCGCGGGTAGTAGTCGCCCTTGTACAGGTACTCGAGCACGGCGGAGAAGACCTCAGGCTCCTCTTCGGGGAGCGCGATTCTCCGGCTCTGCGCATCGGGGAAGGCGGAGCGGCAGGCGACGTCGAAAAACGGCGACTGGCGCAGCACATCCTCGTGCGCCGCAAAGAGCCGGCCCTCGCGGCCCACAGTCAGGGTGACAATGGGCGACGGCGGAGCCGGCTGCTGCTGCTGCTGCGTGGGATGAAACAGCAGCGCATCGTTTTCGGTGAGCGACCTTTGCAGTTTCGAAAGCTTCATGGGATCCCGGACGGAGCCCGACTTTTTGACACGCGCAGACTTGTCCACGCGCACAGCGTCGTTGTGACGGAACGAGCGCTTGAACATGGCTGCGGTGATTGACGAAATCGGGGGGTTTAGATGGAAGAAAAAGAATGGCTCGGTCGGGGATGAGACGAGGAAGAGTCGACAGCGGGCGAGATACTATGACAAGTTCACGCACACGGTAGGGCTTCTCTGATGATTGTCTAGAGAGCGACGAAAAGAGCGAGAGAGGGTGAGGGGTGGTAAAGAGAGGAATGACGCACAAAGGGGGTTGACTGGTGGGCCCGGGCGAGAAGAATATCTTCTTAATAAAAAGATGACAGACTCCGCGAGATTATTTGCGACCCGTACTTTGGTTGTGAGTGAAGAAGAAGACGCGAGAAAACGGTTGAGGGGCAGCGTGCACTTTTATGAAGCATAAGACGCCACGCCTCAGCCACGCCAATTAGCGATCGGCTGGTGGAGTCAGCGTGCCTGACGGGCGGATCTGAGTGGCTCCAAGCGCTGGAGCGGGCCGCTACAGACATCTTTGAAGGGGAGGTGTTAGGCGAGAACAGCGCTCGGAGTGGCGTTGTCTGGGGTAAGCCCACTGTATTTTGTACCTAATCGGGCGCTGGGCCCTACATGCATTCCAGGAACAAGTCCTTAATAATAAGCTTCCTGTTTGGCTTGATGAAAAAAAAAAAAATCCAATGCCATTGATTGGGGGAATAATATCATGCTGCTTTTAACAGCAGTTCTATTCTCAATTGGAAACATTTACAACGTCTAATCACCCATAGGTACGTGGCACTCTTCGTAAGCCAACACGTGATCCAGCGCCCAGGACCCAAAGCCTCCATTGGTATATGCAAACGCCGATAATTATGCACACCCTTCTATCAATCGAAGCATCCACCATGGCCAAACATTACCAGACGTGCCCCTTGGCCTGCTTGATGCCAATGACATTGATGTTGCGCCACATAAGCACCCCGACAAATCCAAGCGCCCAAACGGCCGTGGCAGTAGCCAGCAATCGCAAGAACGCATCGCTGTACGCATGCTGAATAGCGTCTCGGGTAGGCGTGCCAACCGGGTACGATATCTGCACTGCGAGGTCGCCATAAATCAGGGGAAAATTGGGCAGCTCTTCTTCGGGCAGATACTGAAGAAGCTTGTTGGGAAAAGTGTTTTGCCAAATGGCAGACGCCACCGTGAAGCCAACAGCGCCGCCCACGTTGCTAAACATGCCCAGCACGGCAATGCAGACGGCGACATACTGATGAGCACCAGCAGCCAGCATGGCAATCTCGTCGCACACAATGATGGTGCCTGCAGCGATACCGATGAAGAAGAGACACATGACGAGGTAGCCGATGGAGCTGTCTGCACTGCGAAAGTGCATCAGCAGTCCGATGCCGAACGCGCTGAGCGGCACACCGACGAAAAGGGTCGCAGGCTTGAACTTGCCCGTCTTGTGGATCAATACGCCTGCGGCAACGCTAAAAATGACGGTCGTGACCGAGTAGGTTTGCATGACATAGGTCGAGTTGTCGACGCTGAGATTTTTGACCACCTGCAAGTATGATTGAAAATAGGCGCTCCATATCGAGTAGCTGATGAAGAGTGTCGCCGATAGGATGCATGCGCCGAAAACGGTCCGGTCCAGAAGCAGCGAGTACGGGATAAAGGTAATGTGCGCGAAGAATTTCTCCCAGATGACGAAGCCGACAATGAGACAGAAACCAATGATTAGCATGCTGAGGACCAGAGGCGAGGTCCAACCCCGTGCCTGCAGCGTGTAGAGATTAAACGGCAGGAGAAAGAGAGCGACGCCGGCCGAGAGAAGAATGAGACCAACGGCATCAAATTCGCGACAGTAGTGCAGAAAGGACTGCAGCGGCGTCCGGTCGTTTTCGGATTTCGTGACGAGGCCCAGCTTCTTGGCCTTGAGAAAGTTGCTGACCAAGATCCCATACAACGGCAGCGTGATGCAAGGAACCATGATGGTAAACATGCCAAACGCCCATCGCCAACCTGGTCCCTTGAGGAATCCCGACGCAATGGGGCCCGCCAAGAAACCGGTGAACAGGCTGGGCGTGCTGACGAGGGCTTGCATGAGACCTCGGTTCTGCAGCGTCGACGTATCCGCGACAAACACCGACAAGCTGTACTGGATGCCTTGGTTGCCGACCGTCTGAAAGACTTGCGCGGCGGCGTACGCCTCCACGTTGTTGCACGCGGCCATCATTATCAATCCGATCGTGGCCAGCACGATGCAGAACAGGTATCCCTGCGGACGGCCAAACACGTCGAGAATCTTGGCCAGCGTCAGATTTGTGACGCCGCCGATGACGCTGCTCAGAATCGCGACGGTCGGTGTAAGCGAATGCAGCGCAAAGGCCGACGTGACATAGGGCGTCAGCGCTGCCGTCGTGTTGCCTAGCATGCCCTCGACGCAATACGTCAGCCAGATGAAGACATAGGCGATGATGAGAGTTTTTTTGTTCCAGGCCATGGTCGTGGCCTCGATGTTCTTGACACCCGCTTGGACGATCTCTTCGCCGCCGACGGCGCCACTGCCGCTGCCGCTGCCGCTGGCTTCAATGTCGGCCGCCTCATCGCCGCTGTCGCTGGCGGCATCGACGCGGATCTTGGCGTCTTCTGCGTCTTTGGCCATGGTGGCGATCGGTTATTAGAAAGCCAGCGGAAATGTGGAAGGAAAAGAAAAATGGGTGCTACAGGGAGGTGAGGGAACGCATCGAGACGGCGAGGCTGGGCATGGTGTCGTTTATTAAGAACCCCTACCGAGTGGACTGAGAAGGTTTTCCCTCTCACCACGGGCGCAGACGTTCAACAAAGACACAAGGGGTAAGCTCCGAATGCAGATTGCAGACGTGCAGAGTGCAGAGGGTGGAGTAATGTCTTGTGCTATTCCGGAAAAACTTGCTCATTTTTCTGCAAGCCTCATTTCTGAAGCTGTGTCTACCTCTATGGAGTATCCATGGTATCCATGGGGGGTGTGAATGGGGGTGTCATTGAAACTTGCTCACTCACCTTCACCGTGCTTTGCGGCGGCCGCGCTAGCCTATTTAAAGCCGAAAACCAGGCTGGGGCTGATTTTATAACTATTGAGTTAGTTATTCTACGGAGCCATGACCAGACGACACACCCCTTTGACCTTTGTCACTTGTACGACACTCGTTTCTCAGCTCTGTGGCGGGGTCTTGAGTCCGTTTCATTTCAAATGGAGACGTGCTTCTGTTCCCCTCGCAGCTACTGTGGACAAAGATGGGATATATTTTCTCAATCTAGCGCCTGCCGCAAATTGTCGGTTACAGGCCAAACTCTGCGACTTACACGAGAAGCCATGAAATGGCTTCCTCGGTCGTTTCTCTAAACGCTATCACGCTAACAAAGAGCTCTATGCTATTACCGACCGTGCGAAATTACCAAGGCGACACATCGACAACCTTGGCATACTTGTTAAATTCTTGATCCGCCTTGAAGAACTCGAGCTCCTCGGGAAACGTCCCGAGGACCAGTTCCACCGCGCCGTCCTTCTTCATGGGCGAAATGATAAGGAAGCGGAACCGCCCGTGGGCGCGCACCAGCTGCGGGCGCATCATCTCGGGCAACCCATTATTTCCAAAAAGTTTGCCACCGAAATCAATCTCGCTCATCTGGAACAGAATGAGGTTGGAAATCATGGCGTGCAAGTGGTCGAGACCCATATTCGCCGTTGAGAAGCGCGTGTGATCGGGCAGCGACTGCAACAACGTAAACGCATCATGCACCAGTGATGGAGTGATGCGCGCCGCCGTGTCACGGAGCACCTGAGAGATGCGACCGAGGCTCGTGTCCGGTGCACACAATTCTTCCGCCGATAGCACCGAGCGGCTCATGACGAGCATGCTGCCCATGTAAGTGGCGGGCAGCAGCGACGAAAAGTGCGCCCGACCATCCGTAGGTGATTCCAAGATGGAGAGGCTGTCTTCCTCCGAAACGCCTTCTCCCGTCGCCCTTGCAACGTGGCGTCTGGCGCGAATCGCGGATCTCCAGAAAAAGGCCTGCACAATGTCGCTTACCGAAGCCGTGGATCCCTTGGTTTCGGGGTCAGCCAGCACTTGCTTCTTGAGCTTGCGGATATTCTCTGCCGAAATCTCCACGACAGTCGTGTTCAGGCAGCGCTCAGCGCGGGGAAGCGGCCACACCGAATGTAGCTTGTACTTGGGTGCCGGCGGCAGGTCCGCCGCCGTCGGGATGTACTTGGTGGGCGCATAGTCCTCTGCGGGCTGGAAGGGAAGGAAGCCCCATGTACCGGGGTCGACCTCTTCGGGAGACTTTGTCCAGCCTTCTTGCTCGTGGATAATCTCGGGAAGACTGTGGTTGAAGCTGTCCACGTCGAGCCAGGAACACGTCGCCGTAGCGTCGCCCTGCAGGAAGCGGCAATTTTCCGCCCAGGCCTTGAGCGCAATCATGACTCCCATGCCGTCCAGGCAGCAGTGGTTCATGTCCACGGCGAGGAGGCAACCGCCCTTGACAAAGTTGGCCTGCGCAACGACAATGTCGGTTGGCAACGCGGGAAAGGTGTCTTGCTGCAGGATGATCTCGTCGCGGAACAGCGACGGCATAAACTCCTTTTCGCGCAGCTCAGAAAACGTGGGCAGCGTATCGGAGCAATCTTTGAAGATGAGTCTATTGTGCGCCGACGAGGCCATGTGCGCCGGAGGAACCGACACGCATAGGTCGCCCTTGGTGTAGCCAATCTCGTACTCGGAGCAGGGCACCATCTTTCCACCCAGCGCCGGAATCAGATCCATGGTGCGATCCAAGCCCTTGGACAAGGTAGCGAACGCTTGCTGAAAATCGACGCCCTCAGCTAAAGGAAAGTAAAAGACGAGTCCCATGTAGTGGTTGGGGTTGACATAGTCCATGGGATTGAGCTTGAACGACTGGCGCGCTTGGTGCTTTGCCATGAGCCGCTGCAGCTCCCCCATTTTGCTGTTACCGGCATCAGCGCTATGCGCCTTGGTCTCCTTGGCAAGATCGAGCAGAACCGACGAGAAACCGCTTAGTGTGGGATTCGCGTACAGCTGACGCGCACTCAGACGATCAGCCAGACCAGTCACGATCCGAAGCGTCTTGATGGCGGCAAAGACGGCGAGTGAGTCGAAGCCGAGCTCAAAAAGATTTGCGTCGAGTGGGACGTCCCGCACCTCGGCCAAGTACGAGGCAAAGAGCTCGCGAACATCATGCTGAATCGACTCCAAAGAGCTCAGATCCACGTCAAACACGGGAACATCGCTGTTGCGGGAGCTGTAGAAGCGCTCGATGTAGTCCTCATACACTTTAAGCGTCGCCGGCCTCTTGACGGTGCCCTTGTCCGTTCGGATGAAGGGCTTGTCGGCCTCGGCAAAGGCGATAAAGTCACGCAATAGCTGGTTCTTGTGGCGCATCTGCACATTTGCCTCTTGAACCGTATCCCAGATGCTGTCGAGAATGGCCTCGGTCTTGCCGTTGGGATCTTTGAGCTCAATCAGAAGCGCAGCTTGCGGTTTACCTGTGCCAATTACCAGACAGCCATTGATGGCGGGGTGCGTCGAGATGAACGCCTCAGTCTGCAGCGGCGAGATCTTGTAGCCGTTGGACAGAACTACCAGGTCGTCGTTGCGGCCTTTGAACGCCCACAGGTACGGCTTCGTCGGATGCTGCATGTACAGGTCCTTGAAGTTGATGGACTGCTCCTTGGGAAAGGTGTGGTAGATGCCCTGGAACAGCGACGCGTGCTGCTCGTCGCGATGGATCCAGTGCTCGTAGGTGTCCTCGTCGAGCTGCTTGAACTCGAACCCCGAGTACGGGTGGAAGGCGAACCAGAACCAGTCCTCACGCGGTGGCACCAGGTTGCCGATGAATAGACCTTCGGTGGTGCCTGTCAGGTTGAGCACGCGAATGACCTTGTTCGTCTTGCCGGCGCTGACGGGGCTGACGGGCCCGCCGGAGGCGCAGATGAACTTTGACGGGGCCAGCTTGGCGAGCACGTCGGGTGTCTCACCAACCTCGTCGGTCAGAGACGGCACCATGCTCCAGATGTCGATGCGGGCCTGCTCCGCGAGCGCCTCGACGAGGGTGACGTTGGGCAGCACGTTGACGGGGCCCATGATGCAATGCAGGTCAAAGAGGGCAGGCAGCAGGACGTTCATGATGATGCCGGCGCCGTGGCTCATGGGGAAGGACGAGTAGACGCGGTCGTGTGCCACCCAGTCGGTCGTCCAGGGCAGCAGACCATGGTCGCCGTCAACGCGCGGGAGCAGCCGTATTGCGTCCATGGTGCCGATGAGGCCGTTGGACCAGGGGATGGGCTTGGGCACGCCGGTACTGCCAGAGGTGTGCAGGAAGCAGAAGGGGTCGGTGGTGGCTTCGGCAAAGGTCTTGGTGTAGGGATAGGGAGAGGTGCCGGCGGCGTCGAGGAGGTCGTCGAGGGTGGGGAGCTCGAGGATGGTCATGGGACGCTCGCGAAGAACCTCTTGGATGAGGGGAACCATGGGGGCGTCGCCGGCCTTGGCCCAGATGTTACACTTGAGGGTTTCGAGAACAGCGAGGGCGCCCTGAGTGCTGTTTTTGGGCGAGAGGAAGAGGGCCTGGAGTTGTCAGCAACTGACCGAGTAGGTAAGTGGGGATGTGACTTACAGCATAGCCTACTTTGACGCAGGCATATGTCAATAGAATATGTCGGAGATCGTCTGCCCAAGTTAGCATTGCTACAGCATCGACAGTCAGGAAAACTTACGAGGTCCGATGTATCCAATGGGCTGAATGACAGTCTGTTTGCCCACTTTGCTCTGCAGCCACCATGCCGTCTTATCAATGGCCTGTGCAAACTGTCTTGCGGAAATTTCCCGAAACTCGAGCACATTCTTGACCATTGTCGACAGCGAAAACAGAATCTGCTCCGGATACGAAGCGGCCCTCTCATCAATAATCTGAGGCAGCAATCGTCGTCCATAGTCAGGCGCCTGGTTCGATTCCTTGGAAACCACAAGCTCACTCTCGGAAACGTCGCCGCGTGTGGGCGTGGTGCAGCCGCTGATGCCGAGGCCGATGCGCGGCGAGGTGTTGCCGGTGCTGCTGCGGCCGGCGTCGGATAGTCGACTGGAGGAGGATGAGGATGAGGTGGCGGACGAAGGACTAAACTTTTTGGCGGGCATAAACGTAGCCCATGACTCGGTCATGGTGGTGGGTGGTGAGTTGGCGTCGCGGGGTTTCTCGCGGAAGTAGGATGGGCGGCCGTGCTCAAAGACGACCTCGAGTCGGGCGTCCTTTTCGAATTCGCCCTTGGGGGCGCTGATCCACTGGCCGTCAGCGAGCAGGGCGACACTGCAGTGCCAGGGTGTTGTGAAGCCCGTCTTGGTGTCGAGCAGACTAATGGAGACTTTGTGCTCGCCAAGGGACTCGTGGATGGAGAGGCGAAGATGGCGTGGAAAGGCCTTTTTTACAGCGCCAGCAAAAGCCTGTTCTCGTCAGAGGTTGTTATATGTTGTATTCTTACTACACTCACATAGCCGCGCTTGAGCATCTGTTTGGCGAGATACTTTACGTCGCGCTTGTAGGCGCGGTTGGTGCGATCCTTGTCCGGGGGAAAGATGTGCTTGAGATCGGACTCGAGGAAGCGACGGTAGCCTAAGTAGGTAAGCTTGGTGTCGGGGTTGTCGACGATTTCCTTGTCAATGTCAAGGTCATCGCGGCCGTGGACATTGAGGAGGATACGGCGCATGTTTGTGCAGTTTGCGACGTAAGTGATTTCACGCAGCTTGTCGGGCAGGTCGCAATCGACCAGGTCACGAATACGCGCAAAAGAAATGTAGTTGAAACCCTTTTCGTGGGCCATTCTCCGGAGGCCCTCACCATACTGCCAAGTTTCGCGGTCCGAGATGGACAGAAGATCTATGAGTAAGGTTAGCAAAGTGTGTGTCGGGCGAGAACAAGTTCGTGTTAGCGCACCGTTGTAAGTCATGCCGTCAGAGATGATGGTGACGCGGGCGCCGGGCGGATATACTTCGCGGATGCGTCGGCACATTGTGTTGAGGCGCTCAAGAGCAAGCTCCTCGGCCTTGTCGGGCAACGATCCGAGGACCTTGTACTCTTTGTTGGCCGACTTGAAGGGAAACGAGGGCAGACATGCCTGGACCTCTTGGCCAGCGGCGACAAAGGCGTCGATGGTGGCCAGGAAGGAGGGCGTGCCGGCGACGATGCGCTGTGCCGAGTCATCAAACTTGTTGAGAGCGCACTGTGTGATGATGTCGAGAATCGACTGCGATACACTCTTTTGCGTCGCCATTGTTTTGAGGGGACTGCAATAGCAGCTGTGATGGGGGTGGGTGAAGAGGTGGGAAGAAACAAGAAGGATAAAGACGAGACGAGACAAATGGTGCTTTCTCTAGCTCATATGCCTAGGGTTTGACAAGAACGGTAAAGGTCAAGAAGCTTAAAGGGTTATATGCTTTCGAGAAGGAAAGGAAAAAAGAAGAAAAGTAGACGGTAGCTTCAAACTTAAATAAATATAAACAGCTTGAGCCTAGACGAGGCGTGGCCGGTTGACCCGAGTAACTCGGCAAGCCACAGAAATGTGAATATAATGAATGAGAAAAAAGTACAGGTGGAAGAATTAGACGAATTTTGCGCAAGTCGGGGCAAAGCTGCGCCGGTAGACAAGAAAAAGGGCCAAGTGATGCAAAAGTCTGGGTCCTGGCATGATGCATCATCGTGTGGCTTGACGTACGGGAGGGAGGGGGAGTCTACAGGTAGTTATTCTGTACCAGCTTCTGGAAAATCCACACTCGGGATTTCAATACTCACGAGCACATGGCAAGGGGGCGTGTGAGAATCAAGTTACATATTTTAAAGATCCAGAAACATGCAAAGTAGAGAAAAAAAAAAAAAGTGCGCGTGTGGGTTGGTTATCGCGCTGTTTTTTCCGAGCACGTTTGAGTCAGATTACGACACACCCAGGGGCGGCCCTAGTTTTTTTCGCTCCAATCCAAGTTTTCAGTGGTTAATTTTATATTAATCTTTGTAATAAATGATTTTTTCCGCCGGCGGGATTGTACATGACGGATAAAAGTCAAACAGCTCTTCACGAGCGGGACTGATCATGAGGGTAGGGGGGGGGGGGCGGGGGTCGGTTTGGTCGAGAGCCTCGTCAGCCCGGGGGGGCCACAACAAAACACATGATTCTCGTTGCCAGCAGCCCAACGTAGTACGGGGCGTTACGTAGACCAAGTTCGCCACCACTTGCGGTACAGAAAGCAGAGACAGAGAGGTCTGTGGGGGAGGGGGGGAAAAAAAGAAGGGATGGAACTTTTGGGTCGGGCGTTACTGTGAATGGCATTTTTTGAGGCAGACTTGAAGCATAAAAGCTGAAGATGTCGTGGAGGAGTGAGGCTGCAGAATATGAGTGGAGTCAAACATGTGGGATCAAGTACGGAGCGAAGTACTGGGTCGGTCGTCAAGTAACAGTGTAGGCTTTGCGGTTTGCTGTTCGGGTATTCTTCTCATTGGGGTATAATATGAGATAGTATGCTATTCCCATATATTACTCGATACTACCTATATTGATGTCTTTCTGCCCCCATTACCTTTTTCAACCCCTTGCAAGCACGTACCTATTATTATTAACCCCCCCCCTCCCCGGTGTAAGCCGCGGCAGGGTAATATATTCTTGACGGCCCGACGGGGCATACGCGCGCAGTCTATACCGCCCCATTACGCAAGGGAAAGAGCTGAATGAATGCCAGCAAGGGTTCGTCACTGTGTGCCTGTCTCGCCGATATTTTATTTTAGGTTCCGATAGCCTTGCGATGAGCATAGCTCTCGCTTACCAGGATGCCACCCCCCCCCCCCCCCTCCTTCCTTCCCGGCGAATTAACCCCAGAAATGTCAGATGCCGGCGACCGTGGGAATGCAGGCTGCCTGTCACTCAAAATGCAAAGCAAAAGTTATTTTTTTTTTTTTCGGCTGATGTCCGTGGGACCACTCTATGATGGTCCCCAAACCTTTTTGTTCCTCTTGTCGACTCTATCGGTTTCATAAACTCCATCTTGCAACGCGTGGTCGTTATTGTTGAATATGTCTCAAACATGCTCACGCTAGACGGACCAGGCCGGAGTTAGCGCAAAAGCCCTCGTCAAATTCGTCAAGATCCCCGCCCCCCCCCCACCAC